TTACATAATATATGAGATTTGATGTTGCATTAATGACTTCCTCTTTAATGTTACTCATTACCATAATGACATCTGCATATGCTAACAAATCTTGCTCATTATATATCTCCATTCTTCGATTATCGCGAGTGGTTCCTAATATTTTTTCGAGAGCCAAGTTATAGAATGAGTGAAAGGGCATTCTCCCATTTTAAACCAGGTTTTACTTCAAAAGTATTCCCTATGTCCTGCGAAAACCGCATTCTGTATAATTTTCTTTTATAACACATTTTTATTAAGTTTACGTATATTTTGGGTATTCCCAAACTTATCAGTGCTTTCCATAACATATCTCTGTCTACACTATCATTATATGCTTGTTTATAAGTTACAAAAACTAGATAGAAGTCTTTTCCAAATTCGTAATATTTAGACATTATTTATCGTAGTCTGAAGATGTGTTTTGTAGTGGATTTTCATCTCCTAAAACTTCTCCTCTTCGTTTTTTGTTAGCAATGATGATATATATATATATATATATATATATATATATATATATATATATATATATATATATATATACAATTACATATATATGAAATTAGTGCATACAAAAATACATTAAATTCCGCTCTATGTCCTACCTTCTCAACTTCTCACTTACAACAGTGGCCCACCCATCGTGAGAAGTATGTCCGTTTTTTTACGAATCCAACAGTCTTATAGTCGCAATTACTTTATAATTAATTTGGAATGATTTATTGCTTTACGTTTCATCAAACTATGGAATGCTTAAACATTTTTTCAAATCTTTTCTGTGCATATATCGCTTTATTAGCAATTCCAGCTTCTTCTGCAAGTGCAGAAAGAGCCTTCTCAAAGTAAACAGTTTTGTCTTATGACTAAACAATTTTTAAATTTGTTTTAGTAATCTAATTTTAATTTTTGCTTATTACATTGTTTTTGGACAATTCAATTATTTAGATAAAATCCAAAAAAATAATAATTTAACTATGTATTTACTATTCTAGCCCCCTTTCCGAAAATAAATCATGCAATGAGTGCACCAATGCCCTGGTATTTACCGCCGTCAAACGATAGGTAGGTACCTAAGTATTATACGAAGGGAGTTTCAGTAATAATAAAAATATGTCTGCGGGAAATCTCACTGTTATTATAACGTTTACGGTGGTAATGGTGGCACAGAACCGAAAAACAGAAGGGACGGACGTGCGTGTTCGGTTATATGTAGGAAAAACACGAAAACCCGTCCCTTTACGCGAGCGCTAAACCACGAAAAAATAAAACAAATCACGAAATTGCGTCCCCCGCGACGCCAGTGAATAAATAAACATACGCACGAATTCCAAGCGCTTGGGACTTTGCCGCCGTCACCATCGTTATTATTATTATGATTAGATTGGCGTGTGTAGACTTTGATACGGTTTTTAGTTGTATTCCGTGTATACCCATACAGAAAAACAGAGAGAGAGAGAGACTATGTTGCGGAATACCATGGAGGGAGGGGGGGGAATATAAAAAGGAATTGCGGCCGCACATCACGAAGACGACGTTATGCCGGGTCACGAAATCGTGACCACGCCTAAAATTCAGAGTTTATTTTTCTTTTTCTTTTTTGCATAAATATTTATTTAAAAAATTAAATGAATATGCCAAAAATGTTTTTTTTTTTTTTTTTTATCGTATAGTGAACCTCAGACGACGGCTATAATATAGTATGTAAAAATGGATGAGATACCGCCAGTACCGTATCTGGAACATGCCCGGGGCTAGTAAAAATGTATCGCCATTAATTGTGTTGGAGGCAAGCACGTACATAGAAAAATGATTCTGAGGGGGTCGTTTCGGAGGAGGTTCATATTGAGTAAAAAAATTAAACATTTTTAACCATAGACTTTATATAGTTTATGATGCGTTTTTCAAATTCAGATGGTGGTTGAACACCTATTCCCTGTTTATCTGTCTACACGAATGGTTAGAGGTGTTTATAAACGATGCGGGACTTAGGTGGGAATATTATAGGACGACTACTTCCCCGTGTCGGTAAGTGCCTTTCTCTTAGCAGCGCAAGATGCAGAGCCGGGCTTGTGAGCCTTGACCCTGAGGCAACGCATTTACTGGCACCGTCTGGGCAATCGGCCTCCTCCTTATGTCCGGACGCACTACATCTGCGGAACGCGTCCTGGAGGTTAGGGTTGCTGCAGTCACTAATTCCGTGACCGAAGCCGTAGCACCCGTAGCACCTGGTCGTCTCCGGGGCTCGGACCCGAACCCTGCACTATATCCGACCCACGTGGACTCTGGTGATCGCGGAGACCGCGGCGCGAGGCACCCGAGCCCTCGTATACCACCTATGCATACACAGTAATATTATAAGGTGTTTTGATATTGTTTATGGAACTTGACGATTTCCGATTTGTTCGTGAATTCAAACGCGCCGGACAAATCGACGGCGCCCGGTGGCGGTGCGAGGACGTCCGCCTGTTCCGTTCTCATCCCGCCCTACCCCCCACCGCCGCCCGCGGATCCGGCGACCGCGAGACGCGTGTATACCGTGTGTACACGCCGAAATGGTGAAACGAGTGTAACGACGTCACGAGATACAACGCGCACAAAGGAAATCGGTTTACGCGCGTGTTTTTACGACGGCGACGGGACGGAATCGCCGGCGCGTCGCGTTGTAATGTTATTATTATCGCGGGGAAAAGTCGCCGCGGGGCCATTTTCGTGCGCCGAGTATAACGCGCGACGCGTACGGAGCGCGGCGGCGCGCTCGGCCGCCCCTCCCGCCCCCGTACCGTCACCCCGCCGCCCGACACCCGGCCGTGCCGGGACCCGGCGGCGCGCTATTGCGCTGGTGTGTGCGCGCGCGCGCCGCTCAAAACCCTCTGACAATAGAAAACAATTACGTAACAGTCATAATTGTAAATAATAATAATAATAATAACAATAATAACAATAATTGAAACCGTCGGCGTGACGCGAGGGGGTAGGGGTACCGCGCGTTCAAACGGTATTGGCGATAACGGTCGGCGGTACACGCACGCACGCACGCACGCCATGTGATAATAATATATCACCCTCCGGAAGTTTTTTTGGTTTTGCTTTTGTTTGTTTTTTCGAATTTATTTATTTAGAAACGTGTTTTTTTGTTTTTTAATAATATTATTTATATTCGTATACGCACAGCTGTACCCGCGCGCGGCATCGCCCGTGCCAAATTAAATGCTCGCGGTCGTAATCGCCCGTCCCGCGCCTTTCCCGTCCCCTTTACCGGAATGGCATGTCGGCTTTTTCGTCCGGGTACGATTTCAACTGTAAAATAACATTACATATACATACATATACGTACAATGTACACACGCATATTATTTATAATATTGTGTGTAATGGCGATTTTAATATTTTTACAAAAAACAGTCACGACATCATATCTCTAGGGACGGACGTCTGTTGAGGCACCCGCGCGTGTTTTTCTCCTCCGTGTACTGCATCCGCGAGCCATACCTACAAAATTGAAATAATAATTTGGCGTGAAGCATTAGTTGTTGTTGGAACCGGCATCCGACTACCTCACAATGTTGAAGTCCAAAACTTTGTGCCATATGGATAGCTAATAAAAATCTTTCTTTATTTGTTTTACTCGTAAATCAGTTTTAGTGATACGCTAAGGAGATAGGTATTTTTCAACAAACTTATTTTACGATTTTTTTTTTTATGCTTTTCCAATCAATATTATCAGATACAAAAAGTACAAATAGAGTTCTCAGAATTGGTTTATATAGGAAGATACAAGGTACAATAATAACGATTACGCATTAGCGATAGCGTTTTATTTCGACACTATAAAACGGTGGTAAGGTCTTTTCATACACATCCTATCTGGGTCCGATCCAAGGCCGTTCCGAGTATGTAATACACATATACCGATCTGATCCGATTCAGAGTTTTAGAATTCTACAATAGCTTTCAGTATAAGTCAGGGATAATATTTGTTTGATCAAAGAGCTCGGAAAGTTCAAAACAATTTCGAATTGGATGTGTGTGAATACACCATGTATATACAATATGCATTGAAAAAGACGTCCTAGAATAATGGGGTCGGGTGCAGCCACTGTTACAGGTAACTTAATGTATACCAGTAAGCAAAGATAAATCATTGCTTACGAAAAAACGATTCTGAGCGGAGTTCATTTGATAGTGATGCTTTGTCAACAATATATATACTATATTGTAGTAAAATATTTAAATAAGCTTTTCGAATCATAAGATACCAAAAACCAAATGTCCTGACCTGAAATGTGACCTATGTCTTTTTCGGTCTGATTGGTTACAAATTATCATAACAAACACGCACTAATTTATAATAATATTATAGTTTGATAAACAAATCAATGTTTTAATTACCTATATACAAACATTATGCAAATATTGTGAACCTATATTACTGTATTTCATCAGTGTTTTTTTTATGAAATGTTCAACGTATTAACTATTATTAGAGCTATTGTTTATGTATTTTTAAATGAATTATTTTTCCCTATATAAAGGTATTTTAGTGTATTGAATTCGTATTTTTTTTTATTTTTTTTTTTATAAACGGCGCCTCTCCACCAACAATGACGGGCGTAGGGCCTATGTTTTTTTGAGCTCACGTGATGTGCGCGCGTATCACAGTGGTCGGCGCTCACGTACACTTACATTTTTTATGACGTACAATTACAACGCCGCCGTAGCCGACCGATCACCCGTGACACTCGGTAACCGTGTGGAAAAAATCAAAAATGAAATGAAAAAAAATTCGAGAAATACCGACGGACGTGCCGGCCTGTCCGCATGCGTCATTATAATATCATATAATAATGTACATATATATATTATATTATTTATATTTGTACCTATTATTGAAGTAGATAAACACGCACACGTCCGACGAAAAAAAAAAACAAAACCAAAAACCTGATAAAAACAACGCGTGACCATTCAATGTTTGCCGCGAAATGGCCGGACAAAGACTCGTGGTGTTTGCGTTACTACAGGTCGTCTTGTTGCAGCAATCGTTCGAGTTGTTCTCCGGTACACATCACATACATTTCACAACCCTACTACTCCATTCGAAAAATTTCAAATTCATATTATGCAAATATTTAGCGTGTAATTAGTATGAATTCGGATGTCTATCCCTACAATTTGCATTCTTTTTTGATTAGGCATTGTATCAGAAAAACCACGAGAGGGTTGGAGAAACGTTTCTCTAGTCCCCCCTCTTTGTTTAAATTCCATTTTTCGAAATTTTTCCAACGTCAATATATCTATCACGCCATCAGCATGAATTTGCAATACTAATCTCAACATTCTCACGACACTTTTCTGCCAGTAAAAAGCGGTTTTACTGCAGATTCGCGCATTTTACCAGCCCCCTATTCCGTTTCTCTTGCAGCCCTCGCATGGTTTTTCCGATACAACATACCACCAGGATAAGCATGGAAATTTAAAGGTATAAAATAATAGCATTAAAAAAAATTGGAGATGTTCGAGAAGAGGGGGGCTGGTGAAATGTACGTGTACGCACCCCGGCGCTGTCGTCTACAATAATAGCGACAATTATATTTATTTTTTTTTTTCAAATATTTTCTCATCACCGTGTCGTTAACATTATGACCAAATAATTATTTATAACAACCGTATTCCTGTGCAGCATCAGAGATGAAAACCGTGGGACTCCGGCGGCAGAGGTCACCTACAGCTGCGGTAGTGGCAGGACGTCCGGGCGGCGGCGGCGGTTGGCACGACCTCGACTACGGCAACCTGACGAACGCCATTCGGGACATCGTCGCCGCCACGACAATTGACTGCTCCCTGGCCATCCACACGGGTGTCGAGAGTACGCGGTCCTATCACTAAGTCTCACTTAAACTACCTAATACATAAATTATTGCAGGAGTGGCATTTCAGTTTTTCAGTAGGGATGTAATCATTTGAATCGTGCCAATTTTTCCTTCTGCTATTATATTTATTGACATTGACCATAGTTCATTTTTTCTACGAAATAACTCACTGTACTATGGTTTACTCCGAGTGACGTCAGTTTCGACGCACTGTTGTTTTTCCGAAATACCTGAACATTTAACCATGGTAACAATCGCCATTTCTCACTCTCACGTCTCACATCTCTACCGGACTCCGGTAGAGACAGCAATTGGCAGTGGTTCGGTAAATACCCTTTTATTTTGCATTTTATCGACAACGGCGCAATTATAACATTTTATGCTGAAACCATATTTTAAAAAACGAGGCTGCCAAAATATAATCTGAATTCCTCAAATGACGCCCTTGGCAATGTCTATAGAGCCTTTATGATATTCATTAGTATACCGTAGGCAGTCATTCCATTCCGTACAAACGCAGGTTACCGAGTAATGCAACTGCACTTGCTCTCGAGGGGGATGCTGGGCGAATGCAGATTACTGGTGTTTTAGTGTCACGGGGTATTTTAAAAAGCTTTAAATAATAAAATACATAAAAAATACATGTAAAAATTAATGGACGTGTAGGTCCAGGATACTTTTGTGAACTGTGTGCACTTCATAGACGCAACTAGGGGGATGCTAGGGGAGGTTTTACCACCCCTAAAAAAAACCCTTTTAACTTTTTCACAAGAACGAATAAATATTTTATTGCTGTATTTCATGATTAATGAACAGAACAAAATACAGATATCCTATACAGACAATGCATATACGTATGAAAAAGATTATTAAAATATCTATGATAAATTTGTGTATAAAATATTGTAAATAAAATGTGTAGTTACCTATTGTAAGAGTCGTGTAAAGGGGTATGTGGGGGCATATCTCTAATAGGTCTTTGATGTGTTCATAATTTTAGCTTCTCCAAAGTTGGTGGTCTAGATACGCCTATGGTGCGTTCTTAAAATTATTCTGTGCACCACTACGTCCAGAGTTAGAAAATCGTGTATTGCGGCCTGCGGGGAGTTTGTCAAGCAGACGTGTTGTGTTGTGTGAAATACCATTTTTCGAAAGAAATTTTACAAGAGGAATAAGAAATCGATGATATTTTTTTAAACATAATTTTTGTTATCAGAAATTATTATAGGTAATATAAACACTACATCGAACTCTCCCATGAATATGAATATTATTTTTATACGTAAATGTATACAAATAATTTCTAATTTCGGTTAAAAATTAACAGCATAATAATTAATAGTTGCTATTATTTGTAATATACCTATTATAATATTGTTCGTATTGTTTGTTCATTCATATTAATACAAAGATGCCGATGCCGATTTTCCGAGTCACACAATTAAGTCACTACACGAAAAGGGTGTAACAACGACTCACTATGCTTTATTAGCAACGGATCACGTACAATTGGTAACGTATCACGCGCGTTATTATTTAGATGGATTACGATAAAATATTATAATATAAAATCCATAAAAAAAACACCCGTGAACAACAAAACTCATTATCTCATCAGAACTTATTAGAGTCGAATTTTCCTTTATCTATTTTGTATTATAGACATATTCTCTGTGAAAAAATAAACAACCGAATACAATGTAATAAGTATACTAAAATTGAAACGTTGAAGGCAGTCAAAGATTATATACAGATCAATAGGGAACGTATAAACAATATAAGATACTTCGATATAATGCAGTTATATTTTCAAATAATATGACGAGTATTTAAAGAATTTTGAACAAAATAGTAAATACTAGTCAGACTTTCGAATTTTTCCTTAATAATATAAACAAAACAAAGAATATGATTATTTCGAAAAAAAACTGTAAAACAATTATTTATTAGGGATTAGTATATATAAAACGTTCAAGGATACAGCTATATTTAAAGGTACCTACATTGTTTAATGATAATTAGAAGCACTCAATAGAAATTAAATGCAGGATTAAGAGGGCCAGGGTTTCGGTTCAAAAAGATACGGACATACTTGGCACGATAGGTGGGCCATTGAAGTAGATAAGAATTTAGGAAGGTAGCATATAGAGGGGAATTTAAAGCATATCTGTACGCAAGGATTGATCACTGCTAACGAAAAACGATTCTGAGCGGAATTTGGTTAGACATCATGTTTTAAAAAGCCATAATATTTACAATTTTCGACAAAATTTGATGTTAACATTATTAGGAAAAATAATGCTAAAAATACTACATTAAACTCAACTTTTTCTTGTTGACTACTAAGTACAACTATTTTATCCATAGAGTAAAAAACTCGCAAAAAAAAAAAAATGTCTATAAATAGCTCAGTAATTAAGTTAAATGTTTTTAAAATTTTACCATGTCTAGGAAAGGCAAATATAAGTTTTATGTCAAAATTTCAAATGTCTATGAATATTTTTAAAAGAATTACATTAAATTTTCATTCTTCATTATAAAATAATAAATATTATTACTATGTTTTTCAATATCCAACACAGATATTTTGCTGGATTCTCAAAAAAGAAAAAGAAAATACTAAAATGGGGAAATACGATTTTTAAAATGATAGGGAATAGAATGGAAAGTTGACACTCCCAAACAGCACATCCTAGATAGTATAACGGCATGCATTTACAACATTCCATCCCCTTGCTTCCATTTTTATAAACATTCGTAATAACAATTAACATAATAATATTAAACAAGTTACATATTTTCTTTAAATGTCAACGGGAGGGGGAAGAAGAAGTTATAAACCCCCGCTCTTCACGCGACTTTTTTTCAAAAATAATTAAATAAAACAAATGCGTAAATTTTTTAATTTTTAATTTCGTTTAATTTTAGCTTTTGGTCGATATGCGTCGAGCAGTGGTCGATGGACGGCACACGTGTTACGTAATGTTTTCGACATCTGAGATCATGGAGGGTATACTGTCGGAAGTAATATCAACACATTATTAAATAAAACTTCGTGACGCGATTTCAATAGTCTATTTGTATTATTCATATTTCCCACAGATCCGGAGGAACAACCTGATGTCCCGGAATGTTCTGTACGTGTTTTTATGGTTACGGTCCTCGGTCAGCCGGACGTTCAGATCTGGTATATCAGAGGCATTACGCGTGTGCGTCATCACCAGTCCCAGGCCGGGATTGTGAGTGTGTCCTCTCATCAATAACAATAATAATAATATTATTTTTATTATTATTACTACTACTACTACTACTACTACTACTCTGCGGGTCCTTCCACCCTAAGCTCCGAGGATTCAGTCCCCCTCACGCGCTTGTCTCCAGCTGCAACCGCTATATTATACATTCCCGCAGACGGGAGTCCGCGTCGAGGAGAAAGATATCAACAACGTAACTTTTTCCCAAGACACACATTATCTAACGGGCGGCGCGGAGTAATATTGCAATAAAATTGAAAAATAAATTCGGGGATTTCGCATCCCCTGCCCCCAGGACAGACCCACGCAGTGTACCGTAAACATAATATCATTCATATATAATACGTATACAGTAATATAGTATTAATTCAATTGAACCGCATTAGTACAAGATCGACGTCCTTTTTTTTCTCTCAACACGAGCTATTATAACACTATCCCTGTCAAACTGTGCAGTCCCAACATTCAGCGGTTTCAATTCAATATAATATACAAGTGCTGATACTGCTGATAGATGTGTGAATTGTTATAAGTAACAGGAAGGTAGGCTACATAAAGTTATTTAATTTATATCTGTACGGAACAATAACCCATACAACTAAGGAAAAACGATTCTTAGTGAAGTTCGAATATACATCTATTTAAATTTCATACTTTGTATGTTTTTCGACAAAATTTGAACTTTTAATGCGTATGAGAAAAACCAATTATGAACCTCGAGTAAAATTGTCAAACATTTCTACTTGACAAAACCAAATAAAAACTTAAAAAAACTAAAAAATGTCAAATGCCCTTAAATAACTTTAAAATGTCCAGAATGTTTTGGAACATCTATAAAATGTCATTATTAGTGTTGTGTGAAAATATCAGGTCTCTGTGACTATTATTAACAGAATTACAACAAAAAACCAAACCAAATAAAAATAATGAATCGTTATTGCCATACATTTTCCTGTTTTTCCTACTTTTTTCTATTTTTTCCCAATTAGAATGAAAATTACTTCGACTTTAATTATGAAAACGACCTTATAATATATTAACTGTACAATATTTTCTTTCATCAAATATTCTAGTCCTCAAATTCGGAGCTAGATACCTTTTAGAAAACAAAAACTAAAAAAATGTAAAATAATGAAATGTTTATGTCGTAAATATTTGTTAGCTTTTCCTATACTTTTTTTTTCCGATCATTATGATAACCACATATAAAATCAAAACAATTCCTCCTCAATGCACCAATTAAATTTGAAATTCGCCATAGAAAGACTCTTCTCATATCTTGATCGAAGCAAGATTTCTGATAGAAAAGTTGTTTTAATAGCACTTTTTATCAAATAATAGGGTATTTAAGTAGGTATGCGTACACATTTTTATCATATATTTATATAGTACATTAACGTTTTTGATCTAAGCGCATTACTCATTTACAAATCAGTAAAATTTCAACACTTATTCATTTATTCAACAAAATATTTTTCACATGAAATCACCACTAAACAACTCTCAACCATTAGACAATTATAGCCAATGGCTAATAAATAATAAGTAATACATAATTGACAGATTATATTTTTATAATAAAAATGTCATCTACTATACTTAATAATAATAATATGACACTAATACTAAATACTATATTTTTAAAACAGTTCTGTTAATTCAAATTTTTCTAATTATATAATTCATACATTTTGTCTCTATTGTGGTAATGACGGTAACGTTGATATTATAAATTATTAATATAGCTTTTCGGGTTTTGCATATTATTATTAAGTACAGTAGATGACATTTTGTTTTTACTTTTAAATTGCATAACATGTCAATTCACTCTAATATTAAAACAACATAAAACTGTCCCGTGTGAACGAATATTTGGTATGTCGTGCACTTGTAAGACTGATATAATTTTATATATTTAAAACATTTTATTGAAATAAATACATATATAAATACAATATTATTTTCAAAGCCTCCTCCCCAGAAAAATGTTGGAAATCCGCTACTAAAAGTCACTACACATACATAATATGATTGTATTGTTGTGTAACGTGTACTCGTGTTATTACCGTTGCTTGCAGTTATCAGATTTATTACAGCCAGGCCACCGCCAATGCCAAACACGGATCAGAACTGAAAATGGTCAATTGGTGGTCAGCCGTAGACGGGTTAGTCAGGTTCCCGTTGTTACCTTCACCCAAACGGGTGTACTCGAATTTCGAAGGCAGACGTTTCATTGTTCCTGTTTTACATGTGCGCATTAAAAAATAATATACCTCTAATAATAACCGTAATGTATATTATAACGAATCGGTTCAAAATATCTTTTCAGACATAAATTCACGAAAACAATACACAAACGCAACATACATACGCACACGCACCGCGGCATTACCCGCAGTCTACACGTAACAATGTTAATGCATTTAAACTTGATAAAAAAAATAATACAAATACGTAGGTAGATTTAATAATAATTGTATTATTGTACTGCAGCAGTATATTATATATACCTACATCCTACAGAAAATAGGTACAAAAATATATTATAATTTTGGCAATACCTACTAAATGAAAAACTTGATTTTTTTTTTATTACTACTACTACTATAATATTATCTCATTTCTACACTAATGCCGAGCTGCACAAATTACTTTCATTTTTCATATCAATTTACCATTCTTATCGGACAATTTGAAGGATCTATTTTGGTTTGATAAAAATAATATCAAAAGCAATTCCATAACTTTACTGAACTGATAATACATATTTTTCAGTTGTTCATAATTTTTTTTCTTTTTGTACCCACTATGTTATGTATGAGGTTTCTTTGCTTTTCCTATTTTTATGGATGTCCTCGTTTATTCGGACTATTTTCATAAATAAAAAAGTGTTATGTTTTTATTTATACTAACAATTTTAACAAAACGAAATAAAACACAAAGGTATTATCACTCTATAGATTGTACTAATTTATTACCATTATCTTGTATATAGTGACCATGGTATTATAATAGAGTTGATAAATGATGAATTGTTAAAGTTCTGAATAAAAATGTATTCATTATTGTTTATTCTATTTCATATAGCTCATAAATTAGAAGTAAGAATTTAACTATAAATACCTCCAGTATATAAGTATCTATGCCAAAGAGAAAATGCATTTTCAGTGACAATTTAAAAACATGTTAAATAAATTAAATATTATACTGTTATTTCTATTCAATAGACAAAAAAAAACGTAAATTTGTTTGAATAAAAAATATTAAGGTTGTTATGATGGAATAATTTAATTTTAAACATTATACTCAAATTTAAAGATTTTTTTTTTTAATTTTCAAAGAATGAAAAAATAATAAACTATTAAAACAAATATCTATCTCTGACACATATAATCATAAATTATGATCGAAGTAATAAATTACTGAAACTATGAAATTATTTATTTATATTAACATAGTTAAAAAATTATATATTTATAACTATAATAATTTTTAAATTTTTTTTAAATTTATAATACCATACAGTATTGAAAAAGTTATAATTAATTTATGGTACGTTTAGTTTATTTTTTTTACTACTGGTTAACTAGAAAATAGATTTAGTTTAAAAATATGGTTTATATCTCTATATTTAAATATCTGTATACTATGAATTAATAGTTTAATCAACTAGTTATTAATTTTTTTTAGAAATTATTATCCTATTTTTGAAGTAAACACATCTGGTCACCTTTGCTGTAATTGCTTCATAGAATATTTCCAACTAGCTTTTTAATACGAAAATACTCACTTGAATTAGCATAATTCAAACGTGCATGCTAAAACAATTTTTATTTACAATCATGATAAGGGTTGAGTTATTATTGTAATTTGTATACTATTTACCTATAGAACAATAACCACAGTTATTTTGTATACAAAGAGTAGGAAATTGAACTTAAATTGTATCTACTTTAAATACAACATTTTTTAATAAACTTCAAATTTAAAATCTTACAAAAAAAAAATCATAAGGAAATGTATAAATTTAAAATGGTAGCTTCAAATCCTTTATCCATAATATTTAGTTTTAAAGTTGTATCTATAATAATTTTTTTCTTGTATTATAGAAACCACCATGGATGTTCGTTGAATATTTAAATGACAGTTTCCGAGTAGACGGCGGACGAGACGATAAACTTATAAATTTGTTGGCCAACAAGCTTAATTTCCGGTAAGTATTATATAACCTATGTGTTTACCTAACTTGTTTTTCACAAAAATTGTTTATAATAGTTCATAATAGTTTAAATCGATTTTAATGTCCCTTTTTACTTCTAAAATTTTAATTTTTAACCACGTAAAACGTTTATGCAGAAATATACACCAAATTCCACGATTTGTGCGTAAAAACTTACAAAATTATTCCAAAAATAAATTTACACAATATTGGGTCGGTAGCCCCCCATTTTTGAACTTTCGTCTTTTCAAAATGTCAATAATTTTATAGTGTAATCTATGTAGAAATGTGCACAGACTACACTCAATAAAATATCTCCCTTTTAGAAAAAATTGGCTTGAGTCATAGATAATAACCTTTATTGATAATATGTATTTATGGACGTGATTATCTTTATATCATACATTAACTCATAAATATTTAGACGCGTAATTTAACTGTCATTTTTTTATCACTATGAGCTGCAATGGTAGTCAAATGATTTTGTCATAGGGAAAAATCTAATTTTTTAACAACTATTAATATTTAAATAGTTTTTTTTCTTATATAAATAAATAGATAATAATATTACAGTATATATTATTAAAAACAATGAAGGAAAACGAGATTACGGGGATATTATTCGTCCCTCGTTCCTCTCGTTTGGCCACTCCTGCCGAGGTGTGCGCTCCTTAGTTTCACATAATGCGAATCAAACGCATGGGGACGCTCATTTTAAAAACGAATGGGTTTCGACCACATCATTGTGCGTCTTGTGTGCACGAAACGTTTAAAACGTTCCATGGCACAAAGTCGACACTGTGAAACTAGACAAACAGACGCGTTTAAACGCATAATGAATACCTATTGGATGACATTTAAATTTGTTTAAAATTTCAAAATTCAATTTATATGGTTTCTGTGATCGCCGAATTTGCTTCTTGGATAAATTCGAAAATATTAACACTAAAACGACTATATTTCGTATACAAACTATCAAAACACGATTGGACCAAGTAGAATTTCAAAATTCCAATTTCGCTTCAATATTTATTTGCCCTTCCTAACCTCCTAATTTGTATCTTGAATAACTACAAAACCAATTGTACACAAATCATCGCTATGAGTACAAAGTACAAATTCCAACTTCAGGAGCCATGTAAATTCAACCATTCAAATGTATCTAAATATTTTCCAATTTTATGAAAAAATTTAAAATTGAATGTATCTAATATTTAATGATAAGACTTTTCCGTTATTAAACTACCATCCGATTCTCGTTTAAGGGGAAGGAACAAGGTTAGCCGTTTTTACGGGCAAATATGACGCTTTAGACCAAAAAGTCAAAATTGTAGGATTTGTGTTTGACGGATTTTAATTTTGAAAATATATTATAATTCTCTAAGTTCTTTTTAGGATGCGTTGGAATTATTTTTTGAACTTTAATTCCTTTCGTCATAAGTAAAATGCTAAATACTATACGTACCAACATTTTAAAAAAATATTTTAAATTTCTATAACCAAAATATAATAGTAAATAAGAAAAAACCTAAAAAATCATAATCTGTTTTTAAAATTTAAATCCACCAAACACAATTACTACAGAAGTCTGGCTTTTAGGTCTAAATAAACTAAATTATACACAGTTACCACTATGGTAATATGCATTCCAATATTAATATTGTATATTATAATACATTATGTATACAGGAATAATAGTTATAATAATATAATATAGTAGTAATAATATAATGTATTAATAAACACAGATTCACATATATTGACCCACCTGATCGTACACAAGGTTCGGGACTTGATCGCGGTTCGTCAATGCAAGGAGTGTTGGGTTTAATTAGACGAAGGGTATGCATAATGCATTATTAATAATATTGTGTATTTAATATTTATATAAAACCAATTAAAAAGTAAAGAAGGTAAAACGCCAAAACAATTGTATCCACATAAATCCAAATAAAAACTAAAAATCCCCAAAACATATCAAATGCGTATAAAAAGCTCAGAAATGACTAGAATGTGTTGAAATTTTACCACGTCTAAAGAAGGCTAGAGAATATATGCATATTTCAGGTCTCTGTGATTGTTTTCAATCGAATTATAACAACAATGAAACTAAGTCGAAAATAATAAAATTGTTATTTACGTAAACTTTCCCATTTTTCTTACTGTTTTTTTTAGTATTCTCAAGTGTTCAAAAACTATAAGAAAAATCAAAAAATTACCTGCTCAATTCATCAATAAGTTTCAAAATTCCATAAAAAAAAAAGCCCTCTAGTCGTTTTTTGATTAGAACAAGATTTCTGGTTGGAAATAAGTATTGTTCACATACACACAATAAATAACAATTGCTTGTACTACTGCTGGGTTTTTCATACGACTGTAGGTGAGAAATAGGATTGTAGGATACATAAAATTATTTAATTTATTTTTGTATGCAGCGATAAACCATCTAGCAAAAAACGAATCTTAGTGAAGTTCTGGTTTGATATACCTAGATTTTTACGATAGTCGTCAACATTTGAACTTTAAACACGTATAAAAACGTTATACATTTAAATGCTCAACTTTTACCACTAATTGCAACTTATAATGAAACTCGAGTAAAGTTTTCAAACATTTCTGCTTAGGAAAAAAAATATTATTCACATAAAACCAAATAAAAACTAAAGAAAACTCGAAATGTCAACTAACTATATAAATGACTAAAAATTTCTAGAATGTTTCGAAACATTTAAAAAAGATCATTATTAGTATTCTGTGACAATTTCAGATCTCTATGTTTATTTTATATCGAATTAAAATAAACAAAATCGAAATGAATCCCTAATTGCCGTAAATTATCTGGCGCCGTGCACTTTCTGCCCGTGTTTTTTCCGCTCAACACCTTTCTCGTGCTATTTCCGCCCGTTTTCGTAATCTTTAACTGCTACAATTATATAAGATTATTTGCTCACAATTTAAAATTATAATTTTATAAATTTTATAACATTTTCAAATTATCATATCTTTGATTCAGATTTCTGAACAAATGATAAATGCCTTTACCTATCATGATAGGTATAGTTACAAATTATATTTCAATTATAAAATTTGCATATTGATTTCCGTTATAACTAATACAATACATCGAGTTCATCAATGGAAGGCTTGAGCTTGGAGTACGTACCAACAAAAGAAAGAAAACTTATATATATATATATTTAGATCAACGTATTAAACAAATAAATGAAAATTGCTTATGACAAAAATTCAAAAAAAGATGTTTATTAAATTTATCGTTTGTTCAAAAATTAAATAAGATATAATTATGTCTATGTACCTACTCGTAATAAAATATTTTCAATTTTGAGTGGATATTCCACCTTACATAATATCAGCAGGTAAAGATTATGACCACGACGGAAATAGCGCGAAAAAAGTGATAAGTGTTTCTACTTATCCTTCGCAAGGGCGGAAAGTGCACACCGCCATTATCTCGTATTTTCCCAGATTTTATGCAAATTACCTAAAAAATCAAAAACTGATTTCCAAATAAGTTTGTTCGTTTTTCTTTTAAGTTTTTTCCAGATTTGTTTCAATTATTATAAATAATATGTACTACTTGGAAAACCTTACTTTCCTAATTACCAACTAGACAAAGTTTTCTTTCGAGTAAGATGCTACTCTTGAAATTCGGAGTATGAATTCGGGTAGATGACAAAAATCAAAATTATTTAAAATGTTGTAATCGTTACGCTATACATATTTTAATTTTTTTTTTTTTTTTTACGTTGTTTTAGGATTTTCCCTCTTATCATGAAAATTGCTTGAAAATTAAAATCTCCATATAGCACCAACTAAATCCCAAATTTATCAAAAAAAGTTTCTTGTCGTGTTTTGATTAGAGCAAAATTTCTTGTAGAAAAGTTGTCAGCAAGCAGTAAAAAAGCACTCGTCATCTCATAAACCAACATAATCTAACCTAACCTAATCAATAAATTATAAATACCTCTCTACGCCCAAAATCTAAACATGAACATGGATTGTATGCAACTGTGTTTATGAGTTTTGATAACGCAGACCGAGATTTGTTATTTGTATATATCTCACACGAGTTTAATTAAGTAAAAAAAAGTTCACGTACTATATATTCTATATTAATCATATAAATTCATAAATAAGATAGGCACGTAAGAACGATGGCTGAATTGAGGTCCTGTATACCTAGGAAAAAAACTCTGGATATATTTTGTTTGATGTGATTATTAAACTCATATGCAAATTAAAGATAGTTTATAGAAGTCGGAAAAAGATCTTTAATGTATGTAAAATGTATTTTGTTAAACTATACAGCAATAGGTTCGCAATAATTTAGATTCGAAGCGTATCAAGGAATGTATTGGTTTACAATGTTTATTTTTTTATTTTGTGAACAACTTTTCTACCAGAATGTATTAAGTGTAGCACTTTTTCTGAAAGTAAATTTTATCTAGTTAGTACTTTCGAGGTCATTTTTTGATTTCCCAAGCGGTTTTCTAAATCATTGGAAAAAATCGGGAAATCCGGAAAAATGTATGTACACATGCCAATATTTCACATTTTCTTTTTTTTTTAGTTTTTATGTGAATGCAATTATTTTGGCCAAGCAGGTCAGGTTATTGAGGATATTCATTGTATCTATAAGTTTGACGTCATCCCTAAATTATGTTGATTAATTTATGTTGATAAGGAAGCAGATTGGTTTGTTGGAGATTTATCTATAACTTACGAGCGCAACTTAGTGGTCGATTTTTCTTTCCTTACACTAGTCGACAACGAAGCGTTCCTAACGCACGCACCTGGACGTTTGAACGAAGCATTTTCGCTCATCAGACCGTTTCATTGGTCGGTAAGTTTAAGGAAGACTTAAAACTAGCTCCCACAACGAAACAAGCATAATTGTATATATTCTCCGACGACAACGGCAGGAATTTATAGAAATATATTAAAATTCAATGTATTATTTAAATTATTATACATGTATTACAAGTATATCATTTTTATACATTTTGTTTTATAATATTAGGGGAGCTGAGGAAATATAATACAACACACTATAATATACAATACGAGTTCATTCTTATTCCCTAAGCTAAATTAAATTATATATTATCGGTTAAAACAGCAATTTTGAAAAAATAATTTGATACAATTTATTTAAAAACGATTCCGAGTATAATTTCGATTGAAATCATTCATTATATTCATTCCATTGAATATTTTTATAACAACACTTTTTAAATGCGTTTCAATATGAAAAAATGCCAAAACTACGTGATTTACTATCCTAACACCTCGTGTTATGAATTTTTTTTAAATTTACGCCCTGGACACATAAAATGAAATTTCAGAAAAAAAAAAATATATTTTACGTCTTATATTACCTACGATCCTGCAAACCTTCACAGCACACTCCATCATCTCCCACAGATGATCTTTGTCTTTAAATGAATATTATTATATTTACTCGAGTATTTCAGGTTTGGCCATTGTTATTGATGACGGTAATTTTTGCCGGGCCAATACTTTACGCGTTAATCGACTCAACAGATGGCCACCCCAAAGGAAAATCTATGTTATATTGGAAATGCGTTTGGTGGTCTGTCACGGTATTTTTACAACAGGGTAATATTAAACATACTTTAGCTCCTTTCATTATTTTATATTTGTTAAGAATTTATGTTACATTCAGTAACAACACGCCAATTTGTATCTTTATAATGATAAAGTATTATATTTAATTTTCAAAAGTAATTTATGCACGACAACAGCTAGGTATAAAATAACATATTATGAAAATTTAAAATTAAGAAAGTATAATAATATATTATACGATCAGTAAAAATAACAAGAATTGTAGACTATGTTTCCGTTTAACAAAATATAATTTTAAATATTTATAGTTTTACTCCGATTTAAATAAAACTTTACTTAATAGTTAAAACACTTACCATCGTCTATCCGGTATCTACCACGTATTATATTATATGTACCTATAGATATTAGATATTATAACGTTCAAATAGTTGTTCCTTTTTGTATGATAAATAGCATATTTTTATTTTTGTATAATAAACAATGTAAACATTGAAAAATATAATTATTAAACGCGATAAGTACCTATATATATATTGGATCGGGCTTAATATCGAATTTGTCTAGAGTTTCAAACAATAATACAATATTGTTATTATTTTTGTCTACGTGATTTGATGTATAAATCGTAAATTTCTATTTCAAAATAACACATAAGAAATCAATCAAACAGCAGATAACTGTCAAATATCGGCCGATATTGGCCGCGTTTTGATTCACCTATATTTTATCAGTTTTCTTCTACATACTGACAACTTCACAAGCTATACAAGACTGTTAAATTATTATAATATTATATAGTGACAAAAAATGGAAAGTGCCGCAAAATTGGAATAAAAAGTGGTATCCAAACAATAGAAAAACTGTGCACTGATACAACGCTATATAATATTATACTTTAAATATTCATAATAAGTTTTCAATACGTGTAGCGAACATTACTCATTATTAAAACATGTCTATGCATTTTTGTATACATATTTGTAAGCTCCAAACATCAGAACAGGTGTACGTACTTGTTCAAAAACCATATTATTAAAGAAAATTAAAATATAATACATATTTTATACAAATTTTGAACTTTGAACATAATAACTGTACATGTATGCCCTATTTCCTGAATAGCGTATACGACTACAATACGTATACATATTCTGTATAGATGGATCTAATATATGATGTCGACGAATATCTAAAACGGTATAGGCTAATGGAATCTACACATTAAATTAATAATATATTTTGGAAAACCTTTAGCGTAGTGGCCTACTTAAACAAATTCAAATAAAACTCGTATTATCAATGGTATGGAGGAGGATACTATAATACTGTAATACTATAATATCATAATATCATAATATCATAATATAAATTTATTCGTCTGGGTTTAGAAGATTTAGAAACGGCCCCTCCCTCTTCTCTTTCCTCATATAATACACGAGTACACGAAAATAAATCCAAATATCATTAATATTTAAGATTGGTATATAGTATAAACAATTTGAGTTTTACACAAGACTGAATTTGGTACAAAAAATAATGAAAAATAAGAACTATTTGTAACGTATAGAATTTTAATTATCGTCGTACCTACTTATGATGATAAGCATTCATCTATACTTTTTGTACGCCATCAACTATTTTAAAGATACTACCTATTGATTAATAATCTTATAAAAAAAAAACATGTTTATATAGCTGCAATTATTCCATCAAACAATTGTAAAATCCGATTTGTGGCCGGATTATTAATGTTATCCGGTACTTATGTGATTGGTGATATGTATTCTGCTAGTCTGACGTCGATATTAGCGAGACCGCCAAAAGGTATAATACATTTTTATATAATACAGATAGTACGAGTACCTTTTGAATATCTTTTGTTTTGGGGAAAACGACTTGGTCAATTTTGAGCATTTTTTATTTTTTTTAATTTCGTCTTATGTAATTTGTTTCCCTTTATTTTTTGATCTAAATGGCACAAGTGTATGTATGTTCAAAATTAGTTTAGTATGTAGTGTTTTAGTATATATGTGTAACTGTGTAAATGTGTATGCATTTTCTAAATTTAATTTGCTGGTATTGAAAACTATACAAAATTGACTCAAACCCTTTTTCCCTGCATATGACCAATAATATATATATATCATATAAATATTATTCACAATTGTAAATTCGGTATAGGGACAGTAAGTATATATGTATATATATTTCAACCAATGTTATAAAATGTTTCACGGGTAAAATATACTAGTATTATAATTTATTTAACTGTGTACAAAACTATTTTCTTTTTTTGTGTATATTATTTCAAATTAAAATTTGAATTACCCAACAGAACCTCCTATCAACACGTTGTTCGAATTATCTAAAGCAATGCGTGACTCTGGCCTACAGTTATTGGTTGAGGCTCAAAGCGCTTCGCAAACTATGTTGGAAGTAAGAGTTCAGTACACATTATTGGTATCATTGTTAACACGAGCGGTTATGAATTTTGTTATGTATTTTCTATAATACTATAATTTCCATTATCTATATAGAATGGCACCGGTGTTTACGAAGATTTATCAATGCTTGTGACCCGCCAACGAGAATATCTAATAGAATCTACCGAGAAAGGAATGCAATTGGTCAGGGACAACAAGAATTACGCGATCATCGGTGGCCGGGAGACGTTCTACTATGACATCAAACGATTCGGTATATATGTTTAATAAATTCGCTTATAAAATTTTAAGTTACAACGATGACAAAAACGAATGGTTATTTTCCATTGGGCACCGCTTAATAATAATAATAATAATAATAATAATTATAATTGTTATGTATATGAATAACATTATACATTATACATGCACAATATAGATACATTACACGTATATACTTATTTTAGTTGGCAGGAAATAGAAATTTTTCAAGAACATGTATAAAAGAAGAATACTTTCCCTCAAAAATAGTGGTTTAAGTGAAAAAAACTTAAGGGAGACTATATTTACCAAAAATTGAGTACCGTTCCCAATGAGTAACTAAACATAATCAAATTTTCAGGAAATCCATCTTGGAGACAATACTTCCAAAATGTTTTTCTTTCACGCATATTAATTGTTCATAAAAAAATGTATACTAATAGAATTTCAAAACAAACTGTACCCCGTCCTGTCAAATATTATTCTACGCATATATCTGTTCAGTAAAAATGAAACAGAATCTCATTTTGTTTAATCTAATAGCTATTATTAATTTTAATAAAACTAATTCATGTTTTTAAAAATTGCATTAAAAATGTTTCAGTAATAGTAAATAAAACGTCCCCTGACTTCAAAGATTTTAACTTACGGAAGCTGATAATTTTACCTTAAATAAAAAAGGGGACTTTAATGCCTAAAGTAAATGTTGTTATACCTATGTGAATCTACAGATTCCGTATGATTATATTTGTATTAAAATGTTCAATGCTTTAACGTTTCATTGTATAATATAAATTTGGTAGCAAAATGTTATAAATTATAACGTTCCCAGCACTTTTCCAATCCCGGGAACAGAACAACACTATATATATATATATATATATATATAGTACACTATACTATACTATATTATATGAACCAACTCTTTCTACATAGTAGTTACCCTCGATTGTTTACTATTCAATTTAAACTGAGAACCGCTATATGTGTATTCACTGTACCTATATTTATATAATATTTAAAACTACAATTTACTTTCGAGTGAAATAAAACCTACGGGTGAAGTTGTCAAGTTGCTGATATGTATATAAACTGAGTACAAACTTACATCGATTATTGTTATAGCTGGAATTATATAGAAATGAAGGAGGAGTAGAATGATTCAACGCATTAATATAATGATATTATAATAAATATGCGTATACCTATAATGCACATTTTGCACACACTATAAAATGATTATTATAGCTACATATATTGTTCATAAAAAAAAAAAAAAAGGAATAAACTTCTAATGTATGATAAAATATCAGTATATTACAGAGAGTGATGAGTAGATATTATATTTTAATTTAGCACTCTCTATATAATATATTATAATCTACTCTATCTATATAAAACAATTTAACAATTCTCATTCAACAGAACTCATATTAAATGCAATAACAATTTTTCATCGCATGCGAATAATATGGTAATATCTATTATTCGTGTTATTTATATATTCGCATGTTAAATATGGCCACAGGTGCGCAACATTTTCATCTGAGCGAAAAATTGAACACGAGATATTCGGCCATTGCGTTTCAACAAGCAAGTCCGTACAGAGAAAATTTCGACGACGCGTAAATATTATACAATGCTATTACAACAATACTACTCTACTAGCTAATAACTACCCGATATTATCTGGGCTCAATCCTTTCAAAGACAAAAATCAATAAAATAAATTCAATTTAACGCGTGTCCCCGTCTCTATCCTCATCCGTATTAGTGATTAACTGTAATCAGGGATGTGTGTTTAGTGAAGGGTCTATGGTGGGGCTAGTAAACGGCTTTCGTAAATTATTAAATATTGAATTATGTTTGAACATTGGTGTAAGAAAGGTGTAAGGGTTTAACCCCCATGGGTTAAATTTAGTTCAATAACTGCAAGAGACATTAATTTTTTAAAAGTCTTAGATAGATAGATAGTCCCTTTTTTTTTTATTTGCTCAACAATTGGAGCAATGAATATAATAACTAATAGGTACTTATGTATTATATTTAATAAATTATAGTCATATAAGTATAGACTATAATAGAGTACAATAATTATTAGGTTTATAATAAGTATATTATAAACAGTATAATATAATGATATTATTATAGTCCATGTGTATTTGTTTACAACCCGAAATACGATACCTGGGTATAAACATTTATTTTTGGACGTCAGTACTCGCCCTATGTAATTTTTCCTATTCAAATCATCCACATCGTCACGCACACCCATCAAACCGAAAATTATATCTGCCACGGGACATACGACTGACCGGTATACAATAATAATAATGATTTTGAAATATTGTGTGTCCGTGTTACCAGTGCCACAACAATTAAGTATGCAAGGTATGCATTTCATATAGACCACCTAGGGTGCCTCAAAAATCAAAAACTTAAATTCAAAATTATCCGAATTTGGGATAGCTTTTTGTAATATCTTATTTTCATTCAAGTAAGAAATACAAATTTAAATTCGGTTCTAAAAAAATAAATCCTTGCATACGAGATTCGAAATTCTTAGTTGCGGCAATACATGTGATTGTGTAGGTACCTAATAAAATCTTCACGTCTCTTCATGTATTCAATCCCAAGAATGGTTTGCAGCAATTATCCGTCATTCTTCCCTGTTAGCCTGTTAGCACAAAAATCATCCTTGGTCTATTATTATTTTCAAATATATTCCAAACGCAATCTTTCCCTGTTATTTTAACCTTATACATATCCTTTTCAATACAATGTTTATAAGTATATTATTACGATACACGCATGTACGCCGTGATGCGCGCAGTTTGATGCAGCTATTCGAGGGCGGCATTCTATCAAAAATCACTGAAGAAGAATACCAGAAGCTCAATGATAAACTGATGGGGTCGGAAAATTACGACGCCGAGTACGTGGCCATCGAACCCGTACTGGAGGGAGCACAGGAGTCCCGGCAAGACGACGACGACAGACGGTTGACCACGGCCATGTCCATGAAGACGTTGCAGGGGGCGTTCTACGTGCTGGCGATCGGATCCATTTTGGCGGGTGCGCGGTTAATTACAATAATAGTCGTGTATTGGCGGTGCGATTTTGAGCAACCTGGTTACTAGTTTAACGTATAATTGGTTTTGTCTGAATGCATTTTCGTTCGCCGGGTAAATCGAATCGGCGAACAATTAAAAACTACGTTTACTGTCTTCGTTTACCGGTTTTCCATTTGGTAAGATCAGTATCTTACCAAACGAACAGTTTCAGTAGTAAAAATCAAAATGTTTTGGCGGTACAGATATTACAACCAAGTATAAGTATAACAAACAACAGGAAACTATTTAACTGAAAACCGCATCACTATAACACGCTTAATAATAATTACATTATATAGGTACCCATATATAATCAGGGTTCTTATAGTTACAACAATGCATTTGCACATCGATCTAGCCTATATAGAAATTAATAAATGACGAGGATTTTGAATAACAATTTGAAAATTTTAAATTTTTGAACATTTCCGAATTTTAACAATATTTTTTTTTACGTTATTTTCCTATTTTTACCACACATTTTGGTACACAAAATTGTAATCAACTTTAATAGAACATAAAATTGTAGTAGACGCCTATAGAAAGAAAAACACAGATAAAGGACGACATTTATGTTTCACATGATATTATCATGGAAATTCGTGTTGAGGTGATAGAATACACTATTATATAGTATTATTAATATATAATTTAAACACTGGTAAGAAAAAAGTCCAAATCTAATAAAACTTCGTAATGAAATCAATACATTCCACACATTACGTTCAGAATCTAATACAAATTTATTTTTTTGTTCATAAATAGGTTCAAAATCAAAAAGACGTCCTAAGATAATGGGGATGGGTACAGTCATTGTTATAGGTAATTTAATGTACACCTATAAGCAACGATAAGCCATTGCTTACGAAAAAACGATTCTGAGCGGAGTCCAGTTGATAGTGATGCTATGTCAACAATATATGTATCATATTATAGGAAAACGATTAAATAGGCTTTATATGTTTTCTTTAATAATATTTATTAATGTTGTACTGATTTCTCCGGTTTTCCTACATTTTTCCCAGTTTTTCACATTTGCTGAGAAAACTCCAAAGAAAATCAATAAATGACCTCTTTAAAATACTTTCCCAGTGAAATTTCAGAAAAATTGATATTATTTTATGTTGGACCAAAACTACTGGCAGAAAAAAAACAGCGCATTATTATACAAATATATTTCGTACATTTTTCCGTTTTTTTCGGTTTTTCGAATTTGATGAGAAAACTCTTGAGAAAATCAAATGACCTACTTTAAGTACCACCCTACACCGATTTATTTTCAAAAAAGGTGTTACACGAAAAAATCGGAGCAAGTTCTTTAGTAGAAAAATTATCCATAGAAAAAAAAAATATATAAACATCTTTGTTAAACCATAAGCTTTTTCGCTCCACTCAGAATCTAAATTTATACGACTCGATTTATTTACAAATTTAAAAAAAAAAGAATCGATTAATAAATTTTTTGTTCATATTTAACTTTTATTTTGTTTTTCTAGACATGGTAAGATTTTCAAACCATTTGAACCATTTCTATAGGCATTTTAATTTTGCGAGTTTTGTACATAATTTGTATTAAGTAGGTACCTAATCTGGATAAAATTGTTAGACCGAACAGGAATGCTTAAAAAATTTGATAGGAAGTTCAATATGTCTTACTAAAAAAAAATTAGTGTAATTTAAAATTTTTTTTATAATAATTTTAATATCACATTTTGACGAAAATCGTAAATATTTTTTTTTCAAAACATGTATAACCGAACTTCGCTCTGAATCATTTTCCGTTAGCAATGGTTTATCGTTACTTACAGCTATTAATTAAATAACTTTATGTATCCCACGTTCCCAACTTTCCACCTACAACAGAAGCACACCCGTCCCCAGTATCAACTTATTTTTTTTATGGATTGAATATTTCTAAATTGGAATATATTCTTGTACGAACTCACGAACCCTGATTATAAAAACCATTAATTATTTATTTGATAATAACGGCCTGAATCATTATTGTACATAGGTTTGTTGTTGTTCATCGAAGTCAGATCGTACGGCAAGTTGAGAAACGACAAACGAATGAAACGCGAACGGCTATTGGCTAATAATAAGACCCGTTTCATACAACTCGAACTTCCGCCGTCCAAAGCATCTAATAACAAGTTTCAAAATAGATTTTACAATATTTGAAAAAAATAATTAAAACACCGATTATTACTATTGTATAATTTTACTAGAAAAGCCGGTAATGCTTTACTATTGCTTGATAATAATGTAAATAATAATAATAGTTTTTTTGTCCGTGACAACCAAATTATCATACGTATCATCAAAGTAACTCATGAAAAAATAAAAATAAATAAATAACTCAACATAAACAATTAGATATTTGTACCAAAAGTACCTAAAAACTCATATTTTATCCTTTGGGGTTGAATTATACGAGTAGTACCTAAGTGTAAACTATTATAATCACCTACATAAATTTATGCATTCTACAATAATATTTGCAAACAATATATTTGAATAACTATATAGACATGTACTATATAGTAACTTTTTTCATTATTATTATAAAATGTATATCTATATAATATTATGCTCAAAGAGAAATATTAACACTCCGGAATTCATACCTATATTATACAACCATAGACATACGAGCAGACCTATTATTAACATGCTAATATACGTGTGACGCGCCTACAACCTATAACCTGACTTTGCATTATAGGTAAAGTTGCGAAATGTTATGTCACCAAGCGGTCATAAATAATGGTACCTATCTAATTTTATGTTCTTTAATTCTATATTATAATAATATACTATAGTTATCATTATTTTACATGCCAGAGCTTTTTCTAAGGATTTTTATCTACTGCCCAAAATACACTGAAAAGTTTATTTTATGAAATTCATAGGGACTTTAATATTAACCCTCCCCCTCCCAAAAAAAAAAAACCAATTATACATTGATATTTCATAATTTTGACAACTGCGTGAAAAAAATAGTAATAAAAAAATACTTTTACTACAAACACTACGTGATGTGAGAATACAATTAAACCATGTCAATTTTTTACTTTTATTGTTCTTATACTTATTAGTTATTACAATTATTGAATAAAATATAAATACCTAAATAATAGAATTATATTTTTTATTTAAAATTTTCTTTTTATTGAGTGATTTGTATCTTCTTCCAGAGCATCTCTTTTTAGGTTTTGAGGTATAATTAAGACTTCAAAAATTCCATTGACCAACCTTGTTCACATGCTTTGGGAGTTTTTTTAAATCGACGGTTCGATGAGTTTATCCATAACAAAGTTGCAGGTCTTGGATCCTATAGTGTTAACGGTGGCATGTTAAAGTGAACGAACAAATACTCATTTTCTGTTCCAACAAGAAGACTTAGACGATCTGAAGATTTTAAAATATTACTAGTACTTATGAGACGTTCTACGTCTACATTGTGTTGTTTTGCTACAAGAATTCTAGAAATAACTATTAATACTTGAATTAAATATAAGCTGCAAGATAATCTACTAATTTAGTCATCGACATTTTGCGTAAATGTTCGATTTCCTTTAATTCTAGTACTTCTGCATACTCTAATGGTAGTTTTGTTGTGTCTAAATCACTTCCAATAATTTGATGAACTTCTTCTAATTGAACCTGAGATAATTGTTTAAAATTTATAAATGGTTTTAGAACATGTACTAGCTTATCATTAATATCAATTCGTTGTAATAAAAAATTAGCCAAGCTTTCTACAATTTCCTGACATACAGCATTAACATTTCGATTTTCTATCACAAATAGATGATGTTGATTTCGCCTTTTTAAAGAAGAATCACCCTCAATTAACTTAATGCTTTTTATTGAATTTGAACTTTGATCTAATTCATCTTGAAGTGCGTTTATTCTATCAGCCAGTTTTTCTTTAGATTTAACTATCATTTGTCCCATTGTAGTCGATTCAGCGATTTCAGTTGTTGTCATTTTATGTAGTATAGAACCTTTTAAACATTCTTGGAGGTAGGTTTGTTTTAAATGATCGATTATTGTTTCTGTTCTAAATCGTGTCCCTAAATCTTGACATATTTTAGGTATTTGTGTTTTTTTCGAAAAAAAGTTTAACTAGATCAGGAAATGGATAGCAAACTTTACATCTTATAAAGTATCTTTCATTTCTGTGCATATCGAAAAATACTTAGGCGTTTGAAATTGAAATTTGATTTTTATCATTTACTATCTGAGAAGTTGATGCACTAGTGTCAAAATGTCTAGTTTTATTATCAAGTTGTGGTTTTGTTGAAATCGAATTTGTTAAAGTGGTTTTATTTTTATTGGTTTCTGAAATTGAAGTGGTTGAGGTAGATTTTATTTTAGGTTTAATTAACCAATTTTTCAATGAATTTAAAATCATATTATTTAAGATTTTTAACCTAAAAGAAATGAATTTATGTAATTTGTAGTAGTTACATGTAGCCCTAAATCCTAATAAATATATACCTAATAAATAAATAAATATATCCTAATCAATATATTATTATGCTAACAACAAATTATGAGAGACCTTATATTAAATTTTTTCTCTAAACTTATTCTCTTTACTAGTAATTAATTATCTAATACAACTTAAGTAATAATAAATAATAATAACAATAATTATTAATAATTATTAACCGATCGTGATTCACCACTCTGCAAACAAACGACATACACTAATGAAAGACTGGAACGTAATAAACTTATATTTTATAAGTTAATAGTTTAATACATCAATAATATTAGCTGTATTTAATACTTTTTTCGTTATCTATTTTATAAAGAATAACTTGTGTGTTGTCGTTGCGTTCGAAAAGCATCGGCCGTATACTCGCGTACTCGCATCTCAATCGCATACACTCAACTCTACCCCCTGAACCTTTTAAGTCTTAACGTTTTAGACTTACACGTTACGCGTAGGCACTGAAAAGCCACGGAGTCCACGAAATCCACGAAAACCATACCTATGATTTTCGCACGACCGCCACAAACGAAACTAACTTTATTTATTTCGCTAAATTTATTACTGGCAATAACTTGATATCTGCAATTATCATTTAACCAATAGGTACCTTTATTTGTGGAGCATAATATTCTGGTAAAAATAGGTTAACATCACGATGGAAGGGGATATATTACTATATTTACGGCGACCGGCTGACACTTTTTACGCATAAAAGAAAAAAAATCGCCGTTAGATTAGCATAAGGACTACAGTATTAAAACACTAATAATGTCCTTCGAAATGAAAAATGTTTTCATAACATTTTTATAATGAGACCAATCAATAAACTGTTAACGCTATAATCTCCATACACATCATAGTACCTAGGTAGGCAGGTGCCAGGTAAGTAATATAGATAATCCACAAATCATAATTCTAATAAAATACGTAGACATATTAAATGACACGACGTCTAGCTGTGTATTTTATGTACACGTGGTTGTTTGTGTCGTGTCCTATATGAAACGGCGTTGGTACCTATTTTAATTTATCACCAACCGTGCTGACACTTTTTTTGTGGGGACCGATCACGAAACGTGACAGTGTAACCACATTTTCATGGCGCCACATCGTATGAAATCGTTAATACAATTCAATATCAATAACAAAACAAATATCAAATCAATATCAAAACAATTTATTTTAAGTGATGGTACGATGCGCCACGTAAAACGTAGTCTATCCTCTGTGCAAAAGCTGGGCTTACATTAGGATAATATTCGACCGACTCACCAAAACAAATTGCTAAATCGAGTCCTAAATTTCGTTTACATATAACACAGTCCAGTAAAGTTGACTATAATATAATGTAAATCATTATAGTCAGTAGTGCAACTAAGAACAGTAGGAGAAACGGAGGGGGGGGGTTGTTTTGAATATCTAGACATGCACTTCCATCCGTTCAATATGCATTTAAAGGATACATGGAAAAACCAGAAAAGTCACTTTTTTTCAATCTGAAAAAATCAATTTTAATTTTCAAAACGTAATAATTTTTTTTTTTATAAAGTAAAACCTAAAAGGTTCGAATTAAATTAAATAATAAACTTTGAAATTTACTAACCACAGCACAATAATGTCATATTATATAATTAACCACTGCTAAAGTCGCGTACTAACCCAACACTTGTCTGGTTATCAGTTGACTTAGATGTTTTCTTCCCTGTTAGCCTAAACTTCTATACTCTATTCAACGTAAGTTGACCTGCTTCCGCGTAAAAATAGAAAGAAAAAATGATTTAGAAATAAGGAACAAGGAAATAGTTCAAAATAGCAATTTTTTGCTCTTTATTGAACTTACTGAAGATCATGTGACTGAGTTCGCAAATTACACGAAAAGTTCGAGAAGTCATGAGTCTGTCGGTGTATAATACCTCACTTTGCCGAACAGACACTAGATAACAGTGATATTTCATTGATAACGTATTTTACTAATGTCAATGGTGTCTATTAGTGTTTACATCGGTTTGGTACATAAACGAGTGTAATTAACAAATCAAACTCGGTCGAGACATATAGCACCGTTTTTTAGCCGTTTGACTAAAATATTTGCAAGAATCGATACTGGAATTAAAATTACAAATAATATTTTAAGTATACAAAATAATATATCCACATTTTCCAATCGAGAAAAATTTATCAACTTGCTTTAATAACTCACGGCAGTAGAACACTATCCTGTAGCGTAAACCCTGTGGTAGGTACTTACCCTGTTATTGTGATTTACTGCTGCCACGCCGGTTGTTAGCAACGTATTTTTCAACAATGAAGACGTGTGTAAACAAACGAAGACGATGTTTACCGTGTATATATATAATATATATTAGTGTGGTTCCTATATTGATTACAGAAATAAAGAAGTACACGTACCTACATTATAAATAAGCACAAGATATATGCAGGATAATTCAATTTACATTTGTGTACACAGCAATATAAATCACTGCTAACGTAAAATAATTCTTATTGAAGTTCAGTTGAACTCGTTTAAAACTAAATTAAATTATTAGATATTTAAATTGAAAATTGTAACTAAAAAAATAATAAATAATAGCCGTTCGTGTTTTGACAAATTTGAACAAGGTTTAAACCTTGTTAGGAGGTGATTTGGATACTAAGTCATTTTGGCTTAAACTTTAGATCGTATAATAATTATATACCTACTCAAATGACGGTTTCACTAAATTAGCCGAATTTCCAAACGCGTGAAAATGTGGATACCGCTATTATCTTGATATTTTTATTGGACGTCTTGAACACGCCGAAAAGGCGACATCCGATAAAACTAAAAAGCCTATTTAAACACATATATATATATAATATGTATAGCAAATATTAATATATATATATATAATATAGGATTGACACGGTGTGTGGTGAAATCCAGTTGATCCCGGGCTATGAGGCGATGTTATGTCTGACGGGCTGGCTTAAACGACGAGTATGGCAATTGTCACAGGGTTAGTAAATACACATTACACACATATTATAATACACATAGAGATATTTTAGTAACTATGTATATATTATTTACATGGTTAAACCAATATAGCCGTTTCCGTCTATAAAAACGAATTGATAATCATTAACTTACCTTTAATAAAATCTGCATTCAGACCACATGCAAAATTTGAAATGGAATGAAAATAATTGTAAAAAAAAAAGTTTTTCCATCATTTAGGTATCTACTTACTACACATACATACACCTACAACTACAACTACCTAAAGAGCCTATAATAAGAGAGCGGCCACCGGTGTCGTCATTTATGATTGGTACCCGTTATCGGTGATAAATTCGTCCGAAAAAAATTATCAATTAATATTTTAATATTATTCTAAAGGTTTTCAATTAGGTACTAGGTACCTATATGCCATGGTATTTTCGTAATTTCGTTTATTTTCTTCGAATAGTATACCTCATATGCCCTAAGATACAATACGTTTTTATTATTTAAATACGTTTTACAGACCTGCAAAAACAATAATTAGTTACCTATGTGTATATACGTACTTATATTAGTTAGGAGGACATACTACACGAATTTACTATCTTAGTTCAACTAACGGGCAACATAACAAAAAAAAGAAAGGTAAGATAATGAGGACGGATGCAGCCACTGATTTAGGTGTAAAGTTGTAAAGGTAGACGGAAATTTAATGTATATCTGTAAGCAACCATAAACCATTGCTTACAAAAAAAACGATTCTGAGCAGAGTTCAGTTGATAGTGATGCTTTGTCAACAATATATATGTAATTTTATATTCAAATAATTAAATAGGCTTTATATATTTTCTTTAATAAAATTTGTTTAATGTTGTACCGATTTTCCCAATTTTTCTAAGTTTCTCCCGGTTTTCCGATGTTTTATCCCGGTTTTTCATATGTGCTGGGAAAATCGAAAAATGACCTCCCTAAGTACCTCCCCACGTCGATTTCCTTTCAGAAAAGGATGATATCCGAGCAAGACATCTGGGTAGAAAAGTTGCGCACGGGTAAAAAAAAAACATCTTTGTGAAACCATAAGCTTCTTCGCTCCACTCAGAATCTAAAACATAAACATTACGTAGACCAATTATTTGATTAGTTTAGTAATCCTTGAAGTAAATATTAGGTAGGTACTGAATACTGAATGACATTTTTTAATGATCAAATTGTGTTTTGTGAACTGCCTATTTGACATTTAATTATTAAAAATTGATTTAAAAAATACAGAGTGTGAATTAAATATTTGTAAACCGATAATTTATAATTATTATCATTCTCAAAATCATTCAAGTCATCTATCTCAATAGGTAACTGGTAATTTCTAAACGATATCCTGTCCCTGTGCATTTTAATTATTACCGATAACTAGATCTTAGTCCATGCTTAATGTTTAGGTGACCTAAATTTTCAACTGTTTAGTCAAAATAATTTTACCTCCATAAAACCAAATACAACAAAACATAAAATCAAACAATTTTGCTACAATTCACTCCGCGCCACACCGCTCTATTAATAGATGCACCACCATTAATTAAATGCAATTTTCTTTGGTTAGCCAAAATCACACTCTATGCACCACCACTTCAATAAAACTTCATTGTGCCATAACAAGGTTTTACGCGAAACGTCGTGATTCAAGAATTTAAAATGCCCATAAATAGCTCAAAAGTCTTGACAATTACTTTTAACCGATTTACGAAAAAAATATAAAATCGAATCTTCACATCACAACATTAATATTAATACACTACATATTATATTCATGGGTGGACCTAGGAATTAGATGAAATTAAATGTATTTTTAGTACAAGTTATAATATTTAAATAATTTTGTACAAATCATATTTTTAAATTACCTAAATGCGAAGCGGAGGGGGTTACAGACCTCATACCTCCCCCCTTGTATTCGCACCTGATTATATTATTATATTGTTAAAAAATTTTTGAAATTATGGTAGTTAAACATTTATTATAATAAGTGAATTGTTTATAAGCCTAGAATTTATATGCACCAGTGTATTTTTTATTTGTTTCTACATCCAAATGCAGTTCTAGTGAGTAATGTCTATGATTTGTATAATTCTGATAAAAATGGTACAAATTTTATTTTGCATGTTTATACATATTTTGAATAAAATGTATATTTCGAAATATCTTGAATAAAATAAATATATTGTATACTCCAAAAACGCAAAAATATTTTATGGCATATTTAGTTACACAATATAAAATGGAATATTATTTACAAAAAAATACTTAGTCATATTTAATTTATACCTTCTCTGAATCGTATTTATTTTCGTATGTACCTATTTTATCTATTAAGTCCAGTGGCTCAATTAGACCACCACCTTTGGAGTGCTAAAATTATGAACACGTTAATTTTTTAACCGAACAGTATCGCTTCTGAATTTGATATAATATAAATCCAACCACTTAATTTAACAAGTGAATAACACTTACACCCCTGGAAATTGCCCATGAAATTAATACTACTATCAACCCAAAAAAGGCAACCGATTTCGATGAGATCAGTCTACGCATACTTAAAAAATTGTCAATGGCCATTATTCTTTTTACTAAAATATACAACGCTATTCTACAAATTTAACATGTCCCAAAGCAATGAAAAAAGACACAATTTATTATTTTAATGAAACCAGGTAAGCCACCAGAGTGAGTTCATTCATACAAACCAACAGCGCTTCGGCGAAGTTTGCAAAGCTCTATGAAAAGCCTCTTCTAATGCGATTAAACTACTAATAAAAGAAAGACACCTCGTACTTAATCATCAACTTGGATTCTGAAACAAACATTCAAACATCGACAAAGTTCATTCCGTCACTAACTTAATTAGTAAGGCACTGGAAGAAAATGTTAATGCTGCTGAGTATTTCTAGATGCTCAAGCTTTTGATAAAGTTTGGCATAAAGAACTACTCATGAAACTACGAAAACAATTGCCACACACCTGGTGCGCACTTCTTGAATTTTAATGACCAAATGACAATTTTGAATCATGCATGAAGAAATGATAATAAATTATAGAAATATATTGGCTTAAATATCATAAGGTAGCGTCCTAGGACCTATACTTTATCTGCTCTATACAGCCGATATCCCTACCAACAACTCAATGATCGTTATGTTTGCTGACAATACGGTAATTTTAACAACCAGTAAGGATCAGCTGATTGCGACTGATAGCTTACAGGCCTCAATCGACAACATCTTCAACTGGACAAGACGTCCGATAATTCAAATCAATAGTGACATTTTGATGCACGTAAATTTTAATTTGCGCAAAACTGAGAATAACTAAGTATCACTAGATCACACAACAATCTCACAAATAGATTAAACTAAATACTTGGGTATGCACTTTGACACCCATCTCAATTGGAAACATCATGTCCGTTAAAAAAAGTTACAAATCAAGGAAAAATTGTCCAAATAGTACAATTTATGAATTTTGAAAGACATTCAAAACTAGATCTTTCAAACAAACGTCTATTGCACCTACTTAATGATAATTAAGCCAATACAGACTTATGGAATACAACTGTGGGGTTGTGAAGACCATACGATTTAGTATAAGATTCTTAGACCAAGGCCGAGGCCACTCTATTAAGAGTGAGACTCCACAAATTTTTTTTTTTGTACATTAATACACCAGTATTTTTTTACACCTTTGTAATATATTAATATAAATATTTTAAATTGTTGTAATAAAAGCTTTCATATAGCATTTTTTTTTTTATAATCTATATTTATTTTGTTTTTCTGTATGTAGAGACTTGAAACTTGGTAACAATACTTATATTGGGCTTACATATATATATCATTTTATAGTAAAAAAATTAAACAGGCTTTATATATTTTCTTTAATAATATTTGTTTAATGTTGTACCGAATTTTTCAGTTTTCCTACGTTTTTCCCATGTTTATATCGAGGTTTTTCACATTTACTGAGAAAATTCTTGGGAAAATCGAAAAATTACCTCTTTAAATTACCTCCTTAGTGAAATTTCTTTTTTAGAAACCTAGTTATCATTTTAAGTTGGAGCAAAATTGCTGGTAGAAAAGTTGTACACAGAAAAAATGAAGGCCGTAATAATAATAATAATAATAATAATATTTTAACTAATACCTAAATTTCATATATTTTCCGTTTTCCCGAGTTTTTCCATTTTAATAAACAATAAATGACAAATTGTTTGCTGTCAATGATAAAATCTGAACAAACTTGTATGAGTCACTATACAAAAACCATGATGTTACAGTAATTTATTAAAATATTTAGCTCAGAAAGCTGCCATTATTCTGGACTTGTCTCCCTTTGCACTAAACACTAAATTTAGCATTTGATATTTCCATAACGGTTTGATGGACTAGTCTCATTTTTACACAAAATATATACCTATACCTCAATTTAATATAAATATAATATAATATAAATAAATATAAATACGGTAATAACTCTATTTCGTTATAAATTGGAAATTTCCCATTTTTGCAATTAGTGATACTTACCTATTATACCTACATAAATAATAATATAAAACTACATATTTTATACTTATTATTATACTGGTACCTACTACTAATAATAAATTGTATTAACATTTACCTATAACGAATTTATGTAAACTGCACTACAGCATTACGAAAATATATATATACATATATATTTCGGGGGGAGGGGGCACGTGCCCCTAGTGACCCTGATTACAACAGTATTATAATAAATCGAAAAATCATAATAATCCACTATTATTTAATGTTTTCATAAATAATTTACCCTTAAATCTGCAATTTGGACTTAGATCCGTATGAAATATAAAAATAAAACAATAAATAGACAAATCATAATAATAAATAAAAAGGTTATGAAATATAAACAGTTAAGTTAGAAAATCTAAATGAACCTAAATAGAAAACATATGTTTATAACATTTGTGTTATCAACTCCAATAAAATATATCGATGGTATTATATGATATGAAAGTGGGATGTATATTACAAAAATTGAAAATGGGTTTTACCTACTAGGTATCCGTTATTGTAAAGTATAGTTTCAGTGCAAGACCCCTTTTGACATTTTACAGTTTTTCAGAATTTTTCATTTTGACTAAAATGTAGACAACTCAAAAATTGAAAAAAGTTTTTGAAATACCTATTATTATTTTTTAATTTTCGAAACATAACTGAGTAGGTAGTAAAACGAAAAATTTTAATTTATACCTATTTTAAACTTTGAATATAAAACTTCTCACTATTGAATTCCAATAAAATTAAAACTTTCATTTAATAGTTTATACTATAAAGTAATTTAAAGTTTATTTTTTTTTAAATATTTTGTAGTTTTATGTTCTTGAAATAAATTTGTTGTCATATTATATTTAATTAATTGATGATTGAAATTGAAGTGAGAGCCACATCAAAATCTATAGTGAGCTACATGTAGCATATCAACAATTGATTTCTCCTTTATAAACTGCTCTTCAACCAATTTGGACTTAATGATGTTCAACAATGAGGCGTTTCTAAACTCAAAATTAATAAAATCCAAACAATCCAAATGTCTTCAACAAATGAAATAATCAAAGCCCCCAATTATTTCTGAAATAATAATTCTTTATTTGAATAGAACAAAATGTTGCCAAGGTATTCTACTAATGCATAAAATCCAATCTTTACAACCCTTTAATTTCAGAACTGTCAGTTCCTTAAAGGCCCTTAAATGAATCCTTTCTCCTACACGCCACCCAAAGACCCATCAACGGATAACACCTTTGCCCAAGCTCTCCATATTTAAAATTAACATAATACAATTTATTTTATATAAACCTATAAAATCACTTCTGCTTATTGTAAACAATTTTTTAACAGATTATACAAATTTTTATTTAATTATAAACAAAACAAAACAAAAACTCTAATTTTAAATACAAAATTATTATTTTATAAAACATTTTTTTAGCACATAAATTATTTTTAACTTGGCTCATCAATTTATTCTATTTGAAAAATTGAAATTTTTGTAACCTAATAAATATAATAGGGGCAAATTTATTTAAATACAAATCACAATAGTTATAATATATAATAATTTCAAAAAGCCCTAAAATAACTACAATATACACACAACATCAAAATTATGTAAATTATGTAAATTATCTTATGCATATACAGAAAAAAAAGTGGAACTATACTTTATAATAGTACTTATTTTAAGGGATACAAACTGTAAACTATTATTAATAGTGTAAACATAAATACTAAATAATAATATGCTTTCTGTTTCAAACTATAATTGAATATTAGTAAATTTGACTTTAACATATGATAGATTTGTTTTTCCAAAATGTTTTTTCAAAGAGTCAGTCTTAAAAAATATTTATTTACATGTTAATGTATTATATTCAAAAATGTACATCCCATTGGTGTTATGCAAATAGTGATAAATAATTGTAAAATGTTTTTTATACAATTTTTATTAAATTTTGCTTTTAATCAAGAAATATTTATTCAACTATTCAAAACTATTTATAACACAACTTGGAGACTTTTTTAAAACATAAAAAAGTAAAATAAGTCATTTTTTTTTTTTTTTTTTTAAACATGTTTTTATAGTTACACTATTTACATAATTGTAATTATATGTTTATATACTTATATCTGCTACTTTGCCTCATGAAATAATAGAAATAACAAACAAATTTATGTTACTGGATTCAGTAAAGAAGGAAAAAAAGATAAAGTTATAATGATTATGTTTTTTTAAAGTTATAACTTGGTACTACTTTATAGTTTTTAATGGCTCTTACAAGTTTTTGTGAGTTTTTGTCAAAAATAATCATTGGTATACTCACAAAAACTTGTAAGAGCCATTAAAAACTATAAAGTAGTACCAAGTTATAACTTTAAAAAAAACATAATTATTATAACTTTATTTTTTTCTTCTTCTTTACTGAATCCAATTAATTAATTATAAAACACAAGAAATCGAATATGCTATGTTAGGCAGTTCTTACCCATTACTATAAAATATGTTTGACACCATTGTACTGAATAAATGTTTTTACTACAGAAAATAACTTTTTGAGTTACAGTTAATGTATCATATAGATCACACTGAATTAAACTTCCATCCTTCTTTTCCAACTGAAACAAAAAACCGTCCCATACCTTCCAATGTAAGTTGATCACTAAAAAATATCAATATTATTTACAGTGACATTTGTCTAGAAATTTTTACAAACTGTTTTATCAATATTCTTATAGCCTCAGTCATAAATTTGTTTGTTATTTCTAGTATTTCATGAGGCAAAGTAGCAGATATAAGTATTACCTAGAACAATTAATAAAATAAAAATGTGTACCTATTGTATTCAAAAATAATTTTATTATTAGGGCTAGAGACTTATAGGAGTTTACATATTTTTCAATAATCATTCTAAACATAGCTAAAGGATATAGAAATTTGTTTCATTGTACTAGGAGTTTAAAACAATCATTTTTATTTTGCACATTTTGCATATTCAGCTGTTTTTTCCCTATAAGAGCATATTTTGTTATATTTATATTTTAAGAGCATATTTCACATATTTTATTAAAATTAAAACAATACTCAGCAGAGAATAATATTTTATACATACGTACTATACAACATTTAATATGAAGTTTCTAGAAATTGGAAAAAAATAGATAATAGATAAAAATAGATAAATTATAATGTAATCTATAACGTGTGTTTTCCAAATCATATGTGTGTTGTTAGTGTGTGATGGTCGATAAGGAATACGCTGTCAGTTGATGTCAATTTGTCTATTAGTATCCTATGTGTTTTCTTTTTGCTTTAATATACCTAGTTAGTCTGTTTGTATTGTTTTTTGACGATTCAATTAAAAATGCCTAAAGTAAAACCAAATACATGTAGTTGCCTACAGTCATATGTTTCAGAATTTGGAAATTCTGTGTTTTTGATTGATAAATCAGTACTATTTTGTTAACTTTGTGAAGTTAAAGTTAGTGCTCAAAAACGTTTTACTGAGTTACAATATCTTAAAACCGAAAAACATATCAAGTCAGTTAATCACACTGATAAGCCAAAAAAAAGTCAACAACTTTTTGAATTTAATCTGCCAACTAAAAAATGTCAGTTTAACAAAGATTTATGTAAAGCTTTGTTATTTGCTAATATTCCTTTATACAAAATAGAAAATGTAAAATTTAGAGCATCTTTACAAGAATATACAGGAAAAGAAATTCCAAAGGAAGTTACTCTTCATAGAGGTTACATAGATGACTGTTATAAAGATACTTTAGAAAAAATATGAAGCCATGTATCGAATAACAAAATATGGTTATCCATTGACGAGATGAAGGTCGCTTCATAGCCAATGTTATTATAGGAGTTTTACTAAATGATGGACCGGGTGAGATATTTTTGTTAAATACAGAAGAATTAGAAAAAGCCAACCATCAAACTATTTTTAAAGTAATAGTGTAAGAACTGCCCAACATCGCATATTCGATTCTTGTTTTTATAATTAATTTACTGGATTCAGTAAAGAAGGAAAAAAAGATAAAGTTATAATGATTATGTTTTTTTAAAGTTATAACTTGGTACTACTTTATAGTTTTTAATGGCTCTTACAAGTTTTTGTGAGTATACCAATGATTATTTTTGACAAAAACTCACAAAAACTTGTAAGAGCCATTAAAAACTATAAAGTAGTACCAAGTTATAACTTTAAAAAAAACATAATTATTATAACTTTATTCTTTTCTTCTTCTTTACTGAATCCAATTAATTAATTATAAAACACAAGAAATCGAATATGCTATGTTAGGCAGTTCTTACCCATTACTATAAAATATGTTTGACACCATTGTACTGAATAAATGTTTTTACTACAGAAAATAACTTTTTGAGTTACAGTTAGAGTTTGAAAATATAAGACAAATTTTAGTGACGCAGTGCAATTCATTTGGGTAAGATTTAAAAAATTATTAAATCATTAAAACAATATGCATTTAAAATTGAATTTTTTTTTTTTTTTTTGATCTGTTTAAAGGCAAGCATAAAGAAGAAATGAAAATAATAGTGTACCTTTATAAATTGTTAATTTTTTGTATTTTTAACAAAAAATAAAAACATTTTTAGAGCATATTATGGCATTTATGCATATTTTGATAGCATATATGATAATTTTTAAGTGCATATTGTAAGGTTTTTTAGGGGATAAAGTCCCTAGCCCTATTTATTATACTTGGGTAGTGTGTGGCAAAAACCGATATACATCATATATTTGTTCCTTAAATTCTTTATTCAATATTTCATCTGCCTCTTCCAATACTCTTGTTTTAATGTTTTTTGTACATAATGCTTTATATCAAATCATATCTAGAACATAACATTTTTAATTTAAAAAAAAAATGTATTAATACTGTAATTATTATTAATATACATACCAAACACATGTTCAGGTGTTCCTGACACAATATGTTGACTAAAGTTTAATTTCCTTATATCCTCGTCAAAATTTGTACCATCAATGCAAACATGACACTGAATATTTAAATATACTCTCACCTAAATAAATTTTAAAGTATAATTTAGTTAAATATGAAACTAATTTTCGACAACTTCAAAATAAGTAAATAAATATAATTCTTCGTATAATTTAATACTAAAATACTTGTTAATAAAAATAAATGTTTAATCAATAATTTACAGTTAAAATTTGTAATTTACAAGTCAGAAATAGCTGAATTTTTTCAATTTGGAAAAAAATAAATCTCAATTATTAAAATTGAAATATCTTAATTTTTTGTTTTTATCATTTTTCTAAATTCATAAATATTTTCTTTCAAAATGTCTTACATCTGAAATGTACTATCAATTTTTTTGACTTAATAACTTAACTTTAACTTTGGGCATAATTTTTATTATTCAAAAATTTGTTAAAAATATAATACATACTCACCAGAGATTAATAAGGCAATAGAATAATAGGGTATTTACACCTTCGTCCATGGTGATGTAATTACAAAAATGGAGCCCCACAATACAGAGTGTTCCACATAGATTCAACAAATGCAATAACTTTTGTTCTGCTCAATATTTTTAATTTTTGATGATAATTACTTAAATCTTGTACCAATTCCTTATTTTTTTTTATTTTATAAACATATATATGTATATATTTATCATTTTTATAAAACTTAAAGCAAAGTTTAAATTTTTAAAAGTTTGNGTGTTACATAAAGATTCAACAAATGCAATAACTTTTGTTCTGCTCAATATTTTTAATTTTTGATGATAATTACTAAAATCTTGTACCAATTCCTTATTTTTTTTTTATTTTATAAACATATATATGTATATATTTATCATTTTTATAAAACTTAAAGCAAAGTTTAAATTTTTAAAAGTTTGTTTTTACAAAATCTAAAATAACTATTTGATAGTATAAGATTTAAAAAAAAAATTTTAGTATTACAAATATTTAATGATGATGAATCATTAAGTTCTGTAATTTTTAGAAGTTTACAAAAATCATTTACAAAATTATTTTTCATACAAAAATGTGTGTATGATATCATTTTTTTATATTTAATATAATTTAAATTGTTTTTAATTCCACTATCAAATAACATCAATGATTCAAATTTTTTGAAATTCTTATGCTCAAAGATTTTCTAAAAAAAAAAATATTTACATTTTAATTTTAGTTTTAAAAATTTAAAATAGTGGAATCAGAACAAGACTCATAATTATTACTAACATTTTTCTTTTTTTTAAATATTGAATAGAACAAAAGTTATTGCATTTGTTGAATCTTTATGTAACACCTGTACAATAAAATATAAATTTGGCCCCTTCACAAAAAAATAATTAAAAAAATCACACTAAGTTTAACCTAACCTAACCACAATAAAATATACTGTAGTTTGAATTAAATTAATAGCAAATGTATATCATGTATTAAAAGGTTCTTGAAAGTCTCTTTGATCGGAAAACATGACACTGCAAATTATCCAGAGACATACTCCTTGTGCATGTCTACACACTGTAGAAACGCGATTAACAATTACTCTCTTTTGTCATCATTAACAAAAAGAAAAAAAAACATTAATGCGGTGATTATAGTAAACATTTATAATGCAATTTTATCTTATTCTTCAGAAGGTAATGGATTATTTCCTTAGTATGTATGTATTTTTGTATGAAAATACTCAAGTTGTAAAATATAGAAGTTTATTACAAAACTATCATAGTCCCAGTCTTGACAATAACGGTTAATCAAGTTTCTACAATAAATATGAATAACTAGCACTTTATCAATCCATAAATAATACTCTAAAAATTGTCTTTTTAACTATTTCCATAATATTAATTCACAGATAGGTATTATCAATATTTGTATTCTAACATATTATTATAACTACTATTATTACTACTAATGCTAAATTAGACTGATTTATTTGAATATTGTATATAGATATACCTTTTGGATTTGTACAGTGAATTCTCTTGTCAACGATAAGCATAAAACTTGAGTGTCCCTTAATTGTGAGTCTGTGGATTATAGCATAGCAATTAAATTAACAGGTATGGGTAAGGCCCGTACCTGACTGAGCTTCAGCTATGACATCAGGTACTTTGATCATTGGCCTGATAGCTCTTTGTTGTATAGGCAAAGAACATTCAAAACCTAAAAAGAACACCCACTTCATTATTATAACATTCAAGTTTCAAGTCAGGATATTATGGTAAAAAAGTTAAAATATCAAAAAACTAACCATACCTATAGTCTTCCTTCCCTTTTAACTTATCACACTCTGAGATCAGAATTTCCAATTTACCAACAAAAATATAATTTTAGGATGACATCAAAAAGAATTACACAGGGAAATCAAAACTCTAACTGTTGAATGTTGTTTTAAGTCGCTCTATGAATAGAAATTATCTATAGAATTTTTTGATTATTTAATTTTAGTTTTGGCTAGAAAAAGGAAAATCGAAAATTGAACTGCGGGTTGTTTGTTTCATAATGTATATTTTATTGTTACTCAATATTTTTAAATTTTTGATATTGAGAGCAAGAACTTCAACCTTGCATTCCTACATAATCTTAACAAATGGTGACTACATGAGTACATGCAGACACATATACAGGGTGGGTTGGGACTCAACCCCTCCCCCCCCCCAAAAAAAATGAATAGCTATGTAATTTATTTATATAAATTTAATATTTTTTTTATAAATATTGATTATTGTAAACATTTTTTGAACCCCCCCCTGAATTTTTTTTTTATGTACGTACCTGAGTATATGCTACGAATAAGATCTTCCTAAAGATGCGTATTATTGAACGTATTTTCCATTTCTTCATCTATGCTAGTCTCAAACTCCATGTGCGTTAAATCGTTGACTAACCGATTCGTTTGTTTGCCTTCCATTGTAAATATTATTTTATTTTCGTTTCACGTGCAATTATTAAGAAACAATCAAATATCAGCAAAGAACTGAGAATTAAACATCGTAAATGACTGTCAAAAAAAAATGTAAACATTGAACAACGTTACCGACTACCAGGTACGCTAGAATGAGTGCTAGACAAACGAAAACAATATTTGGCGTCATGAAGTGTTCATTTAATTATAATGATATCTTTGGGTACATAAAAAAATCTGGAATGCATAAATCTTGAAAAATAATTGTCTACTAATCCAGTGTCACCAACTTCAAATAAAAAAAATCTGAATTTCTTTACACAATTATATATATATATATATATATATATATATATCCCAATTTTTGCCTATGTACTTAATAATAACACCCACATTCCAAATTTTTATATTCCAGGTTTGTACGGTACAAATTTCAATAACCGTAAAACTCTAGATTCAAGATTTGTACTTTCCAGGTTTGTATTTTCCAGATTTTTACACGCTCCCATATCTTTATATGCAATTTGGATTGTGGCACAACATGTAATACGATTTGTTCCCCCCGAGTAATGACTGTGATAGGTAAACATAACCTCGAAAAAACCTACTTGCTTCGCACTATGGCTGAACCACAACCATTGTTGTAGGTGTGCAAAGGTGAGTGTTTGATTATTTTGATTACACAGGTGAAGATATAATGCATAGCTATTCAAAACTTAACTTTTGTTTTTTACCGACTTTAAGTTATACGTCCTTTGATGTTACATCGACGTACCTACCTACCTACTTATGTTTTGTAATTTTGTCTGTGGGTACTTATAAATAAGTAGCAAGTACCTACTTATAGAAAAAAAAATGACGTATTAGTCATTACTCATTACCTAATAAAAAATAAAATAAATTTCGATATGTTTTCGCCGTGATATCGACAATATTGGTCATACCAATGTTTTAGTTTTTCGATGTTCTAAATATTAAAGTATAGGTCTCGACAAATTTTGCATAATACATACATAACCGGGTGACTAGTCTAAACAAAAATGATTTAAGGTGTTCTACGTTTGATAAAAATGCAACTAAATTTTAACCATATTTTCTATTTAAATTTCCCAACAAGGTTTTCTAATTTTCTCTTGTGTGTCAAAAAGTCAAACGAGTTTTAGGACCAATCAGAAGATATTATTAAAAAAAAATCAACAATTGACTAGGTACATTATATTATTACATTAATTTCGCTGGTAAACAAATTGAATTAAGATACCTACAACAGCAGTTACGTACTTGTGGGGGGATGGCGAAGAGAGCATTCGCCAACATAGTATCATTTAGGTAGCTAAGTGGTATTATGAGTAGGAACCCTAAACAAAAAGCCTGGGGACAATAGGTTCATTGACAAAAAAGCCATTTTGAAAAAAGTTGAGTAAAAAGTCCACTCTTTTTTTTTATTGATGGACAAAAAGTGCTCGGACTTTTTCACATTCTACAACAATAATAATAATAATTTAAAATAAGTCACGTTTTGTAAATTAGTCAATATAACCATCGATCACTCTACAATAATACAAATTATAACAATTTTCAGCTTACCGTTTGAAGTTACTAAAATAGCCGGATATTTTTTCGAAATTTTATTTGAACATTTTCACCAAATACTCAAAACAAGTTTATGACAAATGTGAATATCCATTAAACATTATATTTTTATTTTCCTAATATGGTATAAATATAGTTGACAAATAATTGATTTAATAAATGAAAATTTATCGTGGGTAAAAGTAATAATAATAAGAAGTCAGAATATTTATTTTAATAAATGTTTATCGGATTTTTTGTCTGACAATAAAAATGTGCTCGATCTTTTTGTCCGATAATGAAATTAGTTCAGACTTTATGTCTAACTTTTTTTAAAACGGACTTTTTGACTGATAACCTATGATAGTAGGGCTATGTTACATTATAATTACGTAGGTAGGTATAAATTATATTACAATAACTTGGCACAATTCTTGGTCCCTTATTGTTCATAATTTGTATTAATTATCTCTTGAAAATTCACACTAATTTATAAATACTGAAATTCTAAGTTTTGCTGATGATACTGCAATTTTATTATATGATTGACCTATATTAGGTCACTTTAAAATACGAGGCAAATATAACTCTAAATAATATTAATATTTGATTTATCAAGAACAAATTGAAATTAAACTTATTCAAATCTAAAAATATTTGTTTTATAACACTTTAAATCTAAATCGTTTAACAGTCTGTTTTGGATTCTCTATAGAGCGAAGAAGCTTATTTCAAAACCCACACGTCAATTATTTAAAAAAAAAATGTGTACAATTTACAGAGTACAATGCACACGACCAGGCACGTATACAGGGGGATTGGGTGTTCACCCCCCCCCCACCCCCTCGAAAATTAATAGTTGTGTAAATTTACTTATATCTATTTAATATTTTTTTATAAATATTAATAATACTGGTAATATTGATTATTGTAAATTTTTTACGAAACCCTCCAATTTTTTTTTTTTTGTTCACGTGCGCGGATACACCAAGTCGAAAAGACACAACACTAAACGCAGTCTAAAGTCTCAAATAGTATATCTACCTATCTAAAAGTAATTTATCGTGGATGTGTTATTATAATGGTTGTTTAGCTTAAGTGTGGCACAGTAAAAATTTTTACAGCGCCCCAGCTATAGTATAATTATTAACTGTTGTGTTAGGTTATTTAATATTTATCGACTCATGCCACAGGTACTTTGCCATGATAATGTTAAATAGAAACAGATGCCTACGGTAGGTAGCAGTTCAGTGGTGTAGTCAAGGGTATATGCGGGTATACAGCGTATAACAACTTCTCAACTTTTTGATTGATGCGTAGGTATACTTATTATTGTATAGGTAATGTGTGATGATGGAGGCGTACATCAATTGCGCATCACTATTGTTCTTTCAGAAATTTTTCATAAAACATTTGCACACCGTTAAATGGTTAGAAATCATTAATTTGTTTTAATTAATTCATTTTCGAAATGTTCAACTATAGAAAGGCTGAAAGTGATTGGAAGTACCTAAAACCGCAGATCGTTTCCTAACTTTCTGCTTAATATCCAGTATTAATAATTTTTACATTTATTGATTATAAAGAACATATTTTCAAATACAGGTGAGTGTTATAGGTATAGAAGGTGTAGGTATTTTTGTTTTAAAAATAATATATGTACACATATGACATATAGGTACCTATTTTGTACTTGTTCGATATATTGATGCGCGAATGACGTATGCTTACTTAATATAGTAGTGGGAGGTTAATGGACGGTGCGCAAATGATAACCGTTGATGCATAGAGTATAGACATAATCCAATATTAGTGTTTCTTTCAGGCATACCCCCCTTCCTTTCCCCGTAGAAAATTTGAATAATAATAAAAAAATATAATAGACAAATTTAATTTTGATATCAAAGGTGAATGACCTACAATAATATATAATGATAAAAATCAACACAGTGCTAAAAATAAAAAAATAAAATTATATATACCTATACTATATATTTCTTTTAAATTTAATTTGTCTGACAAGTACTACTACAATAACTCCAATACACTTATGGTATGTTAGAGATTATTACTTAATAAAATGGTTTAGTTCTATGTCAGTTCTTTCAGTATATTTTTAACTTTTAAGTTATATATAGGGATGAATGCATCATATAGGTATAGTGTGTATATTGTAACTAGTTTGCTTATTTGTATCTGCCTAACCTTAAAACTGAATTATCTCGTTAAAGAAATGATGAAAATTAAAAATTTCAATAACTACTAAAATATTTTTAAACTAATACTCCATCCATTTATGTCATTTTTAATATAATTTGCAATTTGAAAATCTAAAGTAAGTAGTCGTTTCACCATCAAAAATAATGGTGACAAAAATTATGGTACCTAATGTAATATTTTAGAGCTGATTTTTTCTTAAATGTTCAAGAAAAAAAAAATTCTTGTAAGAAAATCAGTTTAATCAGAAAAATTGAAAACAAATTCAACGACAAATCCACAAATCTAATGATATAATGACATTTTTTAGTCACTTTGAGAGCTTCCAAACTCATGACCCACTTTTTTAGGCTTACATTTTCCGCGACCCACGTAAGGCTAATTACACACCCCCAAAAAAACGTTTNAAATTCTTGTAAGAAAATCAGTTTAATCAGAAAAATTGAAAACAAATTCAATGACAAATCCACAAATCTAATGATATAATGACATTTTTTAGTCACTTTGAGAGCTTCCAATCTTTCATTGATATACAAGACACCGAATTAAAAAAATATGTGGTTACTTATTTTATAATGTCCACGGTTACACGTGTAGATAACCGTGCTAATGCTTAATGCAGAAGCTATACTCGCCGACATTAAGTCATTTCATTTTTTTTTCGTCATATCTATGCTTGATAGTGGTATACATAGGGTTGGAATTTTTTTTTTAATTCAATGGTAACATATTTTTATTTAAATCGTCATCATAGCTATTATTTTTTTATAGAATCAGACATTTTTTCACTTTTCACAATTAATTGAAGTTTTAATATTAAAAGAAATATTAGCTTTACGCTTTGGGTACTATGGCTATACACTATATACTGACGACACGCGTGAAAGGACGATTAATGACTAGGTATTGTGAGTATTTCCTATAAATTATAATCAATACGATAAGATTAAACTAAAGAGATATCCAAATTTTATAATTTTCTATAATCTGTACAAAAAAGTAAATATAAAATCTAAAAACAAATTAATATTGTTTTAATTTTAAACGCTACAAATATTTTGCTCCAAGTGGTTATATAAAACTCGGGACTTTCTTGTCCCGCTCGCTTGTAAGACGGGACACGGGACAAAAATTTAAAAAAAACGCATACAAATCATGAAATATGCGTCCCACGAAGAATTGAAGCGGGACGCGGGACAAGTATATTAAAAATCGGGAATGTCCCGCCAAATCGAGACGCATCCCAACCCTAGGTATATACATGTCACATGAAAGTCAATTGATCTAAATTGTGGAAGTTGGAAGAATTACGAAGATGTGGTATACACTGAATTATAACAGCTTTATGATCTCATTTACTTTTTGTCATTCCCGTTACGACAGTTTCGGTTGAAAGATCTTTCGGCAGGTACAATGAATAAAGTTCTAACAAAGACAAGAAAAAAAAATGCTACAAGGAACTTTAATCATGTATTATTGTGTGTCAACAAGTATTAAAGGGCGGGCTTGGCGTCTCAACAGAAGATTTCTAGAACAAAACGGTGGATCTGTACGCAGCTAAGAAAAATCGGCGAATTCGGTACTTATAAAAAATATTTTATTAGATAGTATTTTTTTTTATTTTTTTTATGTACATCAACTTCATCGTGTGTATTTAAAATAATATTGATGTAAAATAATAGAAATAACACCATGTGGCATGTGTGTATGTTAAACTTGTGAGATTTTGCGCATTTATTTATATTGTTCACGACCATAATTTCAGAAAAAAGTAATTATTATCAAACGGTTTATTTTTCTTGACGTAATATAACCCCCCCCCCGGAGAAAATTGTCTGAAAGAAACACTGAACACAATTGGTATTATACCTGTACTACTATATACTGTACACGGGAGAACAATACGGTTTCGCGTCCATACGAGAGCACGCGCCTGTCGAGTGTTTCGCTATATCGCACGGATTCTCGTCGTTCGGCTTTGCGCCATTGACATATTCGCATGTTATTAGTTTATAGTTTTTATTATGTTTGGACGGTGCCTATCCCGAGTACGTAGGCACGCTCGACGCACAGCGAACGCGATCCGATTGTCGTCGCGGTAAACATTGTCATTGCTCAAACACATAATTGCCCGACGCACCGTTCCGTGTGGACGCGTACGTAAGAAAAAGTTGTTCGTTTTAATATTACATTAGACCGATATAATATATTAATTAATAATTAGTAACTAGTATAGATAAAGTCTGAAGAATTCAGTATAATTTTCGCTCCATATATTTAATCATTAAACCTGAAGTTTGAACCTGTTATCAAGTAGCCGGGCACATTCTTATCACAATCAGACATCAGTCACAAAAGTGTAAACCATACCATTCATTACAAGTTATTAAATCGTTTCACAATAATTATTAATTCATTTATTCGTTGGTTGTTTTTGAGTATAGTCTGCACATTTGACATAAATATAAAAGACTTGAAAATAGGTACTTCATTAGAAGACTGCTAACGTGCTCGTATTGTAACTATCGTTTAAACTATACAGTCACGTTTTGCAATCCACACGATCATGGATAATTTATCTGTTGCCAATGGAATAGTAAGTATCTAGAATTGCATTATGATTGTTATTATATTTGTTTGAACATATCGTATTTAAAAAAAACTTGATTAACATATTTTTCATTCAAAAATATATATTTTTTTTTCATTCATAAAAATTACCTACGTTGAATATCAACAATACATAGCTTACTAAAGTATCACTTATTTAGTTAGATTCTTTTTAATTATATTTCTTCATTGTCACTATATTTTTTTGATTGAAGTTATTTTACATTGTAAATGCCAAATATTGCATTATAGCATCGCAAAGCACAACATTATAACCATAAGAAACATACATATTTCACAATCAAAGATTTTCAATTATGTTATTATACGTTAATACATTAATGTTATATTGGTACGATATATAATAATTTGCATGATTTGTATTCGATCCTACCCCAACTTATTGACCCCACTACAGGTACTGGGCAAAACTCTTATTATTGTATAACGGTTGTTATCAAAAAATTATTTTAAAAAGTGAGATGGTTGTTAAATATTAATATACTTTATTTATTAACAAGAATATTATTTTTTGACTACCTATGTTGATTTTAAAATATATTTTGTGTATTCAAATAAATGTCGTTGATGCTCCATTTTTTTTATATTTGGGGTAATGAGAAAAATAAAGAAACTGTACTAGAAATAATTTTTACAATTCAATTGTATAATTAATCAATAAAACTAACATAAATTAAAAACAATGGTCCTATGAAAAAATAGCTGTACTATACCTTGTTTTAAAGTAACAATTTAAAAACTGTCCCAAGTTGACTGGTGTATATTACTATATTTATTAACCAAATATACAAACAGGTAATATTAAATAAGATGTGAAGATAATTTTTTTCTTGTTTTAATTTCTTTTTGTCTATTACCAGGGAACATCAGAACTTGCTGTGGGTGCTAGCTTACTTTCAAGACCTGGTAATGAATTTGGAAATGATGTAAGTATTAATTATTGTTATTTTAATATATGTTATAATTTGCAAGTCTATATCACATTAAAATGGTATTCGAAACAAGGTATGTGTATCACCGCAAACTATTGTGGTGTATAGCGCGCAGTGTGCTACAACAGTGGTCTTCAACCTTTTTGGACTCATGACCCACTTTTTTAGGCTTACATTTTCCGCGACCCACGTAAGGCTAATTNCCCCCCAAAAAAACGTTTGTAGTAAAAAAAAAAAAAAATTAATTACTTAATACTTTGTAGTAGTACTATTTTAACTGAATAAATAAAATCTACATTATTGACAAAGTAAACGAAAAAACAAACTTGTTAATGGATACGTAAATATGACTACAATAATAATGCGACTAACATTTATAATACTTCGTCTTTAAACACACAATAATATTCGTAGATTAAGAAACTCTTCAACGATAACAATATAATATATTAACTTTATTACTAGCCTGGTTTACTCGTAAATTATTATATTCAATTTTATACTACGTAGAATCATACCAGTATATGAAACATATACTATGATTTGATATCCATTATAATATTATATTATAGAATATAAATTATATAATATTGTTTTTACATAATGTGTTACAATAATTTTTATACTGTATTTGCATTTATTAATTTTCTAAGTTTAATAATTAAACAATTATTTGTATACCTTATATGATTGTATAAACTTAATTTTTATTTTAAAAAGAAAACTCATCGCGACCCAATTTTAAAGTTTATGCGACCAAAAAATGGCTAAATGATCCATTGGTTGAAGACCATTATGCTACAACATACACACCAAATTTTTTAATAAGCCTCGATTTGTGTATCTACCGATCAGCGACAAATTCACATACACACTAATAATCTTTAAAATTTTGCCATCTACACTTTGTTAGATATGCAAATTGTTAGTAGATAGATAGGTAGGTAGGTATAAAATTAAAATATTTATAAATTACAATGTACCACTAATGTAATATTACCTATAATATTCTGTTAACATTTGTTATTTCACACAATAATTAAATCTTAAATATAAATAAGAGAAAAGTCAATACTAATTTAACAAATTTGTAACAAGTTTAGATAATGATTATAATAATAATATACAATAGGCACAATTTGATTAATTTAATATTTTTACAATATTACAGCACCCCCTAAAAGCTGAGTTCGTGCTTAAAATATAATTATTGTCTTAAATTAGGTTTATATTCCTGGCACCCCCATTTTGAATTTGGGGTCCAAACCCAGAGTAATCGTTTTTGCTTCATTAGTGTGTGGTGGTACACTTTATTCCATCATTAGTGCTCCATCACTTAAAAATTTATATCTAAATTACTTTAAAGAAAATTGAAAATTCAGACATAACTATTTTCAATTGAAAACTATTGGAGATAATTGAAATGTGTCCCTTTTTTATATATTATATTTGTTTAGAATCAGCTTATATGTTATATTATAGCTTGTTGACATATTAACCTTAATGGTTTACTGGTATATTATTTGATAGTTAACTTTTCACACCTTCATTCACTTTATAGTAGTGTTGCAAATAAAACACATATATTAATATCAGTTTCACAAATCCTATATGTGCTCATTGGGGACACTTCCTCCTGAAAAATTATAAAGTATGCCAAAAAAAATATATATATATATCTATATATGTTAACTAGTTTTCTGGACTTAAATTTTTATAATTATCAAATATTACCCAAAATAGGTAACTATACTTATTATAATGTTTATATGATATTCTTATTAAATATATAGGTGTTAATTAAAATAAAATAAAAATATAGGTAGGTAAACATAGGCTATTGTCATAAGCAGAACAAATTTTAAAAAAAATATTTATTGTTTTGTAATAATTATATAGAATATATAATAATAATAATAATAGTGTGTGTGTGTGTGAATTTGTTGCTGGTTGACTGTTGGATAGGTAGGTATAATATTATGGCTTATTGAAATATTTGGTATGCATGTCGGTCACACTGGGAACTATACACCATGATAGTTTGTGATGATCAACCCCTTGTTTTGTACACCATTTCATAGACTTTGGCGTTTCTTCATTAATTTTTCTTGTGTACCACCAAAAGACAAAGATCAACCATCATTTTTTTTATAGGAAAAAGTTGAAATGCTATGGGCTATTAAAGCATTCGAACATGCAGAAATTTATTTTAATGTAAGTACAATATAAACTATTAATAAAACATTATTGACCAAATTAATCTATAGTGTGATACAACATTTTTTTTACAGGAATTATATTATATAAATATTTAAAATAGTTGAAAATGTATAAAACACATTTTATGAACATTTATAATGATTTGTAAATTTTTTTATACCAATGTACTAAGGGGTGTTAATACTAATAAAGCTATAAGTAACAGCCATCTATAGGTATGCAATGCAGCACATTGGGTGATGAGTGAAATCTAAAAAATTTAAATCACTTAACTTTCTTCAAGCATAGAATTTTAAATAAATTAATGTTATTTAATCACTTTATTTGTTAAAAAAATATCTTCACATTAAGGTTGATAACAAGTAAAACAAGTATAGGTTTTTTTTAAAATTTAAAATGTAACTTCCACCCCCTCCCCAAAAAAAAATTCAAATCATTTTAGATGTTAATAAATCAAAAGAGTTGTTTTTATATATTTTAAATATTTATATGTTTTTATATATTTTAAATATTTATATTTTATATAATATGATAAAATGACTAACATAAATTTTGAGTCACATGGTATTTTTTTTGGTATAAATTATGAATTTTGAATCAACATAAAGATTTTCAAGTTTTCATCCGTAAATTATTTATGTTTTCTTAATTATTTCAGTTAATATGTTCAGTTGATCCAAAGTTGTTAAAGTTAACTCCACACGATGATAAGATTTATAACGAATTTAGACGACTTTTTCCTGATCTGCAACTAGACATTTTGGATGAAAATGATGTAAAAAGTGATGTTTCTAAAATTGTAAGATTTTCAACTTTAAAAACCTTAATATCCTTATAAAAATGTAAATAATGTATAATAAAATAATAAAGTAAAAACAAAATTATTAAAATGGTTAATACTCGTAAATAAATAAATGTATGTATTAAAATAAAATAAATTAATTAATGAGTATTATGATAAGTGTATTATTATATGATGAGTTTCGAATTAAAAATTCATCATCAAGTTACAGCCAAAATGTAAAATAGAATTGAATATAAAATATTAATTTATTTAATACATAGAAAAAAAAAATATACAAATTGGTTGTTTAGCGTAGAATATAAAAATAATTTATTTTAATAGGAGAAATTATTTTAAATTAGTTATCATTAGATAATATATGTTGAGAAATATAAATTATTTGGTTATTATTATTATCTAAAATGTATTGATATAATGAGATATTATTTTTAAAATCAGTTTGTTTCAAAAAATAACCATAATATAAATTTTGTTATTAATACAGACTTAGAAATATTAAATACCCAAAATAACATTTAAATTAATTCAGTTTTAGAAGAATTACACATACACAATGAAATAAAGAAAAATAATTGTAATATTTTAAATGTTCAAACCAATTTTAATAATAATATCTTATATCAATACAATTTCTTAACATATCTATGTCTAATAATAACTAATTTTTAATAATCTCTCTATTAAAATAAATTATTTATGTATCCTATGTAAAATGACCAATTTGGATATTTTTTTTCTATTTATTCCTTCATTTAATTTATTTATATTTAATCCCGTTTTACATTTTGACTGTGACTTGATGATGAATTTTTAATTTGAAACCTATTACATAATAAACTTATCATAATACTACAGGAAACACATTAATTCATTAATTAATTAATTTTGTTTTTAAATATGCATTTTTATCTATATATTTATTTACTTAAAATAATATATGTATACATAAAAAAAACAATCAGGTCTATAGACTATGGGCAATAAAATAATATATACTGTGTGCCATGAGAAAAGGCATATTACAGCTGATCAAAACTCATATATTTCTACTATCCACTACATGATCATAATATATATTTATGTTTGGATGCACAAGCCATGTGCATTCTCTTGTGGCATAGAGTAAAATATTCATTAGAATTATATTTGGATATTTTTATCCATAGTACATGAGGTTATTAATGTGGATGCCAAAGCAATAGTTATAGGTCAGTTTGGGAAAATAAAAGATTGTAATATTGCTTTAAAATTGTTGCAAATATGTTTGTTTATAATTGTTTGATATGAACAAATTAATATATGCATATTATAGGCAAAACCTGAAATCTTGCAAAACTTAGAAATGCCGCAAAACGCTAAGTGTTCGATACTTGGGCAAATTGTAATATTTTGACTTTTACCTAGACAAACCTTGTAGTGATCAACCCTATTTTGGAAAAACTGTTATGTCCATGCATTTCAATTTTTTTTAATAGATAATATTACATATTATTAGGTATATTAACATAAATATATTTGTTTATTTGTTGCTATACATATTTGAACTATGACATTTAGAACAACAAATAATATTTTGTTATTTGCATTTATATTTATATTGTCTATATACCATAAACCAACTATTTTCATGCAAAGACCACTTTATTAGTGAGGAGAGCGAGTATATTATAATATTATTATCATAATAGATACTTTTTTTTTTTTTAATATTGAATAACTTGTCAATATAATATCAATTATATTTTTAGAATATTAAAATAAAATTCTTAAAATCAACATTTACCAAATATCATTATACTCATTTTATTATTATTTAAATTTATTTAATCATATAATATGTATATTAAAAAAAATATGGTATTTATTGTGAAAAATTAAGATTTATGGATGTTACAGTTTTGTCCAAATGAAGTTGATCAATACTAGGTTTGTTCTGGCAAAAGCAGAAATATGATATTTTATGAAATTTCACCCAAGTACCATAGACAACTTGGAGGTTTGCCAGGGTATTTCTGAGATTTGGCCAATTTAGGTTTAAAATATATAATACATTTTTTTTTATTTATATAACATTTAGAGTTTGTATCTATAAACCATTTTTTTTTTCATTTGGAAATTAGAGTAATTGTAAAATAAATTACAATTATTACTTTTTGTTGGGATTAGGAAACCCCTCAATATTTTATGGTGTATTTTTAAACCCCTCTTAATTGAGCTCCAGATAGGCCACTGACTATTATTCCTTATAAAATGTCTGTTTCAATATATATATATAAATATTTTAATTGTACCAAAAAATATTTATTAATAATAAAATAAAAACAAAATTATTAAATGGTTAATACTTGTAAATAAATCAATGGCCTTAAGTATTATGATATGTGTATTGTACAATCCAGTTTCAAATTAAAAATTCATAGTGTAACTGTGATTTTACCTGATGATGAATGTTTAATTAGAAACATACAATACACATATATTAATTTATATAAATATTGATTTTTAGTATGATTTTAGTTTTGATATTTTAAGAGATTATGAGAGTATGAATGTGTAGAATTACACAAAATATTTTTTAAATACTAACATTAATTTTTATCTTGTATATCTAAAACTAATTTAAAATATTTTTCTTGCAGAAGTGGAGAAGATTTAGTGATCTCTACAAAAACATGGAAAACTACAATGTTGGCACATTAATCAGAAAAGATATTCGTGGAGGTTATGATGATGCAAATAGTTTTATAGTTGTAAGGATACAATTTTATGCTATTGAACTTGCTAGAAATAGAGAAGGATTGAATGATGTTCATTTTTTTGTCAATAATAGTGATAAATGAAATGTTGAACCTTAAATTTATCATTTTATTTTTAATTAATAATTTATGTAGCATAATTTGGCATAAGAATAAAACATTTTGTACTTAATCTTGTTAATGATGATTTAATTTACATGCACACACACACACACACATATATATATATATATATATATATATGTAAATGCCTAGGTTATATCTGAAAGAGCAGGGGTCTGGATTATATTATTAACCAAGACTGTATTAACCCAACACTTACCTGGTTATTAATTGACTATTTGTTTTTTTTTTCTGTTGGCCTAAACTTCTGGCATTCATTACTTTCTATTAATCTGGTTTTTTTTGCATTTTGATCACAATAAAAAATTATTTAATACCAATATCGCCATTTTGGAAAAAAGTGATTTTCATTGTTTTTTTCCTGTACGCTCCAAATATTTTATACAATATATTTGAATTTAAAATATTTATGAAAAAAAAAAAGAATTAAAACTTACAATAAACTTTGTATCAAATATTTGATCATTATTTTGAGAAATTACAAAATTGTATCCACCTAACTCAAAATAAGCACCTGAATATTTATAGACATTTGACATTTTTGAATTATTTTAGTTTTTCTTTGAAAATAATTTTAAATTCGTATTCAGTTAGTGACATATTAAAATATTTTGTGCTCCAGGTAAGCAAAAAATAACATCTTCGTCCCATTTCAAATGACTTCAGTAATATATTTGTAAAAAAAAAATGGACATATTTTGCACGAATGTGTAAGCCATTATTGTAGATGTGAAGTTGGAAAGGATATAGAAGAGAATTTAGTTTTTATCTTTATACACTGATTATTCATTGCTAATGAAAAAAAATTCTGCATGAAGTTTAGTTACACATATTTTAAATGGCTGTAATATTTACTATTCTCCTTAAAATTTGTATAAAAAAAAATATATGCATTCATAAATATATTTATGAACACAGAACACTACCAATTATATAAAATATCAGAATAATAATTATTAAAAATGAGCTCATATCAGCTGTAATACAATACATAATATACAACATATAACAGCTGTACATAGAATGAGCATGGACTAAGAATGTTATTGAACCATGATAAAATAATATCAAAAAGCATCAAGACTGATAATATTACTTGGGAACTGTTGAAGAGCAAAATTATTTGTAACCTTGGTTACATTATGATCCAATTCAAAAATTGCCTGATGAACATTTACTGGCCATATTCAAATATTACAAAAATATCCAATTGTAATTAAAACATGTCAAATTAATATTTATTGTCTATAATAGGTAAATTAAGTCTTATAAACATACAAGTTCAGGATGATTTTTCAAAAATTATTAGCTTTATTATATTTTTAATGCTTAAAATACTCTGTAGATATTGAGTATGTCAATTGACAATAACTTTTCAATTTCCTCATTTAGATATCTAGCTAATTTAGCAGTTAATGAATGTTTTCTAATTTGTTTGGCTTTCATGAGACAATAAATTTAGTCCATCATTTATGCTCAAATACCTAAAATTAAAATTAAATTAAGAACTACGTACCTATTAGATGAAAAATGTTAAGTTTTGGATAAATATAAACTAAATTATACTAAACCAATAAGCAGCTTCTATTAAATCTCCATGTAGAATATTATATTGAGCCCACTTGGTAGTTATTTCTTGATCTGGTTTTTCTTAGCTCAAGGTAAGCACTAAAGCTTCACAGAAACAAAAATTATTTTTAAATAACATTATTGTAGCTTCTTCAGACGTTTTTAATCCAATTTAATATGTTGATGTAAATATAAATACACAAATAAATATTTATGTGTATAATATTTAACTATTTGTCCATAAATTAAAAATTGTCAATTGTTAATTTACACATATTCATAACTAATAGTTGAAGGAACAGCCAGCTACTATCCATTAGTTTATGGTGTTTGTTTCAATCACATTTTTTAAATGACTCAACATTTTGATTCCATAAACTTATATTTTTGGTATAAGAAGTTATTTTATTTGATAGATTAGTTTTTAATAATGCATTATTTATACAATAACATATTAATTTTTTTTTTTTTTTTAAATAGTAATTTTCAAATAAACTTGATTTGTATTAATATGAATCCTTAAACTTTCACATTTTAACTGAGTTTGAAATGTTTAAAAATTGTATCCCATATATCACTACATAATGTAATCAAAAAATTACAAATGTTTAAGTACTTAATTATATTATTATCAAAAATAATATTTTTTATCATATTAATTAATATATTATTAGTATTATAATGGAATAATAATAAAGTAAAGTAATCTATTTAATTTTCTTTCTACATTTTATATGTTTGAAAATATTAATAGGATTATGCTGGTATTTTTATAGTGGAAAAATTAAATGAAAAATACTCTTGGTAAATATTTTAATTTTAATACCAAATAGAAGCAATTATATTATATTTTACATCAATATGAAGCCAAGAAATACTACTACAAACTAAAATGCAGTATAACTCTAAGACCATAACTAGATTAGATCAATTATAAAAATATAAACTAAATATTGTAATAGAACAAGGGAAAATTTAACTTTAGTGTGCTGTTCATAGGTGGTTTTTCTTCATAACTAATAGGAGGTGTGGTAATTAAATAACCTAACTGGTGCAGTAGTAAATTTGAACATGTCTATCTGTTTAATGCTTGCTCCACTCTCAGCTTAATGGGCATGATTCAGCAATTATCTAAGGTTAGATAAGTTAGGATAGGTAATCAAAGATTATTGTAGTGGCAGCAATAACATTGATTGTGTTGTACTGCTGTAGAACTCATAGAACATGCAGTCATAAAATAATAAAAATGAACCAAATAAATACTAAGATTTTGAATTTTATAAACATGCTTAGGAAATCCATTAATTTCAAATAGGTAAAAAATAATAATAATTTCTTCAATTTAAATGTACTAATAACTCTTAAAAGGAAATTATATTATATTTTATTTTATATTTCATGAACGTGCATGATGCCCTATAAATTAACAACTACAACATGATTAAATAGCATTAAACAATAAAAAAAGACAGACATACTTCGCACGTGGGTGCAGCCGCTGCTGTAGGTGGAAAGTTGGAAAGGTAGGATAAAGACAAAAATTTAATGTATATCTGTAAGCAATGATAAACCATTACTAACGAAAAAACGATTCTGAATGGAGTTCAGTAGATAGTGTTTATTTGTCAACAATATAACACATATAATATCATATTATGGCAAAATAATTACAACAATGATTGTTAAAAATATATTAAAATAATGAAAAAGGTTGTCAATGATAACCTTATTTTTAATTTTTCAATGTTTTTTAACCTAAAGACCGAGTTTTTCCTCATTATCTAGAATAAGAGAGTTTCAAAAAAAGACCTTTCTAAAGTACTATCCAGAGAAAATTTCCTTTCAGAATAGGTGTTATACACTTATACTGGATAATCAGTAGATAGGAAATAGATACACTTTTTGGTAGAAAAAAAGTTCACATAAAAAAATAAAATAAAATAAACATCATTGTAAAACCAATACATTTTCGTTTCACCCTACATCTAAAATAGATAAGAAATAATAAAAAATAAGTAATAATAATTAATTAATAAGTACATACATAAATAAATCGAAATATAAAGTAACTATATAATTATAAAAAGAAAAAAGAATACATAATAATAAATTAAGAATTAGAACGTAAAATTGACAAAACACCATACTTAAATCAAACACGAGACATATCAAAAAAATTAATAAACCTTCATAAAGAGTTTTAGAAAGATAAAGCTCTAAAGAAAAAAGTACCAACTGCTAAGTTAGTTTTATAATTAGGTACAGAAAAAAATACTGATGATCTCGTTAAATGTACTGAAATATGCAATCCAACTTGAAATTTATTTTATTTATTTATTTAATAATTCGTATGGCATAGACAATGTAACAATATATATATATAATTTATGTATAGTAATAAGCAGGTAGCAAAACAGAATATAATGACAATTGCTATAAACAACAGTATAAAAGTATAAAAGTATAATGACTATAGAATAATGTCCAGGCTTTTCACCCATTCGATAGCTTCAGGGATCGCGTTAAAAATGTCCTCGAGTTTTCCTCCGAACTTTCTCTTAGGGCACTCTCGTATGATATTCATACGATATGATATACTATATGATATTCATATTTCATAAATCGACTTACTATTGACGTTTGGTGATCAGCAACCGGTTGTTCTATTGTCACCATACCTTAATTAATACAGGGCCTTTTACTGTAAATTTCTATGTTAGAGTATATTTTAAAGTATCTAATATTATTGGCTGTTAGTAGATTTCATCGAGTTTAGCTTTTTTGCCTAATAATACTTTATTCATTTTAATTTTTTTTTTTTATCATTTTTTAGTAGTTGAACGTAACAAAATTATAAGTTATACTTATAATCAAACATAGTATCAAAATGATGCTATAATAATTAATTAATTTACTATTTGCACGTCTTGTAGTAGCTGATCATTGATTTTTAAACAAGAAACCATAACAACCTTTTATTTGATTTCACAACATAAAATCATATAGGTACTTTAAAGTTTCGTTTGTTTCAGATTTTTTTTTATATTTTACTATTGTTTAATTTACCTATAATAATATGAGTCTTTTTAATACACCTTTATTAGATAGTAATCTATCTAGTCTAACTGTTGACGAAAAAGAACTTAAAAACCATATTAACAAATACATCAATCATGTGGAGATATCCGATTGGTCTTATCATTTTAATCGAATTTTCATTAGCCCAGAAAACTCGTTTAATGTAAAATATATCATAAAGGTATTATAATATTATACACCTAATTTATTTGTATCATTTAAATTATTCTTGTATTCCTAACTACTGAAATTTTAAAAAACTTTTTCTTAACATATACTAATACTACAGTATAATATTAGTTAAGCATGTATTAGAATATAGTATAGGTATTTATTATTAACATAACAAAATATACGTATAGTTATTAATAAATATTTAAAACTAAATGTTTCACATTTTCAGTTTTTATCATCAAAGTTAGCCAAACATAACCAAGTGCTCAGAAAATATATTTCATTAGCGGGCTCGGATGATCAATTAATATCTCAAGAAAGACGATCTAAAACCATGTCTAAATCATCCGATTTATTAAGTGAAATTAAAGATGATGTTGACTTAGTTAAGAATGATGAAGATATCGTTATTGATGATATTCTTGATGGTTTAACATGCATGGAGTTTATTCGGTGAATTGTGTACGGTTGTCGACATTTTAAAATCATTAAATTAACATAATGAAATGCTTTAGATTATTGGATATAGAACCGGATAAAAGATTAAAGACAATAATGCATCATTATAACATATATAATACAACTTTTGATAGCATACCGGTTGATAAACTAGATAAATTAAGCAACAATATAAAAAAAAATGTCCCATATGAAATAGTTACGGAAAAAGCAGTAAACGAATCCCAGAACCATCAGGTAATTTGTAATTTTTGTTAATTCTGTGCTAGCACTGTTATCCGTAGGAGTTATATAATTTATTAATTTTATTGGTCATGAATGGTTTGTTATTTCCTCTATAGATTTGCTTTAAATATATACTATATTATATTAATAATATACTGGTAAATAAGTCAAGTATTACTCAATCTCACTCATAGAGAGTGACGTAAATAGGGAAATGCAGGGATGCGGTTGCATTAGAGTCCTAAATCTAAGGGACCGTACTACCTTTCCAGAACGTTGTTTTTTGTGATTAGTGAATATTTACGTGTTGAAAAAAATAATAAACCAAAATAATATCTTATTATATATTATTTACCAGTATTATTTCGATAAATAATAATTATTGATTCGAAATTCTTATTATAGTCAAACCTGTCTGTTAACCGACACCTATCTGTAATGAACACTTCTCTCAAGGCATAACATTTTAAGATCCCTGTAAAAAGATAGTGATTTTCACGTATTTCTATCTGTCTATAACGGACGGGGACAGTAATATCACAAAATAGGTTTAATAAAAAGGGACACTCTCGATGCAAAACAAAAACGTGATGGCCACTTTGCCGTTTATGGAGCTTATCAATTTAGTGTTATCAATAATATTAATAATATAATTATGTATAATAATATTAATATTTCTGAGATCATTTCTGAAATTATTATTTTCTTAATGTTTTAGTTAATATCTATAATTAATAGTATTGTTTGTTACCTTTTGAAGTTGTTAAAAACGTGTGGTGCCATAATAATTGATATATCCAGAGATAATAAAGCATTATCAAAAGGAAAAGATCTATTCAGGTTATTAAAAAGAGATATTTATAGCATGAAAGATAAAGAAAGAATCCTTGCAATGCAAAACAAAAGATTGATTGTGTTAATATCAACTGTGATGACTTGGGCGGGTGACAATAAACGCGTTAGTTAGTAATATTAGTAAAAACATTCAAAATAATATTTAAAAATAATTTATCGTTAATTTAAAAAGCGTACTGTGAGTGAAAAAGATGTAGACAATAGAATTCCAAATCCAGAATTTGTAGAGCATTATGAATTTGAACTCGACGTTTTCGCTGTAAACCAAACAAAAGGGGTAAACATATTTGCATTGTAAAAATAAGTAAAGACATACAATGATCGATATTTTTATTATACTATTTGTAGTTAAGAGAATTCTTGACGACAATAATCATTTGGTCGGGTCTAACTTATGGGTTTGAACAAGATTTGTTAAATTTTGCGTTCGATTCAGCTTGTAAAAATAACGATATACTTGTATATCCAATACCAACAAATCAAAACTACGTACCTGTAATGCACGTTGAAAACTTAGCAAGGTTGGTAATTTTAAAAACTATTAACTGCACATTGTTTTTTTTTAAATTGATTTACTAATTATTTAATTAACTTTAGGCTCGTACATAAAATAGTATCAGAAATTCATACACTGAAATGCCACTGTATTTTTGCTATTGAAAGCCCTGTAAATACATTAAAACAAATTATTACGGTAAGTAGTACCATAAATCAAAATAATTACAAATAATGTTAGTTAACTGTTTATAATGCGAGTAGTTTGAATATTGTTTTAGGCTCTTGATAAAACACGTGGCGAAAGTATTTCGACTTTTGTGTCATTAGACACGTTCATAAACAAATATGAGCTGACAGTGAGTAACAAGTCTATTCTAAAAAATATATAAATGATAAATGTCAGTATTTTTATAGGGTTTACATAAACAAATAATATCTGTTGATATTAAAGTTAATTCATGTATTGATCGATTGTGGCCCAATTTTGAGTGGTATGGAGGTAAATTGTCTATAATTTATAAAATAAAATCATTAGTCAATACATACAAAATAGAACATGACATTAAGGTGAACACTTACATATTTGTTTTCAAATTAATAATATTTAAAATTTTAAGATTATTATGTTTAATGTATATGTATATTATTATATTATGTATACCTATACACTTATTTTTTGCAGAATTTAAGAATCTTAGTGCTCGGTCCACCGGCTTCTGGTAAGACTACACTTGCGCGTAAACTTGCCAAACATTATGGTTTAATACATGTGGAATCTAAACAAATAATCCAGAATCATATTAGTGCAATTGTAAGTTAAATATTGAATAATATTATATACAATATAAATTAAGAATATATCAATGACGGATTAGAGGGAGGTGGTGATATAGTGATTATTACTTGAATTATATAAATATCTACAACTCCAAGCTGTAACTGGAAGAATGATGGGAAATCAAATTGTGTACGTTATTTAAAACATTAAAATATTACCTAGTGTACAGTAAGTACTAAGTACTTATATTAACCTTTCCACTGCTACACTATTTTTATTCTGTAAACTATCTATGCTACATAAAATAAATTATTTTTATCTGTTTTGTTTTTATAGTAATAGACTAAAAAAGAATTATAAAATGGAACTTTAGAGTTAAAAAAAAATTACATTACGTGGATAAAATTGTTAGACCGAATAAAAATGCTTGAGAATTTAACATAAGATGCAGAGATTCATTAAAAGTCGTACTTTTTGGGAAAAAAAAGTTAGAGCAGAGGCTAACTGACTTATCACTTTTTAATATTCATGAAATGAAAACATTAATATAAAAAATATTGTTAATCAAAATTTATTTTAAAGTAATGTCCGTATTTTTTAATTTAATATAAAATAAATAATCAATATTGAAATCAATTTAAAGAACATTGTTGAATTGTAGTATACATTTAAATAGTGATCATTGAAAGGTAGAATTAAGTATAGAAATTACTGATTTTATGCTTATTATGTTACGTGAGTGGATTTCAAGTTGATTTAATTTTCAGTATAGGTTTAACATCCATTAAAAAATATAAAACAAAGCCCTTGTCCCTCCCTTTAAATAAGCTTGAGATTGCCCTTGGCATAGATGTATGGGTTACATTTTGAAATAATGACTTTTGTATGCAGAGAGAAGAACTGATGTTACTTCATCAACAAGATCTAAATTCAACTTTGATAGACTTAATAGATGATGACGACCGAACTGAAGTACCCAAAAAAATCGATCCCACTGAAAGTAAAAAAATGTTGGAATTAGATCAAGAGCTTGAAAAATTATATGCGTCTATGGATGCCAACAATGGAGTATTAAACGACTTTTATTTTATTCCGTAATTGTTTTGTTTTAATTATTTTCAAAATTAATTTTCTCACGAAATGCTTTTAAAAATAATTTGACTTCCTCGTTTTATTTCTATACACTTATAGTTTATTAATAAAAGAAATGTCTCGTGTAGTTTCTACTAAACGTGGATATGTTCTGGATGGATACCCAACAACGGTAAATCAAGCCAAGCAAATATTCAACAAAATAAATACACCACAACAAATTGATATTAATAAACTACCTAGTAATCTATTAAAAAGATATTTTATTTTTACTTTTTTCATTGAGTACTGGAATAATTAAGTACGTATTGTGTTTTTATTCTATATCCGTAGATTTAACTGTTTGTTTAATACAAAAAACACAGCTTATTCCATCTACTACAGTATTTTCTAATGATAACAATACTGTTTCAAGTACAATTGAAACAAGAAGCTTAAAACGAAGGCTTATATTCTCAAAAGAGAATGATGTGGCTGATTCAAATTATGAAATGTCTACTACAACAAGCGTAGCTGTTAAAGCTGCTAAACCTATATTAAAAAAAACCCATTCTAGTATTGGGTCAACAAGAGATAAATCGTGAGATAAAATTATCTGTTTAAAAATATTTTGTTATATAAATTAAATCGATTTTAGTAAACATTTGATTTGGGATGTACAAGCCCATGATAATGTTTTGAAAATGCTTCACTATTATTATGTGCCAATAAAAACTGTTGATTCTCCTTACTTTCCTATGAACTTGAATTTTAAGATACCAAAAGAGACAGATATAAACCAGACTTTTGAGCAACTTTTAGATACAGTTGTTAACGAAATTAATTTAAATCAACAATACGGTAATTTAAAAACTATTACGTCAGTAAATGAAGGGTACAGGGAAAAAAACCAGAAAAGTCACTTTTTTTCCAAAATGACGATATTGGTATCAAATAATTTCTATTGACGTACATATCTTTTATGCAATCGAAACGCGAAAAAACCAGATTAGTCAAATGCTAGAAGTTCACAGGAAAAAAAAAGATAGTCAATTTATAACCAAGTAAATGTTGGGTTAATAAACGGCTATAACCTTGGTTAATAATATAATATGATATTATTATGTTGTGGTTACTACATTTCAAAGTTTAACATTAAATATAAACCGAAATTTTTACTTTGTAAAAAAAAATTGTTACGTTTTTCTCAGTTTGAAAAAAAAAATAACTTTTCTGGTTTTTCCTCTCTACCTACTCTTCAAATAAGTACCTATTTTATTAAGACGTCCCGAAAACTATATATATCTAATAAACTATATTTATATGATATGGTTATTATTTATTAAGATTAATGTTCAAATGTCTAATTTATAACAAAATTGTCATAGAATTTTCAGAAAATCTTAGCTTGAACAAAACAAATTCAATGGATGGAGAATTTAATGTTGAACATAAAATACACGTACTAGAACGACTTAAGGAAAAAGTATATACTATAAATTATAATTATTAATTTTGGTATGTCTAAGTATTGATGAGATACGAATTTCTTTTGAAACGTATCTATATTTACAAATTAATAAAAACTGCTGTAGGATTAGTTAAATTTTAATAGACAATTTAGAAACCATCTCCCTTCCTCCTCCTACCTGATGTAGTTTAATAAATAAATTCATTATATTATTACATTAGTATAAATGCACATATGACATACCTAGATAAACTTAAAAAATGTATGTTATTCTGAATTGTTGTTATAGATGACACTGTTAGAAGAATTTGAAAGGATAACAGATTTCGGAGGTATAGAACGGTTATCTTGTGAAGAATATTTAATGAAGTATGTCACGTCTACTTTGACAAAATTGATTGTTCAAGTAGCTAAAGTGAGACCACGGAATCCTGTAGATTTTTTAGTAAATGCCAATTATTATTCGACATAAACAGATATTGTGTTATAAATTACTAGATATGTTTTATCATTTTGAATAGGCTTATATGGCTCTTAAAGAGAATCGGGAAGGTTTGCCCGATTTCCCAGGATATTCTAAGGAAGGTGTAAGAATCAAGAATATATTGGAACGCATATTCCGCATGTATGGCTACGACGACGACATCATCAACTCGAATCCATTAATGAAATATTTAGAAGTACATTCTGTAAATCGCGAAGACAAGGAAATAAGTGCAGAACCATTTTTTGAATAATTGTTTTTAAAAAGCAAGGTTTATAAAAGTATCTAATATTAAATGTTAAATATTATTATTTAATTCAGAAAATAAATCTATTTATGAAGATTTGAAACTAATGATGGGCTATGTGTCAAATGACAATTGATTTTTGCAAGTTGATTTTGAGTTATTCCCGTTATAACCTCACCAGTGGCCTCAGCATATAGCTCTCGCGTCATTTTGCTATCATCATAATCTGGAGCAAAATTACTGATAAAAAAGTTGTTATTCATGTATTATCATATCATCCATATATCCATATATATATACCATCATATCATCTATATTTCTTTTAGAAATAAATTTATAGATGTATAAGTCTATGGGTATACAGTTATAAATCAATAATATATTAGTTATTATAGTTCACACCAGATCACACTGCATAACTGCAGGTTTTTAATGAGTTTTATGATAAGTACCTTTCCCAGTCGTGTAATTTTAAAACGTGCATAGATCCATTGACCTATTATGGTTAACAATACTAATGTGTTTATACTGTACACTACTGTAGTATGTCTAACCGGTTACATATTGTAATAGATAAAATAGTAGGGGAAAGGGGAAGTAGAATGTAGAATAATTAAATATATAACTCGATGAATACCTAGATCATTTACTACTTCCTATGATAATAGGAAATAAATATGAAATGCAAATTGTACAATGATATACTTACCTATCCTGGATGGAATTTCTTTAGCAACAGTATTTCTGTAGTAGTGATGTTAAAGCAAATCACGAGTAAAATGATGGTAATTTATTAACGCAGAGAAAACACACAACAGGAAAAAGAGCAACAAATGTCTTGGTACGAGAAAGGGCTCTGGGCTAGATGATTAGAAGAGGGAGTATATGATCAGTAAAAATGGGAGATTGTGTGTGTTGTCATCCAGTGGTCAATATCATTATATATTACTATTAAGACATTAAATATAAATTGACTTAATAATTAGGTAATAGAATTAATAGTGTCTTATATATTCAAAATGTGTACTAATATTATATCAATATACCAATATAAATAGCTAATACTAAAATTATGATGTAAACAACATTGTATATATCATTATAATATTTATCTATTTTGTTTCAATAAAATTAATAATTAACATACATTTTAAATATTATTTAAGAATATCAAAAATCGTGTTCCTAGATAAAAAGTATAAATAAAAAAGACAGACATACCTTGCACATAGGAGGTAAAAACCTGGCTAAGAAAAAAAACTTATGTAAGAAAAGTTATATTATCAAAAAGGGGTTCAATAATATCTTAAATTCATTAGTATAGAAATTGTTTTTAATAGCTTGTATTTGATGATAATTTAATACAAATAAATAAACTTAGCTTGGCATCTTCTAATATTTACAACTACTGTATAAAGATACAATACCGACATGAATATTTACATTCCCCATTTTATAATTTTTTAATATTATCATAATACTATTTAAGTATTTAAGTACAAACTATAAGCAGCCACCAACCTAAGTTAAATTATTTCTATTAAATTATTGCACTTCATCAAATATAAATAATTATTAACAATTTCTATATTAATAAATGTATGAAATTACTTAGCCTCTTTTTGATATCACAACTTTTCTAACTTGAGGTTTTTTTGAGACACTCAAGAGACATTTCTTTTACATGTAATTTATAGAGGGCTTTTGTTGGGATATCACAATTTTTTTTTTTATTACAATTTTGAATATAGTTAACCTGCTTCTTTTTATCAAGTGAAGTTTATGGGTACAAAATATCTTTAAATATCTATATAAATAAATAAATGCATATGCAATGCATTCAATAATTCATCAGATATAATCACAAAGTCAAAAAGTAAAACACAACTTTTTGACATTGTGATTATACATAACAATGAATTTTTAATTTGAAACCAGTTGTACAATACACAATTCATAATACACCAAGCAACATATAAATTTATTTATTTATTTATACATTTATTTACAAGTATTAATCATTTAATAATTTTGTTTTGCTTTATTAATTTATAATAAAATATCTTTGTTGTTTTATGGATTGAGTAAATGAATATATGATGTATAGCTATGAATGTAGCTTCTTATGAATGTTGCTGAAAACTGATACTATAGTAATATAGCGATAAAATAAATAAATAAAATTATTTTCACTGCAAACAGCCACCATCCCAAACTGGTTGAGGTAGTAACAATGTGTACAACATATTATACATTGTTGAATTGATAAAAATACTTTTGTATATTATTTAGGATATGATCATCTGATCAACTTGAAGTTTACAAAAGTATCATCTACATAACATGCTGATCAACCTATGTAAATTTCAAAACAATTAATCCATTAGTTTAGACTAGAGAGAGGTCAGACCACATGTAAAATGGATAATAACAGAATGAAAATAGGAATTCATGGAAGGGACAGGTTTTTATTTTTTTCAATTTTTTTTTTGTTATTACTGTGTATGAATAGCTCACACAATTTTAGGCAGCTGTGTGGGAGAGCTAGTAAGGAATAATATAACAAAAAAATTTGATGTAATACATGTTATTTAATTTAAACTAAGTTGTACACTACTGTATATGTATTTAATAATTACACTAAACACTCAAATAATATTTACATTATAGAAAACTAATATAAAGACAAATTTGTATTATTGACTATGTTTTAACTTGTGATATATTACAATTTTAAATCCTTATCCATAACTACAAATGATGGGACTAAGGTTTCATTGAATTCTGCAGGGTTTAAGTAATCATGTTCAGATACTGTGTCAAGAGTATCATCCAATATATCTGCTATTAAATTAGATGACTTTAAAATGGGAAGACGACCTACATTTTCAAAAACTTTTTTCTCCATAACATAACGTAAAGGCATATGCATACCTTGAGTAACCATTAACCCCTTTTTCAATGTTCTAGTTTCTTTTTCTTTGTACTGGAAAACAAAATAAAAATGGATTTTCAATAGGTACATTTAAAATAATATTGTACCTGATTCCCATTTCTCCGACTGACATAAATACTAGTTAGTATATTTATAATTAATCTAATTAGACTGTTAAATTTTAAAATATACACATTACAAATAAACTATCTGTATTATGCCAAACCACCATAAAAGGGTATGACATAATAATTTACAATTACACCTACCAACCAACAATTTAATTAGTATTAAAATTATTGTTTAATTGTACATTTATCAATGTATACATTTTAATATTTACTATTATTGTTACTAATATTAATATTATAACCTAAGTGACAGCCTTACAGGTAAAAATTGATAAGAAACAAAAGTATTATGTGGGTACATAATACTTTTATCTAGCCCAAAAACATACACATGTTAAAAATATAAACTGACATAGACAAACACAAACCCATCTATGAGATTGAAATTTATAACAAAGATTTTACACGTGGGTGGGCCACCATTATAGATGAAAAGTTTGGAAGGTAGAGAGAAAGTTTAATATATATCTGAACACAAAAATTAATCATTGCTAACGAGAAAGGACACTAAAGTTCAATTATACATGTTTTGAAAGACCATAATTTTTATGATTTGAAAATAATACATTTCGCAAATTTTCCGGTTTTCCCCATTTATTATAAAAACTCCTTGAAAAATCAAAAAAGTATCACTTCCTAAAAAGCTACCTAAAGTACCATCTCAGTCAAAGTCTCTTTCAGAAAAGGTACTACACTTAAAAATTGGAGCAAACATTTTGGTAAAAGTTATTCACAGAAAAAAAAATACCATTTTAATAATCTAAGATACATGTATTACTTATGTAAAAGTTAATTTTGATAGATTATTAGAGAATAATTAGGAAATTAAAGACAAAACTTTTGGTTAACAATAAGAGATAATATCACTTATATATTAGGGCATCAAATGTACTCATGTATATCACACTATTGTACTTGATACTGTCTCTAACTATAGGCATAAGTGCCCCTCCTAAAAAAAAAGGTAACCCCTAACATTTTGATAATTTTATTAGGTATAAACTTTAAATTATGATAAACAAATATCAGCTATCAATATTGAAACATTAGGTATAACAAAATATTATATTTTCATACTTGCCATTCCGGAAACCGGTAATGACTTATGCTCTCTATTATTGGTGGCAAAAAATGATGTGCATCGCCCATAATCATCACAACATCACTAATCAAATGTACCCGCAGAAAATGAAGAAAAATATTATAGACATGCCATTTTCATTCCATGGCTAGATTCTTTTATTAGCAATATGTCCTAACGATTTTTAAAGCATAAATGTATTATTAAAAGTTCTAAGTGCCTTCTACCAACTGAAAATTCACTTAATCAAATAGAAAAATCACAATATTTAAAACTTTTCGAATTTTACAAAAATGATATACCACAAAATTATGTTAATACTGCAGTAGCTGAGTTTAATTTATGGTACCAAAAATTCCAATGCCCAAAACATTTTATTACCACATAATACAATTGATGATTTAAACTTGTGTAAGGAAACTTTGTTTCAAACTATATTTATACTTTTAAAAATATTCTCAACATTGCCCATCTCGACTTTTGGATTTATGTACATATTATAAAATAAATACTATTAATATTTGAAAATAATTTAAATTAGTACCCCCCCAAAAAAAAATTCCTGGGTGCGCCCCTGAATGAAAATAGGTACCTCCTCCTTACAGCCAGTTTAAAATGTATTCATTAGAATTGTACATTTATCATGATTTTAGTCTAAAAAATTAGTATTTGTATAAATTATTGTAGTTTTTAATAAAAATAAAGTTGACTTAGATAAACAGTAATATTGGATAATAATTACTTTTCTAATGCAAACAAATCTATTACAGTTTAAAATGAAATAAAAAGTAACATTCAAGTGTACAATTCATTAATTTAAACTATATGAAATATAACTAAGGTAGAATTTTGACATATCAGAGTTAATATTTTATTTAAATACTTACATTTATCAAATTTTGTTGAACTGGATGATAAGCTTCTTTAAAATTCTTTGGTCTAGCGGTATGAGCTCTAAAAACATAATTAGATATAGATAAGTTATGCACAAATTTTAAAAATTACAGAAATTTATATGATTTTTCTCACCCTAGGATGGCAAAATTACCAAAGGAATTATCGACAAAATCCTAAAAACAAACAATTAAATGATAGATTTCTCATACGTAAAACAAAATATTTGTAGATTGATTTAAAAATAAAAAACTTACCATATTGTAAGTTTCGTGTAGTTAAATAAATTTATTAAGTTTTTATAATTTTATAAAACTTAAAATTAGAAATGTGACAACAAGAAAACATGAATTACACAGCAGTTTTATACAAAGTATTTTACAATTTAAGAAACAACAATTTTGACAATCAGAAAAATTGATAGGATTTTAAAAGTGGATTCACAATCACAAAATGTTGTGGGGTGTGGCACTTTTATGATCGATGGTCGTGTATATTCGTGCCGTGCCCGTGCGTTTTCAAAAATATACAATACCTAATGATACTGTGGCGAACCACAACGTTATCATTCTCCGAGAGGACTCACAGTTCTTTCTTCCCGCTGCGCGTCGCTCGTGGCGGACGTCGGCCACGCCCCTCGCCGTCGGCGTTTAACGGTTTTTGCACACAGCTCCGCTACTCGACTGCTCGACCGCTCCGCTCGCTCTCTCCTCACCGACGCCGTACGCGAAGCATTATTTCCGTCTCCAATCAACCATTATATATAATTGTTTTTCTTAATTAATGTTGTTTTAATTGTTGCGTGCTCGCCCTTACTTCCGTCAAAGGCCGTCAGCTGGTGAACACTTGTATTATGTTTTGATGTTGTAAATAAACGGTACTTTTTACCTTATCATAAACCTCGTGTCTTGGTGTAACCCGCCAAAATACCAATGATTGTTATCAATTATACGAATATTGAACTTGATAATGATAACAATAATAAATTCCAAATCTAAAAACATAAAATCCGTATTTCGTATATACTATACAGATTTATTATTAAAATATAAAACGTATTACTACAATGTCAATAGCACTCAATCGAAAATGGTACAACTGTGATGTACACGAATACAATAAAAAAAGACGTCCTAGGATAATGGAGACGGGTGCAGCCACTGTTACAAATAATTTAATGTAAGCAACGATAAACCATTGTTGACGAAAAAACCATTCTGAGTGGAGTTTAGTTAATAGTGATGCTTTGTCAACAATATATATATATATGTCATTTTACAGTAAAATAATTAAATAGGCATTATATATTATATTTAACAATATTTGTTTTCTCGAATTCCATGGTTTAACATAGCTATTTCGAATAACGTTTCGAAAATCAAAAAAATGACCTCTCTTAAGTACTGTAATCGTACGTAAATTACTCGTAGCCAGAGTTTAATAATACAACTCGAGTAGAATATTCTCTCATCACACAATTAGTAATCACCTCATAAAATAAACTATTATATATTAACTAATAATAAACTATCATAACTTAGGTACTGTAATTTTTTTGTGGAGCTATTAACAAAAGAGATGCAGTAAATGTCGGAACGTCATGGTATCTGTAGTCGAATCTGACAGTATACCACAACCTAACCATGTACAATAACGTGATTAAGCCAATCAGAGCGCTGCAAATATAGACGACAGGACATAATATGGTGTAGTGTGAACCCACCTTAAGAGGAATCCCCAACTCGACGTGTCGTTTCGTTTCGTGTATTTTGAACACGACATGTTCCTTTTTGATTGCACGAAATAATTCATACCCATCGTTCTACCAACAACCAACATTATCACTCACTATCACTATTAATTTACCATTTACCAAAAATGCGCGGTAATTATTATTGCACATTATGCTTAAAATATAATATCATTATTATATTATATTATTTATGAATATTTATTATTATTTTGTCATCAATATTTCACTGTGTTTACACTTTATTCAGGTTTTTTATTATTCACAGTATTTTCTGTCAAAAATGACGATACCATTGAATTATTACCTAAACAGTATCCACTTTATTAATATTATACAGTATTATACGAATAACTAATAATAATAATAATACCAAAATTATTTTACTTAATTACTAATATATTGCTATTTTTAATAGTTATGTTCTACTAGTAGATATTAGTTTTAAAATTAATTGTGCCACTTAGGTACATTAAAACTACTTAGTATTGCACTTACTAACAGTGGCGCAACCAGGATTTATTTTTGGAAGGGGTTTTATGAATTTGAAAAAAAAAAATCAATTTCTGGTGGTTTGGAGGGAGTAGGGTTTAATTAGGTTTATGAGTAAAATATTTAAATTGTTTAACTTTCATTTATAGATAACACATATTGGAAAACAATTTAGATTCGTATTAGTTATGTAATTAAGTATAATTTACTCATAATTACATGGTGGGCCATTTAAACCTTCGGGATATATTTTGGGAATAATTAAAAAAAAAAAACAAATTATTAATTTAGAATTATTTTTCGTTTATTTTAGACATGGAAATTTGTTTTGATTACTTTTTAAAAATAATATCACGTAAATGCTCGTTTTGCATTGTGAATTGTATAATGTGTTCGTTTTTCGACATTTCCCATCACTTTTAAAAATGTTTCAGACTGAATAGCGGCCATTTCCTGTCATCTATTATCTTTCAACGCTTCTAGTATCCGGGGCTTCTTGACATAAAATCTAAACTTTAAATAACCCCACAGAAAAAAGTCAAAAATAAACGAATAATATAAAGAAAATCAAAAAATAACCTCCTTATTGCACCAACGAGACAACAATTTTTACTAGGAATCATCGCCACTAAAGTTGATAATTGGGGCAATATTTCTGGTAGAAAAGTTGTTCACATAAAGAAAAAGAATAAACATATTATCATAATAGAATCATAGTAATAACTAGGGAACGGATTTGAATGCAAATTGCATTTTTTTCTGAATGTCAGAAAACATTGCTTTCCAAGCACAAAGTTCATTTCNTACATCAAGGAATTAAGAAATGTAACATTTATTTTGCATTTTTTGACATTTTTAGGGCATTTTTATGTTTTTAAGTCATTTTTGTATAGGAATGGATAAAATTCGATAAAAATGTAGATTAACATTCATTCTAAAAAAATAAAAATAAATATTTATTGTTTTTACCGATCGGATAAACCCTGACTCCAGACGAAATTATTGTTGACACACGTATATACATATATCCAAGTAAATATAAGAATCTATTTATCTAAATTGTAATTTTGTGTTACACTGTTGAGTTGAGTCATTACTTCATCAAAATTAATGTTTTTTGGGACATTTTTTGATATTAAAGCATTTTATTAAGGCATTAAGTCGTATTTTTTTAGGACATTTTTCTTATTTTTTTATGGTATTAAAGTCCGTCCCTAGTAATAACCATCAAATTAGAATTTCAAATAAATAATATCTACTATAGTAGGTACTAAGAAAGCAAAAGTTAGCCTGAAGAAGGTAGTGTTTATTTTCGGAAATAATGAATTATTGAATTATGTTAGAAAATTGGTGTGGGAGATGTGTAAGCCCCACGAGTTGGGTTGAGTTCAATAATTGCAAGGGACGCTAATTTTTTTTTATGTCTTATAGTCCCTCTTCTTTTATTTTATCACTTCGAGCACTGTTTCAATATCTATATATATGTTTAAAGTGGCCATTCCATTAAGTTTTTTTTGTTCTGTAGTGTTTCTTAAGTACATTTTTAGCCTCCTAAATGAAGAAAATGATCTTTATAATGATAGTTGTTATCACTTATTCATACAACTACGTACTACGTAAAATTCGTAAAAAACTAACAGACGTATTTCGAAGGGGGGGTCATAACCCCAACCCCCTCCAAGTTGCACCACTGCTTACTAGCACTAGTTTGTGATTTTATATCATAAGTACAGTTGTGTGAAGTGTTTAATACAACAAACTTTTTGCATGAATTGCATATCTGTCCCTAAAAAAATGTACGTTTTACGATTACATAACATTAGATATTATTTACCTTCACAAAGTTCATATTGAATTTAAACTAGTATTAAAGTTAAGTATTAATTCACATTTAATTTTAATTTATTATTAAATAAAAACACGAAAATGACGTTATCAGCTATAATCAGCGCATCCAAAAATTGAATATATTTAACTCCGCGGTATTCACGGTAACGTTTTAATATGTACCAATCAGAAAAGAGTATTTCACACGAAATGAAATGACACGGTTAAGGACTCCCCTGATCACGGTTATAGATAGATCTGCAATCATGCTACCATTGCTTAGGAATACCAGAGTGCGATTAGATACATTTTCTAGAGTCGTCGGCTGTCACCAGACTCGTTTAGAAAGTATTTGGGGCGTGTCAGTGAATTCCCCGGCACGCCTCTTTAGCATTCAGAAACCAGGTTAGTTCGTCTCTTTTAACGCACTTCTGTAGGCCGTGAAACAACAGTGATACTTATGGTTCAAACCATTTCTTACTTTGCGCCAATTATTATTAGATACAATTTTGACCTACTATCACGCTTATTAAATAACAGGGTAAATTACTGTTTATTGTGAACGTTTAATTTTATTTTATTTTTAAAAAGGTTTCCTCGAGTTGTATTTATAAGTCTATGCTATCACTAATTACAAAATTAAATAATTACACTAATTAAAAATATTATTATTTTTAACCTAAGTTAAGATTTGAAAAACATTATCAGAACAATGTATAACAAAATTGTTTATGTACTTTTCAATTCAAATTGGAGATTCTTTCTCTAATGTAACCTCATCATCATCAATATTTAACAGTTCAGTTAGTCCACAATCAAAAAGAAATTTATTTGAGAAGCTTATAGTCATAGCTACAATTTTGTTATTAACCATTTATTATAAAATGTAATATAATAATTAATGATTAACTGGGTAGTATCCTTATCTATTAACTTATGGCCTTCATAACCTGATAAAACTATAAACAGGTTAACATATTATAGGTAACTAGGTTGATAACTTCAATGAAATAGGCAGTGGTTTCTCTGACAAATTCCCCGGAAAGCGTGGATAACGTTTATGAACGCACTCTATATTAGTATCAATGATAGTTATTTAGGTTAGTTAGGTTAGTTTACCTGTATAGTTTTGTATTATTCGCTTCACTTGTCGCCATTTTGTTGCCTTTGTTTTGAGAATCTCTAAACGTTTTCATTCTTTTAATACTATTAGTCATTAGCCAACAGCCTTTCTTCAATCATTTGCGAAACTAAATAATCTAAGTATTCCAAGTGAGTATACAACATATGTATATTTTTATATTATACAACTATGTTATGAAATAAGTCTGTGATTCGGGGGCCTTTTAAAAGGTACTAGGCTTAGTGAAAGTATGTCACGAGGTTACCTATTGAACGACGAATACGCAGCTGACCTCGGCTGCGAAGCACTTTGCAAATTTAGAGATAGCAAATTTCACATTACACATCGGTTAATTAATGGCATTTACCACAATTTATTTAATGTTTGCTATCATTGAAATTTACATTCGAAACTGATGCTTCACTATACGTTTAATTAGTAGTTTGCACCAGAATAATAATTTTTTTTTTCGTAGTTGAATCATGGCTCGTACTAAACAGACCGCGCGTAAGTCTACTGGTGGCAAAGCTCCTCGTAAACAGTTGGCGACCAAAGCCGCTAGGAAAAGCGCACAGACAACTGGTGGCGTGAAGAAACCCCATCGTTACCGCCCAGGAACTGTTGCTCTTCGTGAAATTCGCCGTTATCAGAAATCTACAGAGTTGCTTATCCGTAAATTGCCGTTTCAACGTTTGGTTCGTGAAATCGCACAAGATTTCAAAACTGATTTGCGCTTCCAGAGTGCGGCTATCGGAGCGTTACAAGTTTGTTTTTTATTTATAAAACATTGACAAATACTATATTTATGTTACCGTCCTTTACATAGGTACTTTAATTTATTACAATTTCAATTTATGTATTTATTATTACTGTACCCAATAGACATGTCTTTATTATTTTTTGAAATCAATCTTAGTATTGGTATGCAATAATCCTCTAATTTTCCTTATTATTTGTTTTTCTCCTGATTTCTTAATGTGAACTTTGGTTCATCATTATTTGTTGCCTATCGTCCAAGTCTAGGAAAAATAAAAAAAATGTATGTTTATATTTCATTCAATTTTTATTTTAATCAAGAAATATGTGTATAAGAGTTCATTCACTATTTTTGATATTAACTGGCGTGGGCACAGGGTGTGGCCTGGCACTACCCAAAAATTGTACATAAACATTTTTTTTTTTTTGTTATTATTTTGACATTATTAAGACAACAGTAGGTACGAGTTATATATTTTGTAAAATTTCCATTACTTATTCTTAATTTAAAATTTAATTCATACATTTCGAATTCACTACTGATTTTATTCTTATCTTTTACGACTTACCAAATATACTAATTTAATTGAAATTACCCAAGTATTTACTTATAGAAACTGATTATTATACACTGTGTGATACACCTGTACATTGGAGTAAGTTTTCTAGGATAAAAGTGGTCTACAGTATAAAAAAAAAGTACCATTATAAAAAAATGAAAAAAGTCATCCAATAATTTTGGAAATTTTACTACGTCTAGATAAGCCCAATATAAATATTATTATCATGTTTCAAGTCTCTACATATATTTATAACCGAATTACAGCAAAAAAACTCTCAAAAATTAAAATTCCTTAAAAGCTCAAAAGTTTTGACAATGATACCTTAAGAAAGTAAATAAAAAAGCAATAAAAAAAGGTATCTTGTGATTTTTAAATTAAATCATTTTTTTCTGGTAGAAAACATCCGTGTTTTAATAAAATAATTATATTATGAAATTGTACATTTTCCCACATAAGTGCTTTTATTGGCGTAAAAAATCAAAAGTGACATTTCTAAAGTACCATCTAGACAACTTGAATTTTCAGAAAAGTTACTTCAAGTAAAAATCAGAGCAAGTTTACTCGAAAAAAACGTTAAAATATACATTTTAAATAAATACATTTTTTTATATGTACCTACATTTTTATATTTGTTTACACTCCATGTGTATACATCATTTATTTTCTTTTTAAATTTAGAATTTTTTTTTTTTTTTGAAAGTTAATATAAATATTTTATTATTGTATCTATCATGATGTAATGTACAATTATTTCAAATGACTTGATATACAATATACCTATTGATTTTTAAAAATAAATATAAATTATAAATCTAAATTTTTATATTTTTAATAATTTAATATTTATTTTAAGTTGATTTTTTATATTTTATACTAAAACTACAATAGTTATATTTGTTAATTTTCGATTATGGACTGCAGATTTCAACAACTTGCTCCGATAATTATTTTTGTAAAAACATTTAAAATATTATTGAATGGTCTTAAAATATATCGTAGGTACCTAGTTAATACTATATAATACTATGTAGTAATAACTTATAATATTAATTTTTATATTATAATAGTTAAAATAATTATATTGCCTTTATAACAGTTTCATATTTTTTTCATTTCCTTTTTTTCCTGACCCCTTTTTTTGATAGGCCTTATTTATTTATATTTTAAAAGGAAAACATTTTTAATTTTTACACACTATTATGCTTTCTGTAATTTATCCAAACATTCCATTATTAATTTCTTGATACTTTTAAATTATTTTTATTATTTTTTTTATATTAACTAGGAGGCCAGTGAATCATACTTAGTAGGACTATTTGAGGATACCAACTTATGCGCTATTCACGCCAAACGTGTCACCATCATGCCTAAAGACATTCAATTAGCAAGACGTATCCGAGGTGAACGAGCTTAATCTGTGTCCTATATTAATCAAATAATTTTAAATTCAGTTATGTCTGAATTGTTTTTTTCATATTATATTCTGCACATTTCTTTTCAGATTATCATAATAGTTAGTAAGTATTGTATTAATAATTAATTGTTTCATTTTTTTTTTTTGTTAAAGTTTTTAATAGTTTATCTTAGGGAACTTCAAAATGTATTTAACAATAACAGTATTATGAAATACCTATGTCACTGTATTGAATTTCTATTTTGACAGATAAGATACACAATTTTAATAATTATCTACCTAATAATAATAATGTGGTAAATTCATGTTTGCGTATATGAATAAAAATATTTTTTTTTTTTCAAATAAATATAACTATTGGCCTTTTTTATACTATAAAAATTAATAGATAATTATTTTTTAAAAAACCTATTATACAATATTGCATAGAAAAAAAAAATGTAGTTAAATCAAAATAAATCAAAATGTATATAATTTGTTTCATGTTCATTAGATAAAAGCCTAATAATATATTCTATTAAAAAATCTTCAAACAGTTTATTTTTATTTTTTGCTTGATTGTTGTAAATCGTGTATCTCTTGTGATATTGACTGTTTCATATGCTGGCTGTTCTTCAATCTCCACTTTTTTCTGTATCACTGTGTGGAGTTCTAATATTTGTTGGAAAATAAACATTTTCTGTACTCTTTTGATCTAGTAGTATGCTATTTTCAAATATCCTTTTACATAAGGAGGCCAAATCTTCCTTTACTCCCTGTTTACATCTATTGAAAATATAGTTAAAAGTTCATATAAATATCAAATAATATAAATTAATAGATGATAATTACCTTTTATTATTAGAAGTGTAACCAATAGATACTGATATTAATTATGTGAAATACTAGCATAGTATCTTCAGCGAAATACAGTGTACGAAATAAATAACGAACGCCTTGTTGTATTTATTACTTTAATTATTTTTTTTTTATAAAATACCAAGTATATCTGAATCTTTTAGTCACACAATTGAAAAATAAATGCGTAAACATAAAATGTATAGGCATTACATTACATCCACCCATCTTTTTTTTTGGTTGTGTATTCACAACCCAGGACAGAGATCAAAGATGAGGACAGAAAAAAAAATAAGTTCTAACAAAACTTGAAATTTCCAAGTTTAAAAGTTTAGGAAGATAGAGCTTTTGAAAAATTAAACTTTAAGTTAATAAATATCTTTAATCTTAATTGTAACATTGTTATAAATGCTGGAAAGTCAACTGAATTTAATGATATAACCTTTTTAAGTATTTTTCGTTATTTATATAATAAATATATTTTGTTAACATATTATGCTTCCAAGAATTAATAAAAAGTGTGTAGAAATTTGTATTTTTAAATTTTGTCAAGATTAAAAATAATCAAGTCTTTGAGTTTAGTTCACATTATTGTACCTATTGGCTATAATTATATATAGGTATCTATTTTACCTACATTTAAAAATGGATATATTTTCATCTTATTACAATTTCATGGTTATATTCAATACAAATTGCATAATGCATCTTATGAAAAAAATTATAAATTTACGTTTATAAACTAAGCTAAATCTTATAAAAGCTGTTTTATTGATGTATTTAAGTAAGTCATTTTTTATGTATTTTAGTCACTATTCTCTAAGTACAATACATTGGTGGCAACTTTGCAGCCGTAAACCTGGGCCTGCGCAATTTTAAAATACAATATTTTTATTAGTAATCTTTCTCATCCTAATATGTACATTATTTTATCTAGCCTATACACAGAAAAATATTTCTAGCCAAGGTCCCTAGATGCATCCAAAATGATTTTTCACTTTTCCCTATTAACTACCCGACGTGGTTTTGCACAACAAATCGAGGGTTATTTTCGATTAAAACAGTCTGAACGACCGACGTGACCTCACTAGGTCTCTAGTTGCACCCAAAATGCATGTTTTCAAAAATTAAAAAACAGAATGTCCGGTAAAGTAGACTTGTACCACTGTGGTAATAAGTGATAACAAACTTACGATGATAAGAAAACTATCAATGCTAGCTGTAATAACCGGCTATGAAAATGAGTTCGCATTCCTCTTGTGGAATATATGAACTGCACTCAGAGAGAGAAATTCAAAGTCAACCCGTAGTGAGAGAGAAAAAAATACATCTATCACGGCGGAAACGAAGTATTATTGAGTATTTACTATTTAGTTAGTAGTTGGTAAATTTTCCATGTTGAGTGTATTTTTTGTTTCATGTGAGGTGTAACTATACCTCACATAGAACAGTTATAGTCTGTCTCATACTCTCATGAACATATAATATACCGTCTCTCTCACTACATGTTGTTTTTTTAAAATATACAGGCAGGGATAAGGAACGCGCAGTCCATATATTTATATGTCTATGATATAAACCGTTTTTTTTTTACTATCTGGTACAATTAATATTTAAATTGAATTTAATGCTGTGATATTGACAATTTAATAAAATTACTCAACAAAATGAATACTATACTTATATTAATTATCGGGAAATGAGAAGTATAAGTAATAATTTATATAATTGATCAATATTTAATTGATATTATCATTGTTAATTTTGGACAATGGTGGGGATACACTGATTTCCATCATCAAATATCTATGGCTGGTGTAAAATAATCGGTATCAAGTGTTAGTAAACCGGTACAAAATGTATCGGTACACCATTTTGTACCACGGATATAGATATTAGTATAGTATTTATCACGGTTTAAGATATTTTAAATCGTGGTGTTTAATATGTATTCCATAGATACTACATACCACAGACTAAGATTAAAGATACTACTATGGTTTTAGAAGATTAGGACGAACCTACCCTCCGGCCAATTACAATATTTCCGCTTAATGAGAAAAAACGTTTTCTGTGTTGCCACAAAAGCGTTACCGGTAAGACTTATTTTGAGGTTAGGAACAGCTCGCCAAAGAAAATTATTCAAATTACTGAGATTATATTGTAATATTATTGTTTTATTTATGTTACATCAATTAATGTTAATAATTGATAATTTGAACATAATTTGGTACAAACATAGCAAACTACATAATTTTGTCTACTATTTAGTATACTTGACTATGCTATCTAATGGCAACAATAAACCTATTTTATACACTTGTATTTAATTTTTGATGTGTCTTATTTTAACTAAAGTAGTTTAGATGTATTTTGAAAATGCCTAATACAATTTGTTACTTTAATTATTACTCGGAGAAATTCCATTTTTAATGTCCCTAAAGATAAACATTTAAAGGAGAAATGGCTACAATTTTTAGGCATAGATCATTTTAGTGCTAACGAGGTTATTTGTGAAACATTTTCGGGATGATCTAATAATAAGATATTGTTAATAAATTAAAAAATGTTATTTGTTTAGTAAATATATTCGACATGCAGATGTGGATAGGTCCATATGGAAAAAGGTATCTATAAACCAAATTTAGCTTGTATGTATAAAAATGATTTGATTATTATTATAGCATTTATAGTCAATAATTTTTGACATGGAAATGTTCATCAAAACAACTTATTATCTAAGTATGGCTTGAGATAAAATACCATGATTATGACATTATATGTATGTAAATAATAATTTTAATAATAAAAATTTATTATAAAGAAGAAAATTTACAATTAGTGATAGACAAAGAGTACAGAATACATGAAGTGAGAAAATCTAAATATTTATCACAATTAAATTTATATCAAATTGAATGCATTTGTACATAAGTTTTTAACTAATAATACAATAAACAAAAATTACAAGTTATTACTCAAAACCTTTTTTGACTAGCTTGGTGTATCAAAAAAAAGTCTAAGTTTTTAATGGAATTGCTATTTAATACAATTCTATTCATAGGGCTAGACTGGATCTTACTTAAATAATTATTATAACATTTTTTAACTAGATCTTAATGAAGCAAATGTTTCATGTGTATAATTATTATTTAATTTGTATAGTTTATGGAATTTAAATGGTTGATTTTTTTGGAACAAATAAATGTACATCCAGTCAAATTTATTGACACAAGTATTAATTTGATATAAGTTGAGAGGAAAAGCTATCCAAAATTATAATTGATTTTTGTGAACAGATTCCACCATTGGATAAAATATTGTAAAATATTATAAAGTATTGTTATACAATTTAGTAATTGTAAGACATTGTGATATATAAACTATAATTAGTATAGTTTAATAATCCCCTATGATCCTAATATGTATTTCGATTTGGCATTTATGATCACTAGTACATAAACCTGTTCAATATTATCTTTGATATTAAATAGATAATCTAAGACCATGGATATTAATAATTATTGATGATAAACTGGTATGTACACACCACATGACATCGCCAACTCTACTACATGTACTGATCAATATACTTCTTTTGGTTATGATTATCGAAACATTCAAAACCTAATTTAGTAATCTCAATTTAGAAATATCATCACCAAGTCAAGTTTCAATTAAAACAAAATATTTTGTATCGATTAAAAGAATATTTAAATTGCACAGTTTAGTTAGTAAACCACGGACATTTTGACAATAACCCGAAAGAGTAAATTTCTCAGGAAAATAGGATACATTTCTTTTTACAATATTTATTGTAAGTTGATTTAAGTTTCCTAGAATCTTTATTGACATTGGGCTGTGGTGAATTGTTCAGTTTTTTGTAAATAACTTAGAATAACCTCTGGAGTACCCAATTCGAAAATTAGTTTCTCTAGGCCTTTTTTCTCTGATAGCTTGATCAAAATTAATTTATATTGGTCTGGTTGAAGCTTCGGTTTATCAGTGTCAATGCTTAAATGTTCCAGTGTGTTAGAATTACAGAGTCTAGATTTAGCTTTTAAAATTTGATTAACTCAATTGACATTTACTTAAAGGGGACGAGGTTTGTTTCTATTATTGCCAAGTCGAATTGTATTTAAGGCTTTTATGGTTAGATGTAAAGCAGTAAAGACTGAGTTTTATAGATTTAAATCATCCAGAATGTTGCCAGAGGTGGGTTCAGAGGTATTGAAGAAAATGAGGTTACATTTTTAACGATTAACATCTCTCATATGGAGTATTTCTTTTAAGAAATCATATTTGTAATTCAAAATTTTATCCTCAAAAGCAGACTTAATATCCATGTACTGTAGTTTAAAGTGTTTATTTGAATAATACTGAATTATTTTTGAAATGTATTAGAAAAAGGGTATGGGGGCAAAGTCTCTCATAGGTTAGAGTGAGTTTAATCTTCACAAAAATAAATTTTATATTTAATATATAATTTAATCTAATTTAATATAAAATTTAATCTTATATTAATTTTTCAATTGAAACTCTGATTTATTTTATCTATGAATAAAGAATAAAACAATTTAAACAACTTTTTAAATGTACTAATTATCTTTATTTTATTAAATACAAAGAAAGTTATACATACACATATAATAAGTAATTTTCTATAAAACTACAAATCTCAAATTCTATCTAGTTTAACAAAACTAAGTTGCTATCTAATTAAGCCTGTATTGAAAATTATATATTTACTAACTAAAAAAATTCCACAAGTTTAATTAATGAGTAGTTTGAACAAAGGCTTTGTACTTTATGTCAAAATTAATCAAATGAAAAAGTAAAATCTAAAATTTATCACTAGACTTTCAAATTATATTATTATAACAATTACATTATTTATTAAAAAATGTGTGTATATAAAAAAAAAAATATATTTATTATTTAACATTAAAACAACATAGAAGTAAATAAAATTGACTAGCTAAGGTTCATTTATTATTAAGAAACTAATACTAAAAATTTGTGAATTAAACAAAAAAAATTACAAAGGAGATCAGGAGGAATTAAAAATACATAATATAATAAATATTTAATATTATGAGAAATTTTTGATTAGTAACTAAAAGACCAGGAGCCCATTTGTCCAATACAATGGCCTAAAAAAGAAAAAAAAAATAGTATTATTAGCATTTCAAAACTAAAATTGCATACATATATTCTCATGGTATGTTTTTTTTAAATAAATTTAAAATTAAAGCAATTCTAAAGGCACTATTTTAAATTTAATTCTGGGTATTATGCTAATAAACATTAATGCATAAAAATAAAATTCAGCATAATAATTACATTTATAATTGAAAAGATGTTAATTATTTTAATCCATAACATGGAATTTCATTTCAATAATAACAAATTTAAATTAAGTAAGAAATCAAAAAAAAAAGAAAAGAAAAAATTATACCATTCATCCAAAAGCTAGATTACAATTTATAACTCACAATCTGCTCAAAATATTGATATAAAATGTTAAACAAAGTTCTTTTCTAAATATAGCAGAAAAAAATACAAGTACTGAAATACTAACAAATTGAAGCATTAATGGGAACTAATTTTATTATTTAACATTTTAAGAAATTATCGACAATAAAAATCAATTAACATAATATACTTACAATATTCTACTGCATATAAATTTACTCTAATATTTATTACTAGTACACTTATAAATTATTTAATTAAAATAACTTAATTAAAACTGCTTCTTTTTGAAACACCATCCTACACTAGAGTAATACAAATTAACCACAAGTAATTACTATGATCAGAAACTTACTTAATTTGTTGTTTGACATTATTCCACTTTTAAAATTGGTTACTAGTGTATAACAATCATGCATGAGACTGTGTACAATTTATTGGTACATATTTAGCTATGAATGGCTTATTAAAAAATTATGCTAATATGCATGCTAAAATATGTTTAAAATAATAATAATAATAATTTAATCCCTATAATATCATACCATCCTCATCGAATGTAGCCAATGTTAATTTATGCAGCTTATTACACAATCTAGATTGAGGCTCACACCTATATAAATATGCCAATGGTATTTGAGAACCTAAATATCATGTAATATGTTTAATAATAATAAATTAAATAGGCATCATATTATATATAATTACCATCTCCAATGGAAATATGTTCAAATCCCCCTGTTCTGTCAACATCATCATAATCATTCATAGCCAATTTTTGTCTGAAGTCCTCTACAAAGCATGTAATAAGTGCATCTATCATAACAGCCTAGAAATAAAAAAGTATACAAATTACCTAGATATTTAAAATCCTATAAATATTAGTAGTAAAAACAAATTAACAATATTTATTTTCTGAAATACTCTATGTAATATTTTTAATATTCTAAACAAAATATATTTTTACACACTAGTATTAAAAAAAAAAAGTTAACATGTTTCCTATGAAGGTGAATAGATCACTGTTGTAGGTGAGAAGTTGGGAATGTAGACAGAAAAATTAAGGTATATCTGTAACCCACCAATTAACAACTTTATAAACAATTTATATATATGTCATAATATGGTAAAATAATTACATATGCATTATATATTTTTTATAATAATATTTGTTTATTTTTGTACCATTTTTCCTATTTTCTCATTTGTCAAGAAAATCAAAAAATAACATACCTAAAGTATCAGCCCAGTTAGATTTAATTTCAGGAAAAGTGTTATAATTGAAAATCAGAGTAAAATTTCTGATAGAAAAGTTGTTCAAAATAAATTTTAAAAAATAAACACTATTATAAAACCAATATGAATGTAAGCAAGGAATCTTTTGCTACACTCAGAATCTAAAATACAACCAATTTATTATTTATGTACTTGTTTAAGATTTTAATAAACTAATAAGCAATATGATTTATTGTATATATATATATATATATAGCTTTAATATACTATTTACCCAATCTTATTAAAGAAAACAATTCATAATCTTTAAAAATATTCTTAATATTTTGTTTAGATTTTTTTTTTTTTGTAACAAAATAAAGTAAAATAATAAATAAATTTAGATATACTTTTATGTAAATACTACATAAATTTTCCTAACAACAAAGATCCATAATTACAGTAGAAACTACTAATTAGGAACCGAGGTGAATGTCAATTTTGTTTAGAGATAAAGATTGTTTCTAATATTTTGTTTCAATAACACAATTGTATCAATTATACATGTTCTTAATAAGCAGCTTCTACTATATATTAAATAATGTTTTTATTTTAGATTTGTTTTTTTGAAAGTCATTTTAAAATGTGTATTAACCCTAGATTACACACAAGTTTTAAAAAATAACACAAAGAAAGTAATATATACTTGTTTAGTGAAAACTTGCAAAATTTTTGAAACTCTTGTTCCATTTTCTAATACCAAAAATTGTAAAAATATACACGGTAAACAATTGTCTATGTTTTCTTGAGATGGCTTTGCAAATTCCCAAGAAAAATCTTGATACTTCAGGCCAAGTAATAAACACTAATAAAAAAAAAATTAAATAAAAATAATAATAATACAGTCTTATCATTTAAATATACAGTAAAACTCGCTTAAGATTTTGATGGTTCCTAAACATTACCTATATTAATTAATGTAAAAATCAACTGATAAGACACTAGGTTTTCTATGTATAATAGGATAAGCTGCTCTTTTGTTCAGCAATTTATGATAAATTTATGTAGTAATTGGGAAATAATTTCTTTAGGTGTACTTATTATATTTATTATTTTTATTTTATCGTATTATTAAATAACCAGTTTTTGTGGTTTAGTGTAGTGCAGTTTGTTGGGAATGTGTATCTATTGCTTTGTTATAGATGGTTCGAATGGACTAAAATGTAAAGCACTATTAATTTCAGACAAACTGAACATTTTAAATAAATTTGACTTAAGGTGTGCAGTATTTGAAAACTTCCTTGCTGCAATACACACCCTGAATCTGAAGCATGTAAAAATAAACTTTTTCTTTCCAACCAAAGGTAATTGCCAAAATGTATCTATTTAATATGTATTGATGTATAAATAATAATATGCATTTATATATTATCTGTTTAATTGTATTTAATAATACAAATAAATAAACTTGATATTTTAATGATTTTTTTTTTAATTTCAGAATAACATGCTCTTTTGAGCTTGTCCCTCAAAGAGCATCTTAAGCCAGTTTTACTGTAGTTATTAAAAGGTTATTAGTAAGTATTTCAAGTAATTATGAGAATTACATTTTCAACACAATCTAGTATATAAACCCCTTCTGTGTTGATGGCAACGATGATAGGAACATCTTTATGATTAATTAAAGACATAAGTCCTCGAACAGGTTGTTCAATTTGTCCATGAAAGAAAGCAGAACTATTAAGTATGAAGTAATGAAAAAATATAATTCAATAAAAAAACAATTTATGTGTAGAACATCATGTGAAGTATAGAAGCAAATATTTTATTAAACAATACAATTCTTACCCATAGAATGGCAACATGTAGCAACATTCTAAATATTTATGGTATAGTCTTCGATCAGATCCAGTGATTTGTATATGCTTTATATGGTCAGCAAGTCTAGAATGTGGAGAACTTTTTCTACTAAGATTCAACCAAGATGACCAACTTTTGTACAAATGTGAAGGCAAAAATCTTTCTCTGTTATCTCTAGAATTATTGATAATAAATATGAAAACTTTCTTGTACTTTCTATTACATTGATTCAATTAAATTATTTATTTTACCTAAAAAAATGAGATGTATATTGTGCTAAATTATTTGGCCCCAATTCTATACGGCACTGTAAACTTGCCAACATCAAACAGTGGTTAACTTCAACTGGGTAACGGCCTTGCAAAACATTGTATTTTGCTTCAGCATACAATAATTCAATAATTTTTTGATCCCTGAAAAATATTTAAATATAATGAATATATTTTTATTATATAACTAAAATATTCTAACTTAATTTTTTCTTCTTCTTTTCTTGGAAAAAATACATTTCTTTGGAAACTCAAAATAGGCTCTTTAAATATAACTTTTTTATTTTGAATACAATATTTTTCTTCGAGTGTAGGCCACTTTTGATAAACTGTCAACAATTTGTGATGAGGTTTCAACTGAATTTCTTAAAAAAAATTAAAGAATATTCACTATAGTATTTATCATTTATTAAAATTTAGTGTAGGTATAATCTTATATTAAATACCTAAAACATTAGATCTCAACCAAATTGTGAATATATTTTTAGCAACTCGAGATAGTCCTAAATATTGTTGTTGTATAATTATATCAACCAGGTCTGACACTGTTGTAATATTTGCATCTTCAATATCCATATGTAGAACAATATCAGCCATAGTATAAATATAAACAGCAAGAGCTATATAAGAAAAAAAACAATCTAGTATTATTAAAAAAAAATATACTGACATACTATGCATGTGAGTAGGCCACTGTTGTAGGTGAGAAGTTGGGAAGATAAAGGAAGAATTTTATGTATACCCGTAATAGCTACAATACACCATTGCTAACAAAAAAAACACAGAATTTAAATTTCAAAATTAAACCAATTTATGGTATACATACATTATAAGTTTACTAATACTTAGTTTTGGCTCAGTCAGTTTTAAGAACATATGGAATGAAAAATTAGGATTAATATTTGAAAAGAGCATTTTCCCAAGTCTAAAGCTATCCTATACTCTCTATGTTTATGTAATAATTAATATCACCAACAATAAGCATTTTATGCTGTAAAAAAAAAACTACATAGTATATGATCATTGATAAATTTAAACAACAAATATTGTGACAACTTATATTTTCCACCAGAAATATTGATCCAATAAAAAAACAACAGACCATTGTTGTTGTATTTTTAATCTAATTGGTGAGTAAAAAAGTCAGTTTTTAATTTTCAATATTGGTATTTTAATAATTGAGCATAACTGAAAAATGTAAGAAAAAACAGGAAAATATAGATTTTTCTCTGTGAACAACTTTTCTACTAACAATTTTGCTCTAAATTTATATGATGGCAATGTTTAAAAGGAAATTTCAATAGGGAGGGGTACTTTAAAGAGGTCATTTTTTGATGTTCTCAATAGTTTTCCCAGCAAATATGAAAAATGGTACAACATTAAACATATTTTATTATAATATATAAAAGCCTATTTAATTACTTTACTATAAAATGACATATATATTGTTGACAAAGCATCACTATCAACTGAACTCTGCTCAGAATCATTTTTCCGTAAGCAATGTTTAATTGTTGCCTACAGGTATACATTAAATTCCTGTCTTTATCATACTTTCCCAACTTTCCATCTACACCAGTGGCTGCACCTGTTCCCATTATCTTACCTTCTTTTTATTTATGTAACTCAATATTAAAAACTATACAGGTCATATTTAATTTAATAATTTATGTACTATTAAATCGGAGCTTGTAAAATGATAATATCACTCTAATGTACAACAAAAAAAAACTAACATAATTTGATATTGAATCCATTATCGAAAATAAAAAGTCTAATTAAAAATGACAAAATGTGAATACATTACAAACATTACATTCAAATAATACAAAATTTTTAACAAAGTATTTGGTTTTTTATTTTTAAAACCTTTTAAATAGGTAGGTATAACACTAAAAAACTTGTAATGAACATGAAATTTTAATCACATAAATGATAAAACATTCAACCAATAAATGGTGATAACCAATCCTATTTAACTTATTTGTTACAGTTTTAACTTAATACTTATAGATAATTGATAAACGGCATACAATAAAAATTATTCATAATATAGATTGCTTAATTTTTAAATATCATGCGTTGTAGAGGCTGTTCACATACATTTTGTTTAAAAAAGTGTAAGGTATATGATCATATAGTGCATGTTTGTACTATTCATACAGGGTATACCCTAATTCACCACATGAAAAATGAATATAAATGGTATACCTTTCAAAACTTAACTGATCATATGGCTTTTGAAATTTAAAAAAAGAAGCAGTTATAGCAGGGATACTGGTCATTGGTGGCGACTCTGTCATACTTATAATTATGAATTAGATAGGCTAATATATATAACGGTATAATAACTATGTAATTTGTTGGCATTGTTTCTATATACCATCAAAATGGCATGCCATACAAATAAATAACCAAATTAAAATTACAAACATTTTGGAAGAGATTGTGTAGCTATTGCACTCACTCAACATATTTTAATACAATCGTATTTTATCATACTATATTATACATTAAGTCTATGTATTAATTACTGTTAAACTTACATTGCATATGTTTAAGTTAGTTTCATCTAATAAGTTTAATTGTAAAAAAAAGTTGAATTTAAATTATTATTATGAATGTATTAGTTTCCTTGTTAAATATTGTTAACTCATAGGCCCCCACACGAACCTGTTCAATTGGACCCATTAACTTTTCAAAGAAATAAACAATAATAATAATAATAATAATAACAACGTGACCCTTACTGAATGCATACTAACGTTTTTTTTTTGGTCTGGGAGCTGTCTGGAATGCGAGCGGAGCACTGATTATGGGCCTGGAACAGGACTGTATTTGAATATTTGGAATGATATTATGCTGATGGGCGTGCGCTCTCTTGTGCTCCAGGGACCTTTTTAATTCTTTTCGCCTTGCCGTACTTGATGATTCCGTTCTAACAGCCCTGGTATGCGGCCAATTACGATTTTGTGGAAAGTCACTAAACACATGAACGTAATATGACTACTATTTATTACCAAAACGCTATTAATACAATTATTATATTGGTCATAACAAAACCGTCACATATATGAGGTACCTGTACTCATCGGGAGGCCGTATGAACTGTTGTCTATGGCGCGGATATTCAACAGGAACTATTGTGACATATTTCTCGGGTTCTATCATCCCGTAACAGTCTTTGATGTACGGAATGCGTTTACTCACAACAGATTGTTAACCAAAGCGTCTTGTGCGACGATAGATATTTTAGTAAGTATTAAAGGAAAAGTACCTCCTACAGACCTACATGGCTATATATTAACTATAATATTGTGCCATAAAATACTAAGTAGCAAGTGCATCGATTTTTCGACGCCCAATAGCCACTGATAAGACTGGTATATAGGTTGCACGACGGTCGACGAGTAAATTTCAAAATCAAACTTGCCACTATAATTTCGTGGATTTCTGATAAGAATGGTGGAACAGCTTTTTGGCGATTATTTCTTCTACATAATGCTCGTCTGTGTGGTATACTTTATAGTTAGTACCTATATAGTATATTATATGTTGTAAAATCGGTCAATGTCGTTATATTTATATTTTATATTTTTTGGATATAAAACCGATTGTGTACTGTTAGTTTTAATACTAGAATGTATGAGCCTATTATCAAACTTAAAGGTAAGAACATTGTCTGTTTTTGTACGTAGGTTTTTTCTCGGTGTTTTAACTATTAAGTGAGTTATTTAACATGCGAAATTTTACAATTTAAAAGTCGTTGAATTTGGATTAAAAATTAAAATTTCGAGAAAAAACATACGTACAAACACAAACAATATGCTTACCTACCCTTATGTTAGTTAATAGGCCAATACACTCCGATATTAAAACGAACAGTACAAAATAGGTTAAAGTGTTATTATAACGACTTTAACAATAACATATATTATACAGTTTAGTGATATAGTCGTGTGGCCTGTACCCTTGTAGGTTCACTGTTCAGTCTTCACTGGTGATTAATAAAAAAACGCAGTGTTTTAGAAACGGTTACTTCTCGATTTTATTTAAGATTTAAGGGCAGGTGCTCAATATGAAAATAATTAAATATTAGTACTCATTTACTATCGTCAAACGAGCCAACTTGGGGAAAAAATATTATCTTATAGTTTTACTTCCATAACGGCCTCTTATCAAGTGGGCTATATGTTAATATATACTCACCACAAAATATATTTGTTAAATTCAGAAAATTGTCTAGTATTTTTTAAAAATTTAAAATAATACTCCAAGTTAGTTTAAGTAAATGATAAAATAGGTTTTTCATAAGAAAAACACAAATGTCTCATGTTGTCGATATAAAGTACAACATGAGATAAGCGAACAAATAAAAAAAAACTAGAAGGAATAATTTGTATGGTTCAAATGCAATAGAAATTAATAAATCGAACCTTGACTCAAAAAAAATCTTACCATGAAAATACATTTAGATTAATTAATCTTAAATTTATTTACAAAAGAATTTTAAAACTGCCCCAAGTTGGGTATTTTGACGATATTTATTTAGCAAAAATACCTAGTTGAAAATATTGTGGTTAATACTTCTGCAATATTTACGTTTGTTTCGCCACTGTATAGATAAACATTTATATGTACTTTATAGGCTACTAGCATTATAATAACGAAACTCGAATACTCACTCATCTTATAATTGTCTATAATTTCTCATTATTTAGAACTTGCAATGACAATATATTGTGTACAAATTAAATATAACAATTTTTTGGTGGAATTTTTGAGTTGTTAGGTCTATTTTATAAAATAAATGGGATGCTGATGTAACATTATGTTCGCACCACCATAGTAGAAATCAATTTTGACAGAATCTAAAAGTTGAATTTGTTTAATGAAATTCTATGTTAAGGGTTCTATTACAGATCTTAATTCTTAATTCATAACTAAACAAAAACTATAAAAATCCTGTTAGACAGAATCTGTTAAATCATTTTACCTATCATAAGCCTAAAATGCACATTGAATAAATATCATCCATTGCTGACTTCTTATTCATAATTCTATCGTATCTATGAAAGTTATTTAATAAAAAACACTATATTTCGGTAGACACCTATACTATAAAGAATACTTATCGGTATAAAATAACATTTTAAAATTTTTATATACCTACCTATTTCTATAGTTCATACTCACATGTTAGAACTAAAGAAAATAATATTTTTTTTTTATTTTGGTTTTCCATATAAATAACTGATTCATTTACATTGCAATATTTTATGAAAATATGTGTTAGGTAATGCATTAACTTTATTTAAATTGTAGAAAACTTTATACAAATTATGTATTACTTATTAAAAAAGTTCACTGTATTTTTCACAAATACATTATTACACCTATAATACTTGCTTAAATATTTTTTATTTTATAGTTTGCTAACAAACCAATGTTAGTTTTCATAAATTCTTGTTTGATTACTTGTAAGTATACATTCAAATCTTTATTATGCAATTACAGTTTTTATGGTTCCTCTCATTTAAATGGTTAATAGCCAGAAAACTGCACTCTCCATGCACCCCAATTTTGTCAGTTCTTTCACTCAAAACACTTGAACAATGTTGTTTGCAATTAGATTTATACTTTGCATATAAACTGTTTGTAGAAAAAGTTAACTGTCCTTAGTTCCTAAGTCGTTTCTCCTTCCATACTCCTACTCGTCTATAAATATATTTTATCTTAACACTGATAAATCCAACAATGCTAGCAATACTTCCCCTCAATATAATTATGAAATCTATAAATAAATTAACAATAAATCTATTCATATCACCAACTTTTAACTCATTCAAAATATTTTATAATTGCATACTAGTTAATTCTTAGCTATAAGTTTATAGTTAATTATGAATTGTATTGTATTTTATTATAAACGACTATTATTATGATAAATAATCTATGTAATTGGGTCTGACCCATTTAAAATTTAAATAAATAAATATTAGCTGATTATAAAATATTTTTATTTGGATAAAACTTAATTCATTAGAACATTAATAAAAGAAAATGAGGTGATAAAATTTAGTGATATACATTTAGAACAAGGGTCACCAATTAATATTTAACATATACTCACAAAGGTTATTAAAAAATCATTGATATACTACATATACTCATCAACAATTTAAAAAAATATATATACTTTAAATATCTAATTGTAGTTTTAAATTATAACTGCGAAAATCCATGCAAATACTTGAATAAAACTTAGTTATACAAATTAACAAAATTATTTAAGGAATATATTATGGACACTTTTTTCTAAAAAAATATAGGTAGATTTTACAGTTTATTGCTTAAAGATAACCAAAATATTAATGTCTCAGAAAATAAGCTTTCAGTTTTCCAATAAATTAGACTTTCAGATAAATATAATATTATTTTCCAAGTAATTATCTCCCACCACCAGTTATCAACATTTGGTAAGTGGAATAAATATGATGGTTGAAAAAAAGATTTGCTCAGAATCTAAAATTATTCAGTATGTAATTAAATTACTAGTTAATAAAATAATAAAGTAAAAACAAAATTATTAAAATCGTAAATACAAGTAAATATAGTAAATAAATTACTAGTGTTCTATATATTTGGGTCTCATCAGCTACATATGAGTAGGAATACAATTTTAACATTTAAGATTATTTATTACTTTTTTTTTGTTGATACTGATAATGCCATACAAAATATATAATATATTTAAGACGTAGTATAAATATGAATAATATAGTAGAACATCTATGAAAAAAGTGTCACATTTTTTAAAATTGAAATCAATTTTTTTTATTCTTTTATGAATTTGTATAACATATTGTAATAAATAAATGTGATATGAATATGCAGTTCACAAAAAACATTATTCATTAGAGTAAATTATATACCTACATAGTTTATAACCTATAAATAAAATATTAACAAAATAATATTAATTTTTATTTTCCCAAAGTATGAATATAAATTATATTATAAATATTTACTTTTATGTAAATAAACTATTATTATTTATTTTTCCATAATAAATAAATAAATTTAATTTAAATTTGTTAATTCTATTATTATTAACTATAAATTTTTGTTGGTTAGTTCTAATTATGAACTATCATCATTGCGGAATCTAATATAATATTATTACAAAGTGTTCAATAAATTTGTTATTACATGAACTTTATGTATACTAAATCTATTCTATGTCTATAATGTACAATTTCGATTTAATTCATAATCTAGTCATCTAGTTAAATTTTGAATTAAGAATATAAATATTTATTTTTAAGTAAATAAAATATTATTACTTATTTTTTTTATAAAACATAAATAAATAAAATTTAAGTTTGTTGACTCTATTATTATCAGCAACTATAAACTTGTATTGGTTAGATCTAATTATGAATTATAGTTAACATTATTGTGGAATCTAGTATAATATTGTTACATAATGTGCAATTTATTTGTCACATGAACTATATGTATATTTAATCTATTCTATGTTTATACTATAAAATTTTAATATAATTTAAAATCTGATAAACTAGTTCATATGACATACATTTTTGATTACATAACTTATTTTGTTAATAAATTATGTAATCAAATTACTTTTTCTGACTTAACTTATTTTAATTTAAAATTCTAATATAAATGGCCACAATTTAATCATGTTTATAGATGAAGAAAATATATATTCAAAAATAAAATAAATTATTCATTATAACAAACTAAACATATAAATGCCAAGCTAAATTTCTTTGGACCCAGAAAAGCAGTTCTTAAGTAAATTGTTTGTTTTTGTTTTTATATTTAAGTTTTAATATAATTTTTAAATTTGAATTTCACAAATGTATGTATCTTCAAAACTAGTGTATGTAGTGTAATAGTTATATAGTTATATAGTTATACATGTACAAGTATATATATTTTCAACATTTGATTTTCTTGTACTGAAAATTATATAAAATGTATTAAGTATATCTTCCCTGGGACCAAAGATTTATTGACAAAAAAGTCTTATAATAATAATAGTGTGTTTAAAAAAATATCTTATTTTGTTAAAATATATAAATGAATAAACGTGTTTTTTTTATATAACTGCAATATAACTGCTAGATCAGAAATTAATGTAGTGAATAAATAATCCAAAAACTTTGTTTATCAGTTCCATTAATTTTAGAGGGTATTATTACAGAATATTGTGCAATTGAATTAAAGCCATCAATAAACATAGGTAGTCTTTCAATACGGATTCTTATGGTTAACATATCAAATAGATTTAACTGCTTTTGGAGTAAAGTGGTAGCTGATGCAACACTACTTATCGTACCGGTGATTTGTTTAGATATATCTTCAAACTGACCACTGAAAATAAAGATACATAAAAGTATAATAGATATTTTTAAAATTGATTTTGAGTTAGTAAAACTACATTTTTACAAACAAGTCAAATTATTTACTACTTTTTAACTTGATGAATTCTTATTTTTTTTTAATTGCAACCAATAACATTGACAACAATTTCTGACACGGAAAATATAAATATATAAATATCAAATATTTATCTCTGCATTACTCTATATATTTTAAATGCTAAAAAACACTATAAATAATAAAATATCTCCTAAAAAAAATAATAAATAATAAAATAGAAACAAGAATAATAATAAAAGATAATTAGTTTAATATGTATACATCAAAATTTTCTAAAAAATGTTTTGTACGAAAAAAATGTAAAACCATAAGTTGCAATTAGAAGACTAATTAAAAACTAAAAATCATTAAGAAAAACAACAGTAAAATGGTCGATTTGTAAAAATGTAATATTATGATTACTTCAAATTTGGTTAGGAAAAATGTTGACTGACAATGTCTGGTTCATGGTAAAAATATCACCCTGTATATAAGTAAATATTTTATTCAAATAATTAATTCACAAAAATATTTTATTGATGAAATATAAATACCATTTTAAACCAGTTCTTGGCACAGCAAAATTCATCATATTAGAAATTACTGTTTGACTTAATAGTGCTTGTTTTTCTTGCTGGAGTTCATTGCGTCTGTCATGCAATTCTGTTAAACGACCATTGATTTGTGCCAAGGATAACTTATTTTCTTGTATTTGTTGATTTTCCAAAATTTTTTTCTTTCTTAAAATTTCAGCATTCTTTTCAGCCTGAATTTCCGCTGTAGAAAAATAATGTTTGTAAAAATTAATTCTACCTAAATAATTATTTTATTTATAAATATAATTAAATTATGACAAGCAATACAAAATGTTAAATGTACCTTGTTTATTCTTCTTTCGGCGAGATATAATATGGTTCCGTAATGATTTCCATATTTTTTTGTTCTGAATTTTATTGTTTATTTTACTGTGTTTATTTGATATATTACCAACACGTTCTCCAATGTAAACAATTGTGTCAGTAAATGTCATGTTGAACAGTACTTGAAATACAATGAAAACAATATATTTTATACGTTTAAGAAATAAGATTATCTATAGGTAATATTAAACTAATTATGAATTATTAGTATTTCAATAATTTTTTTTTTAAGAAAATCAGAACCAGTGGACAATTTTATAATACATTTCGTTCTGTTTGATTAGACTCTGTAATCGTGTATCCACTACAATAACTGAAACAGCGAACTGCGAATTTTCAATAGCAAAGAAAATAATGATTAAATAAAAGAACTTTATAGCATTTTATCCAAACGAAAATATAGGTAGGTAGTTTTATATTTGTATTGTTGAATGTATATAAGTGGAAGTTACGAACGAAAATTAGAGTATGGTAGCTATGCTAGAAACGCGTTATCAATCAATATTAATATATTGATAAACAAAGACATAAAACAAAATGTCCATTCTGTTCTGAGGTTTCACTGTTCTTGTATATATTATTGTGGTTTTTTTTAAGGTGTAACTTGCCAACGTGTTTTGTATTTCTAGTTATAACTTACTACATTACATTTCAAGATTGATTATTTGAGTTGAGTTCAACTTCAAATAATTTATACGATACGACAGATAAGTAAGAAATAAAATCTTATTATGTTCATAGGTATTAAAATTTAGGTACTTTTCTGGTATCAACGCTCGTCACCAAATTTCGGTAAAATCCTTATTAATATATTTCTATGTTTCGATAACTAATATAATACAATTTTATGTACCTAATTTTATCTCATCTGTATTATGTATATGTATGTACGATTGGTACGATTAAGTATATCGTTAAATAACATTGGATAGATTATTCGATAACAATAGGCGTTTAAGAGATATACTATACTTTATAACTATGGGTATACTTATGGTTTTACTGTTTCAAAGAACAGCAACAAATAATATAACAATTTATAGAGCGAGATGGTCATTTTTCATTTTCAATTGTTACTGACGGACACTATTTGTAATTGCACTAAAAACCTCGATTACATTAGGAGAGTTACCCACTAGTCGATACCAAGTTTATTTCTTGCTTCTAAATTTGTACAGTGCAATGGCTTTTACTTTCAGTGTATAGAATACTCTGTCCATCCGCGACCTAGGCGATCGGCCTACTTTTGTTGTAGCTGCTCACTAACTAATTTAGTAAAATTACTTTATGTAACCAACATGGTTAGTAAAATTGCTTGTATTAATGTGTGTCTGTGATTAAGTTATCAAGCAATTTACTAGTTCAAGCGTAATTGGATAGGCAGTGAGTAAAAATCTAATGTAAGCTTCGATCCTCACACGCAACATTCACTCGTTTTTACATTTAGCATAAATACAATTACCTAACAACTATACTGACCTATATTATACTAGCCAAAGGTGTCATTTAAATTTTTTTGTAATACATTAGTATATGCAGATCACATTTCTGTTGTAGTTTTCAACACAACAGAAATAAAATGATCCCCATATTTTCCAACAAATATATTAAACCATCTGATAAAATTTAAATAATTATTTTATAAAGTTTTATTAAAAAATCATCACAATTTTAATTAACTTGATAATTGTGAAAAATAAATATAAAATATATAGACCAGTAAGGTGGAAGTTACTATAGCTATTATTCAGTTTATAATGAGCCAAATTACAATAATATTGGATTTTGAATACACAAATGTATTCCTTATGTGTTCCAAATGACACAATTAATACTGGCACTTAAATTCTAGACTATTAAACTTTAGTGTAGTAGAAAAAAAAGGAAACAAAAAAACAATTTTAAATATCAATGGTCAATTTTTTTCTTTATATGTTTATTCAATAACTCATTTAATATTTTATTAAAAGAAGAGTGGTAACTTTTTCCTCCAATTTGGCATTATTCCTAGTATCCGGTACTGTAAACAAATACTTTCAATTTATATTTAAAAATTTAATTAAAAATATATTCTAATAATTTTTCAAACATTCAAATATAAACTTAAGAAATTAATAGATGTATAATTTTTTTTTATTTATATTATATAAAATTTTATTTACAATCTGTAATTTAACATAATGGGACAATTTGCCTAATTTTTAATAGAATGTTACTGGTTTCAACAAGGATTTTAAGCACATTGTTTTGATATTTATTTAATCCCACCTAAGATTATAAGTAATACCAATTATCTATTTTAAGTCCAATATCTTCAAGAATTTAAATCTTAAAAAACCAATAGTTTATTTTAGTTCTTTATATTTTATTTCTAGTTTTTGATGTAATTAATGACAGTAAACAAATTGTTTAAAATTGTAATCTTAAATAAAATAAAAGTGTAATTAACATGTGTATGAAAATTAAATTTAATACTTTGTATTTATATTTCGTTTTCATTTCAGTATTTCACTAGATATCTTGTGTTTAAAATTGAGTCTGCCTGTCATACAAATCTACAGTATTATTCTGATCCTGATGAAACTTTGCACACTTCAAAACATGAAAGAGGTGGCTGTCTACTCCTTGTCTTGAACTTAAACTCATAAAGGGTGTCCCAAACATGATTTTTGATATTTTATTATGAACAATTTAATGTTTTTGGCTAATCTCTGGGTTAAGTATCTAAGTATTCTAAGTTTAAAGCTTATTCAAAATTTGTAAATTTTAATGTGTAAGTAAGAAGAATCTGGAAGTTTTATTTTTTCAAATTTGACCATTATACTGAACACAAATAAGTCAAAGATAAATATAAACTTATTTTGATAATCCAAATTCTTTGTGTTTTAAATAATGTTTTTAAAATCTTTTGTATTTTTGTTTATTATCTTACATAATTTGTTTAGGGTCATTTTATGATTTAAATTAGATGATAAATCACTTTCAAAATAAGTACCTATGTCTTTAATAGAATTTACTTTGTTCTGGAATAGTCATTAGTTTAATAAAAAATTATATCCATAATTAGTACAATAATATTAATTTTTTTTTTTCAACATATTTAGTTATACTTAATACTTAATTTGATAATTGAATATGGCACACTTTCTCAAAAAATTAAATATCCCGATTTTAATCTGAAATAAATGGCAGCTCTAATTTAATAAATGTAGTCCAATTTTCTATAGGTATCTACTAACATTTGTATTTAAATCCCTATTGAATTTTATATTTATAAAACAGTAAAATACATTACATATAATTTTATTATTTATAGATATAATCTTGTATCAAATAACTATTCCCTCAATAGAGTTAATTTTATTTTTAAATGTGGGTTCCTACTTATTTTGAAAATGATTTATCATTTAAATTAAAGTTTACAATGATTTTAAACAAATCTTAATATACTAAGTTTTATAAATAAAAATACAAAAGATCTCAGAAATCTTATTTAAATCTTATCTTACTAAAACTATATATGTCATTATTAAGATCTAACATTTAAATTTCTATACGATTCCTATACTATATGATTCCGATTATACTATCCAATTCTATATGATGCACTTACCCTCACCCCTAAAGATCTATGTTCTATACCCCTTTGCATAATCAACAGTTTATTATGAAAATGTATGACAATTTTAACTCAAGTACCCTGGTCTTCACAGATGGACCTGTAACATAATCTGGAGCTGCATATGCTAATTTTTTCCTTGAACTACATATACAGTCAATCTCCTTCATGGCTGAATGCCGGGTGATTTTAGAAGTTCTTATATGCATTAGTTCTTTACCCTTTGATAATTATCTTAATGTTTTTAATTCTCAAGCTAGTATTTTAGCCATCATCAGTACTCCGTTTTTTTTTTAAGTTCTCCCTCATGATCTTAAAAATACACAAATTTCTACTATCCCTAAAAATCAGATCAATCTCTTAACTTTTGGTTTCCGGGCATATAGACATAAAAGTCTATTAACACCATAGACTTATACTACATAAACCGTGCATTACAATTGTTTTGTGTGTATAACACGTTGAAGCCAACATTTGTGCGAGAGAGACAGACTCTGGCATTACTTTTTCAAGGAGTTCATAAAAAATGTACAATAATTTTTGATATTATATTACAAAACAACGATAACGAAATTGATAATATAATTACAAAATGATTAAAATTTTGGATTTTATTATGTCTTGATTATAGTGTTATCAGTAATCAATTAAATATTACCAGGGAGTATTATAAAATTGATTATAACCTCCTTGAAAAAGTAACGCCAGAGTCTGTTTCTGTCACACAGATGTTGGCTTCAGTTTTCATTAATGCGTGGTCTATATATTATAAGTCTATGATTCACATATCAATTCTGTGTCTTCATGTAGTTTATTAAAAAAACATAATAAATACATGCAAGTACAATAACTTTGATATATAAATTTAATTATGTTATATATTGGATAATTATATTTTGATTAAAAAAAAAAACATTTAACTCTAAGGTTGTATGGTTCATTGTTGTAGATGAGATATTGGGAAAATAAAGCTATTCAATTTGTATCCCTAGGCAATAAATCATTAATAACAAAATATATTCTGAGAGAATTTTGATTAAACATGTATACGATTTTCATCATTTGAACTTCTTTTCTGAACATTAAATATAAGAAAATAAGAACACTTATTAACTTAGTATTAAGTTTTCAAGCATTTCTGTTTTACCAAACAAATGTTATCTAGGTAAATCAAATGAAATCTAAAAGAACTTAAATTAATATATACAATTTTCAATCAGAATATTTCATTATTATAATTATAACTAGAAAAGCCTTATATAAGAATTCTGAGAAAATTTCAAGTCTGTATAATTATTTTTACCTGAATTACAACAAAAACAAAATAAAAGATAACTCAACTATAAACAATGACATAAACTTTCCTGTCTTTCCTAAGATTTTTTACTATTTTTTCAAATTATTAAGAAACAGCTTTCTTACTTATCAACTAGATCCAAATGCAACAAAAAAGGTATATTTTTGTTTTTTTGATTGAAGTAAGATTCCTGGTAGAAACTTGAATTGTATACATTTTAAATAACAATATCAGTTAGAATTGGTAGATACATATTCAAAAAGTATTCCTATTATTATTTAAATACTTATATTTATTCGAATACTCTACAACACTTCTTATAATGGTAAATATTTATGTATATATATATATATATATATATATATATATATATATATATATATATATGTATTAAATTATTAGTACTATTCAATTTTAAATTTGATTTTTGTTTGAGTTTAGGTAACAGAAAAGTACCAATAATTATTATTATTTTTATATGATCATTATTTGTAATTTCAATTTAGGTTTGTGTTTATATGCTGTAATTGTGCATTAGTGTGAATGATTGGATTATCAAGAAATTTGAAAGCTAAACAAATCACTGTGAAAATTGAAAACATGAAACGTAGAAATTACGGTGATTCTCCTCCTTTGTCACGTAAAAAACGTCATAGCAGTATTAACAGGTATGATATTAGTTCAGATGAAAGAGGTTCACCTGAGCGTGACCGTGAACGTGAACGAGCACGTCGTAGAGCTAGATCACCACCAAGTCCCAGGACATCAAGATATTCAGAACGCGATGAATTTGGCCGTTCCAGAGGTACAGATCGATCTCATCCAACATATAAAGTGTTGAGTGTGAGTGCTTTACATACTAAAGCTAGTGATGAACACATTAAAGATACATTGTATCGCGAGTATCGAAAATTTGGAGAATTTTCTGTTAGAATTTCTCATGAACTTGATGAAAGGATTGCATATGTGTGTTTTAGGAATTCTGAAGACGCTAGAGATGCTAAGCACAGTAAGCCTAGAATAAGTTTATTTGATAAAATAGCTTTAGTTGCACCTGTGTATGAAAGTCGTAGTTCTAGACATCATTATGAAGTAAGATCTAGACGTTCTCGCTCTCAAAGTTTTTCTCCAGAATACGAGCGGTATTATCATAGATCTCCTATACCTCCAGAAATACATCATAGACCCTATCCATCTGAAAGATTTTTCGAAAGGTTACCATATGGACTTCTTCCCCCTTTGCTGCCTCCACGAGATTTTAGAGAAATAGGTTTACCACAATTACATCCTCATGAGCTTATGATTCCTAGAGGACCAATATTACACCATGTGACTCCGCTTCATCCTCATTTAACACCATTACATCCGCTGTATGGACCTCCAAGACATTTTTTGCCGCCATTTAGGCCTCTTCCATCTCATCATCATAGTATTGATCGTCTTGATCGTATTGATCGTCTTGAACGTATTGAACGTATTGAACGCATTGATCGTATTGACCGTATTGATCGTAATGAACGTAATGAACGTATTGACCGTATTGATCGTAATGATCGAAATGTACATGATAAAAAAGATAAATTTCCAAATTATTTGCACCACATTCCACCAGAAGAAGATCCATTAGCTACACGTACATTATTTGCTGGGAATTTGGAAATTTCTATTTCTGATGAAGAACTCCACCGAATATTTGGTAGATATGGGATTGTTGAAGATATTGATGTGAAACGTCCATTACCAGGAACAGGTAATGCATATGCATTTGTACGTTATAAAAATTTAGATATGGCTCATCGTGCCAAAATTGAATTGTCAGGTCAATATTTGGGCAAATTCCAGTGTAAAATTGGTTATGGAAAATCTACACCTACCCAAAGAATATGGATTGGTGGCCTTGGCCCTTGGATATCACTTGCTCAGCTTGAACGAGAATTTGACAGATTTGGTGTTATTAAGAAAATTGAATATTTGAAAGGTGATCTGTGTGCATACATACAGTTTGAAAGTATTGATGCCGCTACAGCAGCCGTTAAAGAAATGAGAGGAGTATGTTTGGGTGGTTCAGAACATAAATTAAGAACCGATTTTGCGGATGGAGGCATGTGTAGCAGTCCTACATTAACATATTCATCAAAATCAAAATCTTCTCATGAGGATACCCCAGTAAATATTACAGACTTCCAGGAATTACCCAGACGAGAAGAATATCCATATGGTTGGTTAGAAGGAGAATTTCCTTCTTTTAGTTCTAGAAATTATAAAGTTCGACCAGAATACGTGGAAGAAAACAGAGATGTTTGTAACTATGATAATGGCCATTCATTTAAACCACATTCTGTTTCTGATATTGGTTCCCCTAGATCACCTGGTCGATCACCTGTACCTAGATCACCTGGTCGATCACCTGTACCTAGATCACCACTCCATCAAACAATTGATAGTGACATTGAATTGGAGGTTTTACAGCCTGTCACACCTTTGAGTTCTGTTTATACTCTAAGTGAATTGGCTTATAAGTGTAACGATACATGGCAAGGAAGCCTTATATTAAAAAGTTCTCAGTTTCCAGCTAAATGTCATTTAACATCTGGCGATCCAAGTCTTATAGAAGCAATGATGAAAGATTCATCTTCAGATGGTAAATTTACTCTACGTATAACACAACGATTACGTTTAGATGAACCGAAGTTAAAAGATGTTTCTCATCGTATAATGACAGCTGATATGCATGCTATATTTGTAGCAATGCCCCTAGCTGTAAATGAAAATCCTGACAATGAAGAGGAAGATGCTCTAATCCAAATAAGACCACTTCGTAATTTGGTATCTTACTTAAAACAAAAAGAAGCTGCTGGTGTTATATCATTGTTAGGTAAAGATTCTGAAACAATTGGTGTACTATACGCATTTCCTCCTTGTGCATTTTCGGCTAGTTTACTGAGACAGAGCGCTAACAATTTGAGTGATGAAACTCTAAAAGATGATCATTTGGTCATTGTTATCGTAAATGGAGGTATGATATAATTATATTTTTAAATGCATTATACTTAACAATATATTAGTATACTAGGTTATTTTTCATTTCTTTTTGAAATTCATAACAAAGTATATTAAGTTAATTTTATTATTTATTTAAATATTTAAAAATAAGATTATTTAGATAATATTATAGAATCTATTTTAGGTTATATACACATATATCATAAGATTTAATTTATTACATTTTTTGCTTATTTTTTTTTTTTAATTTGAAATTAAATTAATTCATAGCAAAACAATGTGTACTTACACATATTTATTATGTGCTTAATTTGTTTAAATTCTACTATTAATTTTGTTTATAATTAAAATTTGCGTACTTAGTTGAATTATTTGTATAATGTGTGGAGTGCATAATATAGTCTATATCTTGGTCTATATAGATAGTGTTGAAATTAGTTAATACAAAATTATTAGTTAATCCATAATAAATCAATATTGTATTGAAGTGGCTAACTATTTTGTAAAACTAATTTAATTTAATTAATACATTGTTCTATGGATAAGTGTTAATTTACATCATCTTTTGTTTTGTAAAACCATATTTGCCTAAAACATAGTGTGTAAATTGTCAAGACATCCAAAACCAGTTAATGTAATTGGGTTTGTGAAATTTTTAAGTGTAACTATAATTATTTAAGTTACTTTTTTTTTTTTTTTTTTTTTTTTTTTTACTATTATCGGATTTTGTGTTGATCATTATTTAACATAGTTTTGTAGTAAAGTGTAAATCGCGATTTTTTTTTTTTTTTAAATAAAATATTATTTCATTACATATAAATTATGTACGAACATAGTAATATTAATTTTACTAAGTTCAATTAGTTAAATAATTATATTAAAATTAAATATTGGTGTATTTGATTGTTGTATTTATGGCATTTCAACATTGATTACATGTTGTTTGTGACAGATATTCAGTTATAGTGTTGTGTAAGTGATAACTGATATCCAAGCTTATTTTATTTTATTTGAGATAAAAAATTTTATTTAATGTGTTTTTTTTTTTTTTTTTTTTTGTCAGTTTTTTCAAATAGTGATAATTTATAAATTGATGAATTAATAAAATAATTATTACAGCATAAGTGACTTGAGAAATCAATGCTTTTTTATTATAATTTATAAATACATTTTTCTACAGTTTAAATTTGTACTTGATGCCTGATATACTTTTAATATGATATCTCTAAGATTAATAATCTTCATTGAATTTCCTCAATGCGAAAGTACTAAAAATTTATATTTGTTTTCAGAATATATTGTATACTATATTATTAATTTGTTTTTTGAAGAAAAAATAATAGCAATAACTAAGAACCATATTTAAGTACACATTTTTTGGAAGGGGGTCCAAGGCATTTTTTCAAAATACAAAATTTGTTTCATATTATATAATATGTAATGTTAAATTTTTATTTTATAATGAAAAATGTTATTATTATATTAATTTTTATTTTTGGTTCAGATAGATTGAGATGGGAGCCTATAAAGCTGACAATAAATTGAAAAACAATTCTTTTTGCGGAACAGTATTTGAGCCAAAAGTATTTTATCCAAAATGTATTTCTTTAAAAATATTTTAACCAATGTAAAAAATAAAAATGTGTGATGGTAGCTAGTTACCATAATAGATAATCTGTAGTTAACACTATAGATAATATACCATGGTAAAGCTGTGGCTGTCAAATTTTATTTGCTTCTTCTTCTAATTTTTTGTTCATAAGTTACATCAGTTTTATAATTCAAAATTTTCTTATTAAATATTAAAATACATCAGCAGTTTTCCAAAAATATTAAGAAATCATAAAAAAACATAAGAAATTTGCATCTTGGTAACCAGTAGTTTCAGCTAAAATAGGTTAGTTGTAATATTTTCTACTGAAATACTGCATGTGGAATTATTTTTCTGTTTAGATATTTTTGAATGAAATAATTGTTGGTTTAAATACTGTCAACTAGAATGTAGTTTGGCTTTTTATTTTAACTCCCTCCTCTCATTGAGATGTATTATAAAAAAAAGTTCCTGTAAATTTAATTGTTCACTTATTGAAATTTATATTTTATTTGTATGTTATTTGTATGGGTATTATTTATTTCCTATTAATTTTTTGTTCTTTTTTAATACAGATTTTAAATAGCATTTAAGTCATTGAAATTTGGGTTCAGGTAGGTATATTATTAATAATTATTGTACAATTAATTAATTCATACATTCATTTTGAGTTTCTGAGTGTAGCAAAGAATGTATTGGTTTTACAATTGTGTTTGTTTTTAATTTTATCTGAACAATTTTTCTACTGTTGATTTTGCTCCAATTTACAATTCTAGCACTTTTTCTAAAAGGAAATCTAACTGGGGTAGTACTTTAAGTTAATTTTTTGATTTTTTCAGGAATTTTTCCAATAAATAGGAAAAACACAGGAAAATAGGTACGATATTAAACAAATATTATTAAAGAAAATGTATAATGTATATGCAATTATTTTACCATAATATGATATATATATATATATATATATTGTTAACAAAACATCACCATCAACCGAACTCCACCTAGAATCGTTTTTTGTTAGCAATGAGATTAACCTTTGCCTACAGAATATATACACCAAATTTAATCTTTACCTTCCCAACTTCTCACCTACTAAAGTGGTTCAGTATTTCAGAATTTTGATTTATATATTTATTAATTTTGTATTAGTTGTAATTCTTTAGAGATAAAATGGTTGTTCGTTATTACAATCAGGTGAGCTTGTTAATTTAATCAAGAAGGCTCAAACTCCAGTCTTATATTTGTCTAATATCAATATAAGTATTTAAGTGAAATGTAGAAGATTTAACAAATTTAAATATTGGTATGTACTGTATACAATTTTAAACTACCAGATAATATATAAATCTTTTATATTAGATTACCAAATAGGTAGAATAATAAAATTTAGTATACAAATTCGCTTTAAAGCATTAAACATATTTTAGTTAGGTTCATAAAATTAAATAAATAGATGACCCAGTACATTTCAAATGAATGGGTTACTAAAAATTATATAAATACAGATTTAGTAAGTTTTTTTTTTTCTATGCGTGACTTTTCTACCGGAAGACTTATTGGGATCTCTACGTGTATCACTTTTTCTAAAAGAAAATCGGTAAAGGGAGGTACTTTAAGGAGGCCATTATTCGATTTTCTCAAGAGTTTTCTCATCAAATTTGAAAAACTGAAAAAAAAAATGGAAAATATAAGAAATGTAAGTATTAGTTAAAATATATTACGGTTTTCATTTTTTCTGTGTACAACATCTACTTGAACTTTTACTCCAACTTTTAAACTCTTTTAGCAATGTTTCTAAAGGGAAGTACTCTAAATAGGTCATTTTTAGATTTTCCCAAAAGTTTTCCCAGTAAAAGTGAAAAACTGGGAAAATCGGTACAACATTAAACAAATACTATTAAAGAAAATATATAAAGCCTATTTAATTATTTTTTACTATAAAATGACGTATGTATTGTTGACAAAAGCATCACTATATTCAAAACTCCACTCAATCGTTTTTTTGTAAACTATGGTTTATTGTTGCTTACAGGTATACATTAAATTATCTATAACAGTGGCTGCATCCGTTTCCATTATCCTAAGACGTTTTTTTAATTATACTATTCTATATTTACTATCTACGTATTATCCAGATTTCTTTTTAATTAGCCTAGGTACCTAACCTACCCATGCAGTATGCATTTAAAATTTTTAAATAAATTATTTGTTTAAAATATATGCCCATATTCTTACGGGAGAAATTTGAATGATTTTAATGAAAATTGAAAACATTACAGCAAATTAGATTATAGGCATTAAGCTTTTAGAACTTTGAGTTTTAATTAATACCTATCTATTTTGAAATTAATGGTTAACTCGTATATTAGGTTTGAAGGTTATAGGTAACTGTTAACAGAATTAATTTCACAGTTGTACAGCGTCATCGTCTAATCCGTGATTATACATGATTTCTTATCAACATAGAAAATTGGTTATTGATCCCTTATTTTTCGTCAGATAACTTTATATCCATATAACTTTTTATTATTATTATTTTTTACCTTCTATAGCTCTGTATGAAATCGTTGTCCATTCATTTTTTTATTCATTTCAACATAACAAGTAAAGATAGCCGATGGACACGTTCAATATTTTGTGTATAGACTTAAAAATGCAGTACTGAACGAAATCACAATTGTCTTCTCTGAAGTGAGTACCTACCTAGTGCTTACTTAATTTGCATCATTGATTTAATCATAATTGATGAGCATGCAATTACAAAGGATATTTTCCTTTGTTAACAGCTCACACCATTCCTTATGATTACGTTATTATGGCCGATTGCGTCGATGGAAACTCCAAAAATGACAAGAATGAACTACATTCTGATTGGATTCAGTGCATTTGCGTTGTCACTTTTGACTTAGAATTCGGACAAGCGATGGAGGTATGTGAGACCATTAGTTAATTTTGTTCAAATAGTTAAATAGGTACAAGATTAATTATTTGTATTGTGGTGTTCCTATTGGTTTGTTCTAGTTGATCTATCCTAATAATGTCAAATTATCCGAAGAAGATAAAACAAACCTTTGTTACCTGGCATTTCCTGACTCTAACTCCGGTTGCATGGGGGATACTCAATTTCATATCAAAATCAAGTGCTCTCAACCCTTGAATCTCAATCAACGCCATATCACCTACAATGCCAAATGCCCAGTGTTTCTACAAGCTGATCATCGTTGCTTGTATGGATTTGTGTTTTTTCGGCAAATCAAAGATCTGTCTCTTCCACGAGGATATTTTCAAAAAGTATGTTTTTACTAAAAATACAAATAAGTATGCTGTATACTAGATGATTCATTTAAATAGGTACATTCATTATCTCGGAAAGTATTAAATTTTTCCGAAATTTGTTCTCTAGAATATTTAAGAAATAAGTAACTCCACAATTTTATATATATGTTATTTTTAGGGATGAAATTACTATCTACTATTGATTTTCAAACGTTAACCTATATTAAAAATTCCATATGTATTAGTGGTGTATTATTAACATGCCATGCGCCATATCACCACACAAATGATACTCCCCTACTCTCCTCCAATCCAATCTTAATAGGGGAATATCTCGTTAACGGATCGACAGAAATCAAAAAAGTTCAACACTCAAATTTATTTTAACTAATATTTCATCTATTTATGGAATTTTTAATACAGGTTGCTATTTTAAAATCAAAAGTAGGTAGTCGTTTCACCCCCAAAAATAAAGGTGACAAAAAATAACATAAATATAAAATTATAGAGCTTTTTGTTTCTTAAATGTTCTAGAAAACAAATTCCGAAAAAAATTTAATACTTTTTGAAATAATGAGTGTACCCACTTAAATGGATCACTCGGTATTATCCATTACTTAATTTAATAAATTTATTAATTAAATTCTAATATTATTGTTTATGTAGAGTGTAATAGTTTTATCTAAGATGCCATTTATAAGTTTGTTTAACGAAGTTTGTGGGACAATAGCACCAGAATATTTCAAACATGGAATTACTAGTATTGAAGTTGCATTTCACGATATTCAACAGTGGCCAGAATTATATGTAGGGGAAACTGTTAGCTTACCATTATTGGGAATTGTTCTTCAAGTTTGTATACTAATATAACAACTATGCCTAGGTAATAAACAATATTAATTTAATTTTAAAACTATTTTATTTAGGCTCAACTAATATGTGATAATAATAAAATCTGCACTTCATCAAATTCAATGGTTCCCAATTACCAATTGCCTGTTGTTGTATCCTCTTTGTATGAGTTAAACACATTTGGGTGCTTCTCATCCGTTGTGCCACAAATGCATCTTTTATGGGAATTGGTGTTAACAAATGAACCAATTATTGTGATGACTTCATCTCCAACATGTTGTTCACAGGTTGTTCAAGCTTTGGTCAGGTAAAATTTGTTATTTTGTTTTAATAAGTGTAATGATAGTTGATATATAATTTATTACAAATTTTTTTTTTATAAATTATTAGTTTAATAGTACCTTTGGCATATTATGGAGATTATCGGCCATATTTCACAATTCATGATAAAGAATTTAAAGACTACACAAACAAAAACATGAATCCACCACCAATAATTCTTGGTGTTACAAATCCATATTTTACAAAAACATTACAACATTGGCCACACATTGTCAAAGTCACTGATACTTTAAGAAAAGGTAAATATTTATTTTAAAACTTAATCAGAATTTAACTTAAAAATATTTAAAGTTTGACATGATTATTTTAGGTAGTATTTAGCTTCTTTAATGTCTTAATTTTAATAATATGAATTTACTATTGTACATTTATCTACTTGATATTTAGTTAAACTTTCATATAAATGTACATTCAATATACTTTACCTTAATGTGTTTCAAAAAATTCAACTAGTTAAATTGAATTAACTTAAATTCTGGTATTATGAAATTAGTATAGAAACTAAAGTGATTAATATTTTTGGCATGAATTGAATTTCAAATTATGTTTTATGAATGTATTCTTTATAGTCTATACTATAAAGTGAACTTTTCATTATCCACACAATTAGGTAGTGCAGCCACTGCAGATAATCTAAAGAAAAAAAATGACTAAATCAGTCAAAAGTTGACATGTTTTATTACTATTAAATTATTACATTTCATTTTTTTACAAAAAAAATCATACATTATTTGTAGTTCTTAAAATAACACAGTTCCATGGAAGATTGAAAGATGATATTTATGTTCTAAAAATACCTATGATACTAACAGACTATCATTTTGAGTTTAAACCTCTTCAGTTTTTTGTAAAACATTGCTTTGCAATCACCACCAATAAAGCACAAGGTTAAACATTAAAACTAACAGGTATCGACAATTTAGATCCTTGCTTCACTCATGGGCAATATTTTTGATTTTCCTAGGAGTTTTCTCAACAAATGTAAAAAAAACTGAGAAAAACAACATTTAACATATATTATTATAGAAAATATAATAATTATATTATAATGCATTTGTAATTATTTTACCATAATACGGCATATATATTGTTGGGCTATCGGGAAATTCCAAAGAAGCTGCTTTCTAACAAATTAAAATAGGCTGATAGATTACAGATTGTAATATTTTCTGTTTTTATATAAAAAAAATTTATCTGTGTGCAACTTTTCTACCACAAGACTTACTCGGATTTCTACATGTAGCACCTTTTCTGAAAGGAAATCGGTGTGGGAAGGTACTTTAGGGAGGTTTCGATTTTCTCAAGAGTTTTCTCATCAAATTTGAAAAACCGAAAAATATAAGAAATTTAGGTAGGTATTAGATAAAAATTGTATGGCCTTCTTTTTTTCTGTGCACAATTTTTCCACCAACAATTTTGCTCCAACTTTTAATGATAGCAATGTTTCTAAAGGGAAATTTCACTAGGGAGGTACTTTAGAGAGGTAAGTTTTCTATTTTCTCAGGAGTTTTCCAAGCAAATGAAAACCGGGAAAAATGTAGGAAAACCAGGGAAATTGGTACAATATTAAACAAATATTATTAAAGAAAATATATTTAGCCTATTTAATTATTTTGCTATAAAATGACATATATATTGTTGACAAAGCATTACTATCAATTGAACTTCGCTCAGAATCATTTTTCAAAAGCAATGGTTAATCATTGCTAACAGATATATGTTAAATTATCTATAACAGTGGCTGTACCCATCTCCATTATCCTAGGAGGCTCTTTTTTATATTTCTACTGTTGAGTGTTTATTCTAAAATATAAATTATTGTTAATAGGTTCTATGCATGTTTTTTTTTAAAAAATTTCAATCTAATTAACAAATTTGTTGAATTATATTTATATTTTTATATAGACACCCTGAATAAGAATAAATTAAGAAAAGGATCAAATCTGAAAATTTTAGATGCCAAACCTGGAGTTTATACAGAATATAAACCTTACTTACATAAAGACAAAGCAATTTTGAAAAAATTATTCCGAGGAATGCAAAATAAAAGACCAGAAGAAGTTCAATCAGCATTGTTAAGACGCCATTTCTTAGAACTAACCCAAAGTTTCATGATACCACTAGAACGTTACATGTCAACATTAATGCCACTACAAAGAAATATCTCACCTTTTAAAGTACACAATATTTTACATAATTCTGTACACACAAAATTAAAGAATTAATTTTTTTTTTCTTTTTAAAGTCTGCTCCTAAACCATTCCCATTTAATCCAGATAACTTTTTAGCTAGTTTAGAGTACGCTGGACCTCAACTGACATGTGGAATTAAAGGTGACTGGAAAGGACTTTATAAGCAATTTTTCAAGTCTCCTAACTTTAGTGCTTGGTACAATGTCCGTTATCAAGGAATGTTGATGAAATTACAAGTTTTACAAATTGAGGCCCTTTCTAGTGTGGTAAAAAAAAATTTAATAACTCTTAATGAACCATCCAACTAAAAAATTCAATAATTATTTTATTACCATAATAAATAGAATACAGTCTAATTAGCATAATGATACAACTAAAATTTGTCTGTGACTATTCTTTGGCTATACCCTGTTTCAAAAGAGAACATACAGCAATTTTCTGTTAAGAAATAGCATGTCCAATATGTCTATAGTTGTGACCCATATTAACTTGTAGGGATGTGCCCAACCCAATGGAAACTGGTTACCAAAGCTGTATATTCTCTTTTGAAACTGGGTATAGTTATGGTGGTTTTTAATATTGAGCTTGACTATATATATAATTAAATAAATGAATGAATGAATGAATGGCCTGGAGTATTATAAAATGTGTATTGTACCAATTTCAAATTAAAAATTTATTGTATTTAATGTCAAAATGTAAACTGCAACTACATATGAAAGAATACACAACAAATTTACAAATTGGTAATTTTACATAGAAATAATTAATTTTAAAAGGAGTGATTATTTAAAATGAGTTATTATTAGACATAGATATGTTAAGAAATATAAATTATTTGGTTATTATTTATTATCTTAAATGTATTAAAAATAAAATAAAATAAAAATAATATCATATCAATTATGATATTATTTTTAAAATCAGTTTGAACATTTAAAATATTATTAAAATTATTTTTCTTTATTTCATTTTGCAAGAATTACACATGTAATAAAACAATAAAACTTAATTAATGTTAATGTTACTTTGAGTTTTTAATATTTCTAAATCTATATTAATATCAAAACTTATATTATGGTTCTAAATAATGTTGTCAACTATTTTAGTATGAAATACAAAAATAATATGTCAAACAAATTTGTTAAAATTCTGAACAATAATACAAATAATGTAAAAATCCCTTTTAAGACTAATAATAATTTAATCAAACATATAAACAATAGAATTAAAAACTTCACAAAGAATCCTCCATTTTTTGAAAATGGTAGTATATATAAACCTAAATGTTAAATTTATTTTTTCATGTTCAATTTACTTTTTGACTTTGTGATTTTACCTGACGATGAATTTTTAATTAAAAAAACGTTTAATACACATTTCATAATACTCCAGGCCATTTATAAGTATTAATCAATAATAATTTAGTTTTTACTTTATTCTTTTATAATACAAGGCAATATTTATCGGTTTTTGGTTTAACATAAAATAACTGCTAATTAACTTTTTTTTTTCGAAAGACCCTATTAAATGTTTTTAACCCTGCAATGCCCAATTTTATTTTTTTTTACATAAAAATTATTCTTCTTAACTAATTTTGATGAGCTGAGGGAAAAAGTATTTTAAAAATCCTGTGTTTTAGCTTGTATTATAAAATTGTAGTTTTATAACTAATCTACTGAGTTATTAATTATTTGTGTGTTATTAATGTTCATATAAACCTTGTAGTAATTTTAAGTTTCATTTTCGATGATTTATTAAAATATATTTTACTCAAAGCACATTTTGTAATTCAAGAAAATAAAAAAAAAACACATGAGAGAAAAATTACAAAATAGAAATTAATAACATTTGCATGTGGGTATCAATAAAAAACATAGATCAGGACTTAAACTATACATTAGATGGCTCAACAAATTTTTTTAGTCAGTATGTAGTGTGGAAACATTATTTTAACATGTTGCATATTTGCTAATGGACATAGAAGAGTTAAGAGTATCTGATAATTTTTCTATTTGTATAACTATATCACATTTTGGTTTAATATTTTAGAAAGAAATAACACGAATGTAATAAATTTACCAAATATTCACTGTGAGCTTGTGTGTTATTGTTTTGATGATCATGACATCATGTACCGATAGATTATCGGATTATTATAAAATTATAATTTTAAAGACATTTATAACTTTAATACAATAAGATATTCTTATGAAAAATAAACATGCATGCTATAAAATTCAAAATAAACTTATAGCAGCACCACAAAATATAACAAGCATTCTTATGACAGTGTCTTATGAGGGTAATATTAAAAATCACCCTAATTAGTGAAGAGATAGTCACGAACAAATTTTAGTAGGATAATAATATGTACTAAAATTTAAACTGAAGCCAATTTTTTGAGTTGGTGGGTAGTCTTTTAATTCTATTTCCTTCCTCCCCCCCCCCATCTTAGTGCTGTTATTATTATTTATTTGATTTTAGGATATTAAAAAATGGCTTGAGAATAAATTGGAAGTAGAAATTGTGGATATGATATTGAAAATACGCCAGAAACTGGATGAATGTGAAAACTTGGGATATTCATTGAATAAAAGAGTCAAAGATCAGTTAAAATTGAAAATGGATGATATTATTTGTTCATTGCCAGATGATTTAAAAAATGTTTTGTCAAATAAAAATTCATCTAATAGATGATATTACTTCTGTATGTATAGGTAGTAAAGAACTTATTTATAGTTTATTTATTATTTATTTTAACTAACTATCTGTTGGTTTTAGTAATTGTAATTTTTGGCCATAGTTATATATATATCTTACATAAATACTAGAATTAAATACCTTTTTATATTTATACAGGAACTGTTTAAATATTTAAAAAATAATTATTGCCCAAAAGCAAATTCCAAATTTTTGCATATTATTGAGAAATCAAATATTAGTGTAGAAACTAACTTTATATGAATTTTTATATATTGTTAATTATAATATACAATTCTTCCAGAAAATGTTAGTGCGTAAGTATCAAATTGATATTAAAATATTGTACATGTTGTTAAGATCTAAATGTAAAACCATAATTATATAAAGAAATGATATGGTTATAAACAACCAAAATAAATTGTCATCATATTTGTGTTGTGTTTTTTATTATTATTAGTTATTAGGTATTGATATTATACATTATATTCTGACTTGTATTCAATAATAATTTTATATTTTATAAATATATAAATTTTTTTACAAATATATCAGGTAAGTTCTAATTGAAAAACTAATCGTACAGATTAACATTGTTTACAAACAAATTACATTGATTTTATTAATGAACAAAAAAAATGCTTGCAAATTTAATATGAGATTTATTATAAGTTTTAATTAGTAGTTAATAAAAAAAAAAAGTGAGTTCAATGTAGTATTTTATTTTATTTTTTATAATAGTTAAAATCAAATTTTGATGGAAATTGTAATTATTACGGTCTTTAAATACTTGTATAACTTGTATGGTTCATCATTGGTTACAAGTATAAATTAAACAACTTAATGTAGCCCACCTACAACAATTTTTTTTAAAGTTTGTACAGCAAGAAAACTATAATGCTAAGTCTGTTCTTTTGAAATTGATCAAAAGATACCCATTCATACTGTTATAGAACTCATAGATAATATGGCCACAGTTCCACAAATGGCCTTGTGAGTTAAAGCCTAATTGGTGTAAGAAGGAAAGGAGTAAAGAACAGAAATAAAGTGAATCCAGTGAATGATAATAATGCAACTGATTGGTTATAAATAATCAACATATTATATGTTTACATAAATTATATTCCAACTTCTCAATTACTTACTGAATTTGATTAAATTTTACAGATTTCAATTTCACTGTACAAAAAAAAAAGTTAGGTTGGTTAATATTAATAACATGCCTTCATCAGTATTGCTTTCACATTGGTTGTATAAATTAAAAACACCTGTATTATTTATACTTCATACTAAAGTTTCTTAATTATTTTTACATTTAAAAACAATATTATCTTTGCCCAAAACAGACCCAAGAATTAGTATCTTCTAATTTATACTAGATTCTAAAGTTAAAAAACATTCCTTAAACAGTGGAGTAACCTAACCACAGGGTGATATTAAAAGAGGTCAACTCCACCACTCTAAAAAAAATTGTAGACATTTGATAGAAAAAAACACATTTTTATTTAGAAAACAAGATCTATATTTCTTTTTTGTAATGTTTGAAAATATCAATGCAATTAATTTTTGAATATTAAGTCATGTCAAACTTGTTGGGTGATTCCAACCCATTTTAAATCTTAGCCAAGCTTTTAAACTATAAGCAAATTAATAAAAGTAGCAGATATGACTAATATAAGAATATACAGTGTAAACCCTAGGAAATAAATAACATAGAAAAAAGAACACATGCTTTAGTCCTTGGTTAAAGGAATAAATGAAAATAGGAAGCAACCTATTGCTTATTTTCTTATGTCAAGTAGTTGTACTGGTATTGATTTGCAACACACAAATATATCAACGATTAGTTCCCTTTAAAAATATTAAAGCTTTTATTACAGATCAAGGCGCAAATTGTGTAAGTATTTCTAAAAGCTTTTATGTTACTCTTAACAAGCTATATTTTGAAGTAGATGGAAAACAAATTGTTTTCATTTTTGATCTACCTAATCTTTTAAAATCTACTCTCAACATGTTTTTTAAACACAACTTCAAAATTATTGATTCAATAGTAACTAAAAAGCACATATTGATTCTTTTCACAATTATGATTTAGAAAAGTAATCTTCGCTTGGTTTCAAAACTAAAACATGCACATATTCATCTAGGACTATTAGAAAAAATGATAATTTACTTAGCTGCCCAAATTTTTAGTAATAGTGTAGCTTTTGATATGTTTATGACTTTGAAGTCTGATATTTTGCCACCTATTGCATTATGGACATTATTATTTATGGACAAGTTATTGGACATAATTATTTTAAAGCACATAATCTTAAAAAATGCAATAGCCCATTTAAAAATATTAAATCATTAATTAATCATTTAAATAAAATGGCTGAAGTTTTTAGGTACATAAAAGTTATTAATAAACTTATTAGACCAAATATTAATAATAAGATGAATTTTCTTAATGGTTGGTTAATTTCAATATCTTCATTAAAAAGGCTGTGGTATTCCTTAAATCCAAATAAAAATAAAAATGATGTTCTTTATACTAAGTGCCTAAATCAAGATTATTTAAAAAAATTTGTTTGTTTTTCCGTCAACAAATGGAAACAATTTTAATCTTGCACCAATTGAGTTTCTAGGTAATTTAAAAAAATTGTTTTCCAAAAATTCCAGAATGTAATGCATTCACTTATATTTGTGGTATATTTAATAAGGAAATGTTTAGAAAAACATATTAGTCAGGTTTGTACAAATTATACTTATTAACAAAATTAGTAAAATCAATCATTTCTTTTAAGTTTCTTTAAAACTTATCCTATTGGGGACACTAAACATTTGGAAATTTAATGATCCCTTATGATGACTTATATAATTTCATGTCCAAATTAGAAAATATTTTATTGACAGCTTCCCTTACATTTCTTGTGAAAACAGTGTAGATACCAAATTGAAGCACAATAAATGAGTAATATACCTTTTAATCATCCCAGTGAATCTTTTAATAAAATATTTTTAATTTATTTATTTACACCTTAGCAGTCTAATTTCTAAACAGTTTTAGTTTCAGAAAAAATATTAAAAGCTAGAAAATGAACCATTCTGAAATATTTATAATTACCTTTTGTATCATTTGTACTACTACTCTACTCCATTCATGTAAACTGAAAATAAGTAAGTACTCATCCAAAAATCTTAATCAATAAAATACTTAATAAAAGATGTAATTATTATTAAAACAATTTTGTTTTATAATTTCTAAAATACACTGTCTCACATAGAAATATCCATTAAAATATCTCCTGAGATAATAAATATAATCAAATTCTGTACAAAAACGTAAAAAATTGAAATATAAATATTTGTAGTCCTTGTATCTTTGTAGTATACAAAAAAGGGTGCTGGCACTGCTGGTGAGAAGTTAGATGATAGGATATAGAGGGGAAATTAATTTGTATCTATAAGCAAAGATTAACTATTGCTAACGAAAAAACAATTCTGGGTGGAGTTCAATTGATAGTGTTGTTTTGTCAACAATATATATACATATTATATCATATTATTATGGTAAAATGATTAAAATTATATGTGTTTCCATGACAACAATGATTGTTTAAAAAAGATAAAAATAATTAAAACTTAATAATAAAAAATAAATAAAAACGGTTGCCAACCTTATTATTAATTTTCCAATCTTTTTAAACCTAAGAACCTAGGTTTTCCTCATTATCTCGAATGCTAATGAGAATTAAAAAAAAAGACCTATTTAAATTATAAGTACTACCCAGAGAACATTTCTTTCAAAAAAGGTGTTACACTTGGTAATCGGAGTAAGATATCTGGTAGTAAAAGTGTTAACATTACAAAATAAAAATAATAATCATTATTACTACTCTTAATATTGTTTATTTATAAAATAAATAATTACCCAATGATAAATTGTGTTTTATATGTATCTAAGAAGTGTCATCTGTATTCTTTAGTTATATGAACATTATGAGATTAGTACAATGCTTATTTAAAATACCTATTGTTGAGTTATTACTTTTTTTTTTTTTAACTTAATATGTTTATTATACTACACATAATATATTGTTTTTTCTGATGATACACTTATTAAGGTAAGTAGGTAATTTATAGTTATCTTAGTTTAATATAACATAAATAATCAATAGGTACCTATTTAAAGTAATTTAAATTACATTTTTGAATTTTATTATACATTTGAAAATGTGATGATTGAACAATAGAATTAAATATGTACATTTTTGATTTTGTGGTATAAATGTGATAAATAATGCGATTTCAAGTTCATTTTAATTTTCAGTACTTATAAGTTTTGCATCTAAAGGAAAATGTAAAATGATAATTATACTTGGTAATTTTTTTGGTTAATCAAATGTATCTAAATGTTTATCCTGGCAAAAAAAAATTATGGATAACAAAAATACTAATTATTAGTAATTTTGTATTCATTGTGTGAAATATACTTTATAACTATTGACAATTTTGTTTTAAATTGAAACCAACGATAAATTATCAATATTTTAAAAATTAAATGGTTAATCCTAAGTAATTTAAGTACATCAATAACTTTTATCCAGCAAAGTATAGTTTTAGTTTTTCTTTTACAAAATAATACTATAATTATAGTTCAATTTCTCGTATTCAGTAAATTTGATAGATCAATTGATAGAATATTTAATATTATATAAACACAATTAATTTAAATAATTGTCTAACTTAATATTTAGCACTAATATTTTAATTATCTGAGGAATGTCACACAAAATACTATAATAATTATCCCATGTAAATATAATTGATTACTAAAAGCTAATAATAAAAAAAAGTATAATTGATTTAATATGAAAATATTTCTAACTAGATTTAAATAATAAATTGCAATAATATTATTGCCATAAACCAGCGTAATTCCCAGACATATCAGATGGCAATGGTCCTCCTGCAGAAAATAATCTTGTCCCTGAGAAGTCATAGCAATGTGTATAAATTGCTGGTGTATATTTCACATTTCGTAGACTTTCTGCTATATTATCATCTTCATCAGACCACTAAAAATTAAACATAAGATAAAATAAAATAATAACAAGTGCATACTAAGTGTACAAATTATAGCACTCACAATATAACCTTGACTTGTTCTTAATACAACTACTCTACTTGTATTAGCATTAGAGATCTCTAAGTATTTTGCAGCACGTACATCATAGAACAACATGGCACCAACACCTGTTCCAATTGTCATTAAATTATCTTGAAAACTTAAAGATCTGATTACTGAAATAAAATTAATTAAAATAGAATTATTTAATTTTTTTTAGATGGTTTTTTTCTTTATAAAATATATCCAAATTCGATTTAGGGGTAGTATTTTTTAATTTTATTTCAGAAAAGTGTTCTTTATATCTTATTTTAAAATTTCTATTTGTCTTTCCTAAATAAAATTTATTATAGTTACATTTAAGTTAATACATACCAGCATTTTCAAAAAAAGGGGAATTTTGTGTGAAGTTTTTAATTCTATTGTTTATATGTTTAATTAAATTATTATTAGTCTTGAAAGGGATTTTTACATTATTTGTATTATTGTTTAGAATTTTAGAAAATTTGTTAGACATATTATTTTGATATTTCATAATACAATAATTAACAACATTATTTAGTGAGTTGTGTATTTACTTTATCTTTAATAAATTTATGATTTTTTTTAATAGTATTTAAATTTAAATTATTCTTATAATTTATATTATAAATAATACTGAGCTCATGTTGATAATTATGTTTATTTAATGGAATACATTCAAGCCTATGGAATTAGTTTGTTTAGGTTTCCTAAATACTAAAATCAAATTTATTGTTTATTATAGAAACTGTAAGATCTAGGAAATTTAATTTATTATTCATTTATATTTTGAGTATAAATTGAATGTTTTTATTTATTTTGTTTAAGTAGTTAACTACATTTTTTTTATATTACACATACACAATGAAATGAAGAAAAATAATTTTATGAATATTTTAAATGTTCAAACCGATTTTAAAAATAATATTTTATATTAATACATTTTAAATAATAAATAACAATGAAATCATTTATATTTCTTAACATATCTATGTTTAATAACTCAATTAAATTATTTCTATATTTTATGTGAAACAGCCAATTTGTATAATTTTTTTTTCTATTTATTCATTCATTTATTTTTATATATTTATTTACTTTATTTAAATGTAATTACTTATTAAAAATAATATTTTAAGACATTAAAATATACAAACCACATCCTGAATGTCTTCCATAAACCTTCTTTACAGCTTGCAACATTCTCGAATCAAGTAGTAATGCATATGGACGACATCCTATTGCATATAAACTGCTATCACTTTTCAATGACATACAGACATTATCTTGGTTACTTGGTAATCTTCTTGAAAATCTCTAAAAGTCAAATGAAAAAAATGAGACAAACTCCACATTTGTGTGGGCCACTGTTGTAAATGAGAAATTTAATGTATATTGGTAAGCAACAATAAACCATTGCTAACGAAAAACAATTCTGAGCAGAGTTTTTCAGTTGATAGTGTTTTTCCCATTTATTAAGAATAGTCCAGGAAAATCAAAAATTGATTCTACAGTACCTTTCCAGACTGATTTCCTTTCAGAAAAGTTGCTACACTTAAAAATCAGAGCAAGATTTCTGGTAGAAAAGTTGCCCTCATAAAAAAAGCTTAGCTTTATTCAGAATCTTAAATATATATATATATATATTTATATATTAATATCAATATAGTAAAATATTGGAAATTATTACTATTAAAAACTAAAAAGTTTATAAAACTCATTTTTGAAATTAATATCATATTCTTTGAATTGTTAAAGAATAGATTTAACAAGATCCACTATTTGCAAAACACAAAAGAACAAATTAAGTATTAAAATGTGTATTAATTACTACAATTAGATGATAAATGATATTCTATCAATGGAGCAAGCTTAATTAATACTGAACCAATACCGAACAAATAACAGTAGTGTTAGTTTAAATGTCCATAAACCAAAACACTGACAAACTTTTCAAAATTAAAACTTAAACAAAGTGCAGTTTTGTTATTAAAAATACTGATCATTGATGGATTTGTGCCAGCTTTTTGTCTAGCAGGTGCATACCTATTGAACATTACATTTTCTTTTTATTTAATATTTATATTTATTTTTAACATAGACTATATTAACCAAATATGATTTTTGCTAAGAATATAGATACTTACTTATTAACTCATGGCCAAAATAATATTATTTCATTTCAATATTTAAACATTTTAAAACAAAGAATTAAAATAATGTATAACTATTGTAAATAATAATGTGTAGTATATTAAAATTTCATTCACTTGTTTAAATCGTTCAACATCCCAAATATGAACATATCCATTTAATGATAATGTAGCCATTTCTTTTAAATTCTTATTGAATATGATTGCACGTATTTTTTCTGCTGCTCTACAGCTTTTTATTACTTTAGGGCTAAGAAATTGAGTGACTGGTTGTATGAGATCACCATCAATATCATACTGTTCTTCATATTGATCTTGAATTTGCCATAGTGCAAGATTGGTATCACGAGATCCACTGACAAAAAATTCATTATCTAACCATTCTATGTCAAATACCCAATCTTTGTGAGCGCCCTAATGAAATATTAATTTAATTTAATTAATAATTTAAAACAAAATATAAGAAAAAATTCAATTATACCTCAGCTAAAACAATTGGATCTAATGTGGGCAATCTGTATACAGCAATTTCATTTGAATTATATGCACCTGTAGCTAATAATGACCTACATGGGTTTATTTTTAATGAATGAATACCAGTTAGTTGATTTTCTGAATCATCAATACGTCCTTTAATTAATGGTATTTGGTCCAGATCGTGTGAATCAACATTATAAACCATTAACTAAAAACATAAAAGAAACATTTAAATATATTCTAGTCAGTTCAGTGGTAAGTACACCCTCATGTTACATAGGAAACACAAAATTACATTTTTGAGGATGACAATAGATAGCTTAATTGGGCAAATACAGAACTAACGGTTAAATTTTATTATTCATATATATTGATGGTTCATATTAAATAAACAACAAAATATACGGTAGAACATGATCTGCTGAATTTTCAATGGATTAGTTCAAAAGATAGTAAAATACAAAACAAAGAAAGCACAAAATAACTTAGTATGACATTGAACTGCATGCTCAAAGTTATAGATTTGAACTTGATGAGTGGTGCAAAATCATACTCATTTTAAATTGAAGTAATGTCACTTTTATCTGTTTTTATGTCTTTTGGGAGAGTGAAAATCCTAAAACTCAATGGGTTAATACAATTACTATTTAGCGCTACTGATGTTAACAAGGTCATGATAAAGAAAGAACCCCATACATTTGTCCCTTTTCATTAAAATAAATTAGTTTAGTTGTAGGTATCTACTAACTAATTCTTTAATAAGTTAATAGTGAGTAAACAGATACCTAATATCAATTGAATATATTCAAATAAAATTGTATTAATAAAAGAAAAACATCAAAAAAAATCTAATTGTTTTATTGACAAATTTTAAGTTTTACTAAACACTAGGTAGAAATCTTTTAATTTAAACATTAAAAAACTTAATGCAAGTACACTATATCTGTTTTACTTACTTTATTACATTTTGTTCCAAAGATAATTTGTTTACTACTAAGCCATTTTGAACAAAAAACTTTATCCATTGTTTTTAATGGTATAGATTTTTCTTTTAATATATTGTTTGTCAATATATGCCGGGCCCAATGATTCTGATTTATTGAATGATACTCTCGCATTCCATATTCTCTGGTTCTTATATAGTCAACAACATTGTATGAAGAATTTAATATACTGCACAATGACACTGTACTTTCTTCTTCATCAGAATCTTCATAAAAAACAAAATCTTCTGATCTATCAGATGTTGATATTGATCTTTCAATTTGAGTTGCTCTCAAATGTGCACTACGATCATCAAGACGAGATTGATATGCACAAGGTGGCCGTGAACCAAATATTGGAACACGATTAGTTTTTGCCATTCTGGAACCTTTAAATAATGGTTAATTAATTAATGTAATACTTGACATTTAAGTCACATAGTAAAAATCAAACAAGGTTAGTTAAGTAAATTATATAAATTAATAAATATAAATTTTCTCGGGAAAAAATGTTATTATATTATTCTTTAGGGAGAAATATTACAAAAGTTCATTCAAAAGAGTAAATATTTGATATATGAAATTAATATTAAAATAAAATTATATAATTATAAATACTCAATAAAATATTGAACAAATTGTGCAATTATTACAGTATTACATTAAAAAAGAAGAAGTCATGGGGCGTGGTTTGTCATTGTTACCACCAGTAAACTTATTACTGATAACGTTTTTGCAAGTTGGTATAGTAACCAGGTTATAGTAAACCTGGTTACTCTTTTTAGTAAACTAGTGAATTTTGTAAGCGTCTATTTCGAGTTGGTAAGAGTGTTTACGGAACGCTTGGTTACTAAAAATTAACCTTGATAAACACGACTACATGTCTACATAGCACGTGATATTTGTAAATTTATAAATTTTAATTTTAATTCTCGTTTCTGGTGTTATTCATTGTTTAAATACTAATTATTATGTAAATTAGCTCAACTCTTTAAATTGTTTACAATGTTATATACTGACGATTTTGTCACATCAAAATGCTTGCATTGACCCTTACTTTCCGAAATACCAAAGAGCAATAATAAGTTATTTTTATGAAATAAGTGCATTAAAACCAACAACACCTTGTTGATACAGTTCTGGTGCAACTTGTTGCAAAAAATTAATTAAATTATAAAATGTGTGTGGTATCATACGGTAGTTTACATGAAAATCATATGCACTGGAGTACGTTCAAACACGTTTTCCAGAGCTGTCAGCTGTCAGACTCGTTCAGAAAGTATTTGGAGCGTGTCTGGAAATTCACCGACATGCACCTTTTGCGTTCAGAAACCAGGTTAGTTCGATGAATAATTAGTGTTACCATTTATGGTTGACAAAAAGAGGACATTTTTTTCAAGATCATGAAAATAATTAATAGGTACATTTTATTTTTTTATAATGTACCGATTATAATGATAATATGATTTACATAATATATTATTAAGTATAAATTATATTTAATTTTACACATTTATTAGATGGCATTTAGATTTAAGAAATTAAATTAAATACTTTAGAATTTCTTCGTAATTTAGAATTATATATGTACTAATACTTTTATCATATGTTATTTCATTTATATAGTCTTTATTAAATATTTGTATATTAAAAAATAATAATAATAAAGAATATCATAACTTAAATTATAATTAAAGAGGTACATTAAGTTTAGGTATTTTGTCAGCCTATTTTTTGTTTTTCATATGGGCCATGGTAGGTTTCCGCCTGGAGGTAATTGTTCATCAGCCTTTGTGACCAAAGGCATAGTGGATGGTTTTTTTTTTATTTCAATAAATGTGAATAGTAAAATATCATTTATATTTATATTTTTTAAGAAAATAAAAAACGATTTCAATTCAGGATACATTTGTACAATGTGATTAATTGCAGGGAATAGAATTAACCACCTAGTTTTTGTATGATAAGATAAATTTCGGTAATTAATATTAACAAAATCACAGAACTCTTTTAATGTTTCAGTTCTTACTGTGTAAGTTGAAAAATAATTGAATATTTTTAAACCGATAGAATCAATATCTATGTTATCTAATTAATCAACACCATGATGAATGGAATTATGTAATATATGTGCAGGACAGCCAATACTAACTAGTTCCTGGTTGAGATTATTTTTCAAATTGGTATATATATTACAGCTTTTTTTTCTACTTATACCACCAAAATTAGTATTTGTGTTGTCACCTATAAAAGCTACACATTTGTCACCTAACTTATATTTATTTAACATTTGTATGAGTAATTCAAAAATAGTTTCAGATTTTTCAATTAGAGTATTTTTGAAGTCTAGAAGTTTAATTTGTATTCCACTGGAAACTTCAAAATATTTTACTAATACTGGAAACATTTGTGTACTGCCATGATTGCTACCATCGCACTGATGTACTCAAATATGAGTATTACAACATTAATTGAATTTGGGCTTAAAAAATGACCAATAATTGTCTAGGTTTTAGTTGGTGCACAAGAAAGCTTTTTGCAATATCAGAATCATCACACATTTGTAATATCAATGCAGGGGTACAGTCCATAAACTTGTAATTATTGTGATGTTTTATAGTATGAAATGGTAATGCTCCTTCTAATGTCCAAATTTTAAGACTTTCGGTTAAATTTTTACTAATTAAAAAAATCTGATACCTTTCTTGAAGTAGATGATTTGATCAATCTTTTCTTGTGTTTTGTAGTTTCAATATGAGCAGTTAAATCACTGGACCATATGAAAAATATTTGTTAATAAATTTATGTTATCTGGTTATCATCATTAACATTTAGTTATACACTTATATATGAGACTTAAAAAAAAAATCAAATAACCAACCTTTATTTGCAACAGAAATGTATGAATTACAAATGCAGCATTTTGCTTCATAGACATTTTTTCCAATTGTAAACGCCAGATACTCAACTTTAGGTTTGTTAGAAAATTTATATTTTCTTTTAGATATCTTTTAGACTTTAGACGGCAATACAGGACCACACATATTAATTTTGCAATAATTGATATTATAAATTGTAATTAAAAATTATATGAGATATGATATGATATATTATATTTAGTATTATAGGGTGTTGCTATAAATAGCCAGCAAATTTATATTATTTTGTTTACTCCAAACAGCAGACTTACACTATGGATTATAATTTGTAATCTCTTTGATAATAATAAAAATGTATAAATAATAATGTGATTATGACCATAATCTCGATCGTGAACATATTTTATAAATATATAAGTTCATAAAAAAAACCCTAAAATTTTGCAATACTGAACGCCCCCCCACCCCCGAACTTTTTTATATAAGTTTAAAAAGAAGAAAAGAGGATGTCTGATAACCCTACGGATAGTTCGTCTCTTTTTACGCATTCCTGTAGGCCTATTATTTAATACAATTTTGACCTACTATTACGCTTATTAAATAACAAGGTTTCTTATTGTTTATGCCATGCTTCATTATAACCCGGTGGGAGTAATTCGTTTGGCACCCAGCTGGAGGTACTGCTTATCTGATTTCTCCATTTCATCCAAAGGACGACCTCCTTTCGGCTTCAGGGTGTGTTGACGAGATGATTATGGTATAGTTCATGAAACTCTTCTGTGACTTAAGATGAGAGAGTAGTGAAGTTTCACCGTAAATAGGTTGTCATGGGTCTGGTGTTATTTTCGTTCTTTCCCAGTCCGCGTGCGTAGACCTTAATGATGAGGAAGTTATTCCCGATAGTATGTATCAGATTTAACCTATGTATTTTCAGGCATCCGGTTATGCGTCGGCAAGAATCGTTAAGTGCAACATCGACTTTTTAGTGTGTGATGACTTATGATAATTGCTCTGGAAATAAAATACGTATTCTTCAATCACATGTAAATGATTCTTACATTTCACATCATGCAGTGTGTATAGCCATAGTTTGTATACAAAAATACAAACTAGAATGGTACTGTCCAATTTCAAAAATTGAATATGCACGTGAAATTCGTCCATTATTTTAGAAATATTTGATCCCCGTAAACCAATATTATTCTCGAACGTACTAGATGATTAATGAACATCATCTGTCCAGTGTAACTATTTTTCTAAGAAAATTGACAGTTTTTATATAAATATTCACTAATCAATAGTCATTTTTATTAAATAAAATATAAATCTTACACGTTCGTCGACCATCTTGAGAATAACGAAAACAAATAATGATAATATTATTATCTTTCCCAAATTTGATTTGTACCTATAGGTACTATGAATTTGATGTAGTAATGTAGTAAATGCACTACTAACCGGAATAACCGGATTTTCGGACAAATCATTCTGTGTTAATGACCACGAACAGTCATTTGCATCTATTTGCATTACCGTAATAGGTATTGCAAACGACTATTACAATTTTTCTGAAATAAAATTGAAAACCTGTAAATAACAGGTACCTAAGTACAATTAACTCTATTAAACACCAAAAATTAATTTTATGTGTACTCTTGGACCTTCGAATTTCCAAACAATTTTTCTATATTAGTATTTGCAGCCCACATTATTTTATAAATTATAAGAAACCTCTGTTTCGAGTTTCTAGACCCAGTGATACGGACCGTGAGACGATGAATCGGTCAGCACATATACCTTAACTTATTATATTTTTATGTATTCTTGACCCGATGTTGTACCTCGCATACACCGGCTGTTTTCATATAATTTTCAATCGTATACAACCGTCAATTTATTAACTTCCTAGTCGGGTGACACAGCTGAGTGTCGACCCATAAACGTTAATTTCAATGTCATGTTTATAATTTTTGTCAACATTTTACTACTGTATAGATTGTAAATATTTTTTTTGATAATAAATGAAAACAAAAAATTCGTTTTACACTGGAACTGATCACAATAATAAGCTTCCGCCTTGTTACCTTTATTGTCTTATGTAGGTAGCCTAGCTCTTTCCGTTCTGTTATTTCAATAATTTTCTTTCAGGCCGTGTTTTTACTATATTTCTATTATACTTAGCTACTCGCCACGTTTTACGATATTCATTCTAATGTCTAAACATGATTAGAAACTACTAATGATTTGTCATATAAGGCGACCTTTCTCTAGTAAAAGGTATAAACATTTTATTACTTGTGAGTTGTGACTTTATATTTGTGCTGTTAAATCATAGATCGATTTATAACTCCCACATCAAATAAAAAAATTCATTTGGACCTCGACCAAGTAGAAGCTCAAAATGTGGACAACTCAACAACTCTCATTTCTACTCACGTTTCACTTAGAAATTCACCTGCATTTTATTATAAATATTTATTTGACGAATTTTAGAAGTTTCAAAATGTAGAAAATCTTAAGGTGACAGCTGTTTGTCAAAACTGTTCTAAAGTTGTTAGTGAATCCACAAAAAGAAGTAGTAATTTTTTTAAGCCATATAAATGTAAGCTTAATTATTTCAATTTAATTTAATTAAAAAAAAAATTAATAAACTACACTTAAATACCTAGTTGGTTTATGAAGTATATGTAGGTAGTTTATCTTGTTGACACAAATTAATACTTAAGCAATTTTATATCAACACCCCTCATGGTAGTATACTAGTATAGATTAGTATCCCCTTATATTTTATTAGATTTATAAAATTTATATGTTACGGGTAAAGTTCAAAAACGGTTAGTGTACATATTACTCGGGTAATGTGAACCTCATTTATATGAACAGTGTAATGTATACATTATCCATCTTAAATATGTAGTATCCAATCAATTCATACATTATCCGGTGTGCTGTGGATAAAGTAATCGTATAACTATAATCGTAAACTTATAACTTATATATTTGAACAATTTTACTATTTACTTAATTAAAATTTAAAAATGAAATACAATTATTTATTAGAACAATTTGAGTTCGGATGATATTTCGAATTACAAAGTATTCTCCCGGATTTGCATTTACATGTATTTGTTAAGCATTTAGTTTTACATAAACACTTCTTAAAACCTTGACCACCGGAAAAAGATTGTACATTAGCTATTTCACGCAAAGATTTTTTTGTGGCTAAAACTTCTTAAATATCTATTTATGGTTCAGAACATACAGTAAATTGATTTCTGGAATAAAGTTGATAGAGTGTCATTTTTATTACCATTTTTATAAAAACACTAATAAAAATTTTCGCGTTAAGTCATTTTAAAAACCTATTATATGTACGACGCTTGTATTAAGACGAACTACCACTGTACTAAATATTATTCCGTGTGTTTCTTCATAAACATTTATCTACAATCATTATTTTATCAAAGTACTTTACCCACTCAGTCGTAGATAATGTGTAAAATACCCGAGTAATGTACGAAATAAACGTTTTATAAATAATATTTTTACTTTATCCAATAGGTACAGGTAGTGTACATATTACCCGGATAATGTGAACACTAACCATATTTTGCCCTTTACCCGTAACATATATACTAATTATCAACATTAAATATCCAAAAGTACATAGTTTTATGATTTAAATAAAAAAAAATATCATATACTGTTGCTATTATGGCTTAATTTTCAAAAAAAAAATGTAGATATTAGGTATGAGGTATAGGCTCTTTATATTTAATAATATTTGTTTAATATTGTACCGATTTCCCTGGTTTTCCTACATTTATCCCGGTTTTCATATTTGCTTGGAAAATTCCTGAGAAAATAGAAAAATTACCTCTCTAAAGTACCTCCCTAGTGAAATTTCCCTTTAGAAACATTGCTATCATTAAAAGTTGGAGCAAAATNAGGCCATACAATTTTTATCTAATACCTACCTACATTTCTTATATTTTTCGGTTTTTCAAATTTGATGAGAAAACTCTTGAGAAAATCGAAACCTCCCTAAAGTACCTTCCCACTACGATTTCCTTTTAGAAAAGGTGCTACACGTAGAAATCCGAGCAAGTCTTGTGGTAGAAAAGTTGCGCACAGATACATTTTTTTTTATAAAAACAGAAAATATTACAATCTGTAATCCATTAGCCTATTTTAATTCGTTAAAAAGCAGCCTCTTTGGAATTTCCCGATTGCCCGATAGCCCAATCCGTCCCTGGTAAATACTTTGATAGGTATCTATGCAATTTCAATTAAGCCTGGTATTCGAAAGTTTTGAGTATTACATAAGTCAACCACGCAATGCTTGATGAATCTTTCCAAGATTTATTTATTTTATTCTTTCTTAAAACGCACAAATTTAACCGCAAAAAAAAAATTACGACAATTCAAATTATGTATTACCAAACTGCGCTCAGGATCGTCTTTCATCAAGCAATGGTTTATCGTTGCTTATAAATATAATTGAAATAACCTTATGCATCCTACATTCCCAACTTCTCACCCGCAACAGTGGCCGCTCCCATCCTCAGTATCCGCTCTTTTGTGAATTTAAAACTATTTTCTATGACGTTCACCTAAGCTAAACAGCGGTTACAACAGAATTCGTTAATTTTTAGGGTTTACGTTAGAAAACGTTATCAAAACTTGTTAAAACGTTATAATAACGTTTCCAAGTCCTGTTAAGTAGTAAATAAATAGGTGTATTTATCTGTTTTTAGGACAGTATACAAATGATAATAGTTTGTAAACATTGTCCAAGTGACAAATGGCGCTGTACATCATATATTATCGTATACGGATTCGGCCATCTAGTTTTTATATATATATATGTGATCATGAACATTAGAGTACTTTTATATTCATGTCTGTGATGTATTTTCTTTGGTATCACATTCCTATAATTGTCGGCTTGGTTTGAAATATTGTTCATCGATAATTGATTAGTATGCTTCAATATTATAATATGTTACGGCAATATAATTATATATGTATATGCCTATATATCCATATATACCTGTATAATAAATTATATACACCTTTCCCCCCCCCTTCCCCGTTGGCAATTTTTACGGGAATCCTTGTCTATCTCTTGTCATTTTTTTAATTCGAATAAGATTTCTAGTAGAAACGTATTTTGAAAATAACAAAAAACAGAGCACATCACAGTACAACCATTCCTCGCAATGCTCAGAATCTAACAACAAATGTTTCGTAAAAATAAAACGTGCACGTTCCAAATTTTGTGATTATCTCGAATGTACAAATTGTTTACGGTGTTTACATAATATCTGCGAGATAATATGTGTATTATCATTTACTTATTAGTAAGTATGTCGTTTTCCCAGCGCATCGATGTTATTGTGTTTGTTTATTTATTGTTGGCATAATGCTATTATTATATGAGAATTTCGATTTTTATTTGATTATTGAAGTTTGAACTTCTTGTCCAGTTATTTATTAATTTCAAATTTGTAATTTTATTATTTCAATTTGAATGCTATACTTGTCAATACTTACATTTTGCGCCTCAGTCTGATATTTTCGAGACAATTTTGGGTTATGATTTTCCAATAAATTTAGTGATAATAATAATACTGTTTTATTTTTCATTATGGTTTTAACAATTATTCCCAAAGTCAAAAAAGAAACAAGAAAACGTAAACACCAAAAACCTAAGTATAGAATGATTTTTAGATTAATTTCAATATGATTAATAACCAAATTTAAATATATTTTGTATAGCAAACCAAATTCAGCAAAAGAAAAAGAAAGTTGGTTTGTGAAACTTGATGCACCATTAATAATAATTATGACTGCAAGGTTTTTCCTGCATTCCTTGTTCACATTACTGACTGCTATGAAACATTCAACTACTGGGAACAGGTAAACTTCACTGAACCATCATTATAATTAGTTCTTATTGAAGTTTTACTGATATTTAATTATTTCGTTATAATAACGATTTTCAAACATGGGAATATGCGCCTCCCTACGCTCTTAGATCACAATTATACATACTTCCTCATACAGTACCTGTTTATATTTGTATAAAAAATATCATCTTATTTTACCTAATATGGTATGCACTTGTTTTATTGAGTTGTTTTTGAGAATTATATTGGTATAAGTAATTATTAAGTATGTATTTAATATCAATAATTATTTTGTGTTGTTTATTATTAGTAGTAATTAATTTATGTTTACTTTCAGGGCTGTATCTAAAAGTATATCATTTACTGTTGGATAGTATTATTTATTAATTATGGTTTTTAGTACTAGAATGTTTATTTTGTCTACTGCATATTTCATTGATACACTTACAGAGCAATGATCTTACTTTGTCAGGAATAGGTGTAATAAATGTGTATGTGTTGACAAAGAATGACATGGATATTCATTATCATTTTTTTTTACCAAATAATAGGTAAATATTACATAAATATGAAAATATTATGTATTTTTTTAATTATTTTGAATAATATACCATTTTGTATTTATATTTATGAAATAATTAATAGCAATGTTTTTATATAGATGGAAAATGCATTTTATAAGATCAGAATTTCGAGAATTGTTACCAGGTCGATTTAGTGAAATCTTTGTCTAAAGTTATTAGAAATTTTAATGACCAAAATAAAGAAGAACTTGATAAATGTGTTAGTATAATCAGTTCTTTTATTAAAACAAATAAAGTTGCATAACTCAATTGTATAAGCAATTCAACTTTATAAAACTTTAACATTGTGTTAATAATTTTTGGTTTAGATTACTTCAAATTTACATTATATTTTATAATTATGTAGTTAATTAAAACATTCTTAAATAATAATTATAAACTAGATACTTATTTTTACTTAACACATTGACTGTGACGTGTTTTTGTAGTTCTTACTCCAATGTGTATTAAACTTTTTTGTCAAATTATTTTTGGCATTAAGCAAAAAGCTTTTATACGCATTGAATAACACATACAAATATTTTTAAAACTTTGAACTTATAAATTAATATTTATGACACCAATTTGTGCCATTACTATCATTAATTTTTTTTCAACAGTGCTGATTGGAATCTTCAATATTTTCATTGGTATTTTTTTAGAAACAAAAAAAGTATAAACAAATAAATAAAGAATATACAAGTACACTTATTTTAAATAAAATTGATTAATTTTTTTTATTACAATTTGAAAAATGTACAATTTTTTGATTATGAATCTCTTTGAAACATGTTGGTATAAATGCTTTAAACAGTTTTAAGATCAAAGATTGTATAACAATGTTATATTAAATCTTAATGTTTGGGTTTTGGACATTAATATTCATAAATAGATTTCAATGGTACCTACCTATTATAGTATTATAATAAAATTCACTAAATTGCAATGGGTTTTTGTAAAATATTGTGATTATTATAATCCATGTTTATTATTAATAAATAGAAAATCATCAAAAATATACAAAAAATAATTATTTAATATTAAATAATAAATAATACAATTTTATAATTTCTGAATTTCTTAATGAAAATGTCCACATTAAAAAATGTATCGATGGGGGGGGGATATCTTTGATTTATCCGAATGACATCAGTTTACAGTCAATGTGTTAATCAAATATCTGATTATAAAACAATTTTAAATTTAACACCAAATCTAACAATTATATTTGTAATTTAATATTTAAAAATAATTTAATATAACAAAAATAATTTATATTTTTTCATTATTTATGTTCAGGCAATGTATATAGTGTGAAAATAGTAATTCTAACTATGAAACAGAAATAATGGATCCAAATGCTCCTAGGAAGGATGGATTTTGTGTCGAAAAAAACCAAAACCAATATTTTTTATTATTTAAATGTGCAGGTACTTAGGTTTAGACATTTTCCTACCATAATAATTTGTTTGAAACTGATGCTCCCCCATACAAAAGTTTTGTAAATGCCACTGCCAAACACCAATATAATTTCAATAAAATATCGTATATAAAAAGGGGTATTTATTAATAGAGATACCTTTCAAATACATATGATTTTTTAAGACTTCTCCAAGAAAAATATTGAAAATCCTGCTACTGCTTGTTAATATTAACTAGTTAAATAAGAACATACTCGTAATATTCAGTGCATAAAAGCAAGTATAGTAAATTGTTTATTTTAAATTTTGAATATTCCATCATGTGTTGTGTCTACATTAAATATTTGTGTATAATAACCTATGAATTTTAATTTTGTAAAACATAATAATTGTATTATTGTATTTCATCATCACGGTTTTGTAATTCAAAAAAAAATATAAATACATACATATAATTTAGACCTGCATAAACTTTAATAAAAATACATTTTGAAAAATACTGCAAAAGTTTTTTCGGAGGCCCGAGAATTTGCGGGACAGCTGTGTGGGGGCGGTAATCTTTTTATTTCACCAGCTATTTCGGAATAAGTGAGTCACGGAGGCTTTTGATTACCCGACATTTGAGGGGGGGGGGGCAGAGCAGAGGTGAAACAACGAGGGTATCGTGTTCAAACACACCTTGTTGAAAAACCGTCGCGGGCCGACTTTCTTGCCATTTACAATTGTGATACCGTAGTACTGCGACGACCTAATCCAACGGCGTGTGTTGATGGTTTTAGTGCTCGCCATACGACGAATTGGACAGCTGAACCACGCAAGACCTCACGGACGTTAAACGACCGTCAGACAGACAGTAAATATGTCTACTTGATATCGTAACGAAGCCAACACAAGCCAGACGTTTAGAATTAACGTTCTGTGCATAACGCTTAGTCGCGACACCAAAAACTTAGATGCCGATTGAAAAACAAAACGGTTACAGTTTCATGGCCACCGCCGGGTCAAGCTGCGGAACAAGCGATCAACTTTTATCTTGTAGCCAAAGTAATTCGTAAATTAACAAAAATTAAATAAGATGTTTCCGTGGTTATTTATCAGTTATTGTAATCTTATAAAAAGACTATTGGGCATCTAGAATAAATTTTAGATTCTGAGTGGAGCGAAGAAGCTTATGGTTTTACAAAGATGTTCATTTTTTAAAATTTTTTTTTTTTTTCTGTGAACAACTTTTCTACCATTCGACTTGCTCCGATTTTTACGTGTACCACTTTTTTTGAAAGGAAATCGGAGTGAGGAGGTAATTTAAGGAGGGTATGGTATACTTGTATGCCTTTAGGAGGCTACCACATAGTAACTACCACGGATAGAACAGTTCTACCTATAACCGTGGTAACTGCACAATTTTTATTGTAATATAACAATAGCCGGCTATCATTCTGTACAATTGAAAACAGTTCCGTTCATTTTATGGCTCTTATCATAAACGTAGTTATTAAATCGATAAGTTGTAGTCAATTTCAGTTTGGTAAAGTTAAGTCTTTAACCTTGTCATTTAGGTAACTATAATTTTGTTATGACGATAAAAACGTAATTCAATTCAATGATAAGTGATGATATGTTATTTGAAATTGTATTAATCTGCCAAGGCTGAGGCGATTTAGAGATCGGTCAAACCCCTCGGAGATTTTGATGATTTGCCATTTTTAAATAGAAAAAAAATAAATAAATAAGAATAATATATATATATCTTTACCTATGTAAAGAAAAATGTATTATGTGAGAAAAACTACAAAAATGTATAATAAAATAACTTGATATTGAATTATCATATTATAATATGATATGGATAAAATATTTATACTGATAACTGAGCATATGGTTATAACCATAGATAACTTATACAAACAGTAAATAAGTGCGCAATGTAAACCGATCAATACTTGTAATTTTACAGAACAGAGATTGTGGTACCAACAGTTTACATAACGGTTTTTATACAACCCGGCATCTCTATTAAGTTTATTTACTGTGTTCTTAAATTTTTAATTATTGTTAATGTGTCAATGCATTTTTAGGTATTCGTGTTAAAAAATATAGTAACTATTAGTACATATTTTTTTCTTTGATTTTGCTTGCTTCAATCATCCAACTCGCTGTATTGTGAACCCAAATGATTAACAACACAACAATACCAATTGATTTCATTTCTAAGAAACTCAAAAGGTTTAAGATAAATTCAACATAATATTTATCATTAAAAATAATTATGGACTGGGATCACAATTATGCGTTACCAAGAAGTAGTAAGTACATCAAAGTAATTACTAGCGCACGGATGTTGTTGCATTTGCAACTTTTTTCTACCTTTTCAATTTATTGCTAAGTAAGTAAGTAAGTTATATACGTCTAATATAAGTATGATTTCAAATCTAGAAGTTTTAAGTGTAATGTTTTATAATTTTTTTTAATTTACTCATTTACACAACTACATTAGCTATAGTCGACACTCGACAATTGTATAGATAAATTATATTATAATATTGCCAGGTCATAAAATACTGTTATAATCTGTTCTTCAGTCAATCCGTGAATTTTGAGTGATCATGTTCTATTATTGTTTTGTAAATATGCTGACAATAAGCCAACAATTTCCATTTTTGTAAAAAAATTGTTTGTTTTTAGTGCAATTTTTAATATTTTTATTGCAATACTGCAATCAATTTCAATAGCCTTTTACTACTGCAATATCCGTGCTCTAGTAATTACCTACCTATTATTGGATTATGTATTTTTTTTTTTACATTTTAATCTTGTTAAAAATCAATTCCATAGACTAATTTTTATAAATGTTTTACTGAATTAATCTGTTACAGAGTTATCAAATGAACAAATGAATTTTAAAGATAATAATTTAGAAAAAAAATTTTTTCCTATTCATGTAAAACAAGGTACTGAATAATTTATTTATACATAAAATTAAATTGTTAAAACAAAATATTTGCATGTATTGAAGTATTTATTATTTTTCAGAGGATGTGACTATTGAACCTATGAGGAAGAAGATAAAATTGAGTACTGCAGAAAAAAAAACAGATATTTGAAGAAAAATATAAACTATGGAATGATAATGTCAGGACACACCATTAAGCGGCACCAAGTGTTCAAATAAAATTTGACAAGAGTCATGTTCTGCCAATGTTTTTTTCAGTCATTATTAATTATTATATAACTCGTATACCATTATAAATAATAAGAGTAATAACCAGGTCATGATGGTTATAACAATGTTACTCATGATTTAATTTAATTTGTCTTGGTATTAATCACATTTTTGGTGGTTTTAACATATTATTTATATACATAATTTGTGTTTTAATTAACTATTATATACATCTATACAGAAAACAACTGTCACGAGAGTCCGAATCAATAATATATTATTTGCACTGCCTATGATATAATAGAGGAAATTAGGATGACCAAGCGTTCTATATTGAAGAGGGTTGTCCCATATTTATTTAATTTATCCCCTACATCCAACAAGATTTTAAACTTAATGTAGAACAATCCTGCTTTTCAAATATCAATATGTAGACTTTAATAGATTATACTGGTTATTATTTAAAAACCATGAAAAAATACTTTTTGAAAGTTTATTTTTATATCTTATGATTGTATATAATTATTTATTTTTTATATATCTACTATTTAAGACAATGAACATACTAAGTATTTAAAACTTGTTTTACGTTTGTTTAATTTTCATTTTCTATTGACTTTTTTATTGACTTTTCTATTGCTTTTCAAATAATAATTTTAAGTAATTTAATGTTCTACTAGTCAATTTACTATTTAAAAAAAAGCTATAATGTGGCTACTAAAAAAATTTACTGAGTAATTGCAAATAATAATAAAAGAAAATATCTAGCGTTTAATGCTAAAATAATTTACTTTAAGAAATCTTTTGGTAAAAAATGTATGAACTATCGAGCACCAACCTATTATAACGCAATGCTATTAGATTTAAAAACAAACATTTTTTAAAAAGATTAATGTTAAAAAACATATACTTGTGTGGTTATTTTCCTGTTTGTATTAATGTATTGTATATTTGTATACCTATGTAACACTACAAATCCTTTTTGTCTTTTCTATATTTAATTGTACATAAACTTTTTTCTCTTTTTTTATGGTTGTAATTTTTTTAATGATACATTTCTGTGGTTTTTAACTCTGCCTTCACCACCAGCTGCAGCTTAAAGAAGGTAGATAATTTATGTAAATTTGTGTTTTGTTTGATGTGTTATTTTCGAATTATTAATATTAAAAATATATCTACTAATTATTCTATTATTTATATTTAAAATTTAAGTTTCATTTAAAGAGTATTTATTTATATTACCTATATTTTATAATAAACCAGCTGACCCGGCAGACATTGTCCTGTCTTAATTATAAATATTGAATTCATTTTTAAACATAGATGCCTTGCAATATTGGCACACAATGTTCATTGGCCCAATAGCAATGATGTACTGTAATCAATTTCTGTGTTATAATTAAATGCAACTCGATTCCGTTCAATTTCATTCTGCACTTCGCCTTGCTCGTCAGTTTGACTTGCTTTTGTATATCTTTGACTCGCAGCATTGCGAGTTCTGCGACTTAAGTTTGCACATCAAATTGCTGGAATTTTCAAAAACGAAAATTCAACTGTAAATTAAAGAAAACTATTGTATTCTTCTTTATAACCAAGTATATCACTTAGTAACGTGTATGTTAGTCTATTGCTGTGATTATTTGAGACTTCCATTTTTTTTTTTTTTTTTTGGATTTCGGTAATACCTATTTTTGTTGTTATGGTTTTGACAAAATATATAAGTAAATAAGTTATGTTGACAATATAGTTTATTTTCTTGCTGGACAATGACGTTTTTACATCCAGATTCCGTACTTTTCCGGTGGATTTTCCTAAAATTGTATTATATAAGAACCTTCTCCTGACAATTACGAACACAACAAAAAAATAATTAGCGAAATCGGTTCAGCCGTTCACGCGTGATGCGATGACCAAGAGAAAAAAGGATCCATTTTTATATATACAGATTATAATTTATAAATACTTTAAATATGTAAAATATGTACTTACCTATTTACTCAATTCGGAGTGCCAGTGATGAGAAATATACATATCAGTAGTATAAGTAGTATTTGTAGAATTTATAATTATAAAAAAAGAAATACATAATTCTGCAGTCACGGTTGTTGGTGGGATGTTGGGAAAGTCCGAAAGGGGATACAGAAGTGAATTTAATGTATACATCTGTGAGCAACAATAAACTATTGTTAATAATGCTAATAAGTACTATGTGGCCAGAACTTAAAATATCTAATTTATGGTAAACCTTGTTACTCACAAAGCCAAGGTTTAGTGGAATGAGCTAACTAGAACATTTAAAATATCCTTGCCACTAGGTTGCAAGACTACTGTACTCAAAAATGGAATGAATGGGTAACATTTATCTAGTTAATCATAAACTGTTCATTGCACTCAGGAATTAAATGTTTACCTTACGAAGCAAAGCTAGCAAGCAAAGCAAAGCAGCTTTAAATTATATTTCTACTACATTGGACAGTAACAACAACATTGAAAACAAAGAAGGTTACTTATTTATGGAATAATATTTCTTAATTATAATTTAAGACTTTTTTGACACTCATTTTTTGAGTAATAATTATAAAAATATGTCTTAGGATAATGGGGATGGGTGTATACCTGTAAGCAACTATAAACCATTACTTACAAAAAAACGATTCGGAGCGGAGTTCGGTAGATAGTGACTCATTTTCAACAATATATATGACATATTATATTAAAATAATTAGGTAGGCTCTATATATTTCTTTAATATTTGATAAATAGGTGTTGTACCAATTTTCCAATTTTTTCACTTTTTTCCCAGTTTTTTTATATTTGCTGGGGAAATTCTTCGGAAACTCGAAAAATTATCCCCCTAAAGAATCTCCAAAGTCAGATTTCTTTTCAGAAAAAGTGCTAATTATCATTCTAAATCGGAGTAAAATTGCTAGTAGAAAAGTTGTCCACAGAAAAAAAAAGTCGCAATATTTTACTAATATATTTTGTAGAATTTCCCGTTTTTTTTTGGATTTTCATGTTTGATAAGGAAATTGAAAAATACCTTCCTAAAGTACCACTCCAGGAAAATTTTCTTTCAGAAAACGGTCAAAATCGTATGCACCGAAGAAAGCTTTCTAGTAGAAAAAGTGTTCACATTAAAAAAATAAATAAAAAAATAAACATTTTTGTAAAATTAATACATTCTTCACTACACTCAGAATCTAAAAGATAGATATACTTCCACCTTCGAAGGTAGACTATTGTTGTAGATTGGAAGTTGGGGTGTAGCATATAAAAGGAAATATAATGTATATCTGTACACCAAAATTAATCATTGCAAACGGAAAATGATTTTGAGCAGAGTTCGGTTAAGTATACATGTTTTTTTAGGCCGTAATTTTTACGATATTCGTCAAAATTTGATACGATAAAGCAAAACTTATAATGAACCCTCCTGTTAAATTTTTAAGCATTCCTGTCTGGTTTAACAATTTTATCTATAGAGTAGGTACCTATCGAATGAAAATTACGTAAAAAACTCTCAAAATTAAAACGTCGATAAATACCCCAAAAATGACTCAAATGTTTTGATAATTTTATCACGTCTAGAAAAAACAAATATGAACTTCTGTTCAAATTTCAAGTTATTACGAATATTTTAAACTGAATTACTACATTGAATCACAAATCAAATATAATATTATTTTCCGGTTTTTTTTCTGGTTTTGCTCAACTATTAAAAAAACTAAATGGAAAATCGAAAAAAACGACTTTCTTGCTCACCAATAAGATTTTTAAAAAAAAACCGTAATATTTTAGATTTTGAGTGTAGCGAAGAATGTATTGGTTTTACAAAGATGTTTATTTATTTTTATGTGAACACTTTTTCTACCAAAACGCTTTCTTTGATGTATATGATGTTGACCATTTTCTAAAATTTTCGAAAATTTTATTGTTGTGATACTTTTGGGAGGTTATTTTTATATTTTCCCTTCAGTTTTCTCAATAAAACGGGAAAAAGTGAGAAAAAATCGGAAAATTTACGAAATATATTAGTAAAATATTACAATAATTATTTCTGTGGAAAACTTTTCTACCAGCAATTTTGCTCTGATTTACAATGATAGCACTTTTTCGGAAAACCGAGAAAAATATATAAAAAAGGGGAAATCGGTACAATATAAACCACATATTATTAAAGAAAATATATAATGCCTATTTAATTATTTTACAACAGGAAAATAGGTACAACATTTAACAAATGTAATCAAAGAAAATGTTTAATGCATATTATGTAATTATTTACCACAGTAAATTTGTTTGTAGTACTCAGGGGCGGAGTGACTTAGAAATTACTACCCCAAGCTAATATATATTTAAAGGCCACTTTTACCATTTCTTGATAGCATATTGTTAGCCGTATACCTAATTATAATTAGTTATAAAAACTTGAATTAACAACATTGGGACTTAGCTAAAATAAGTTTTACAAAATACAAAATTTTGTATTACATTATTTGTATTTGGTAAATAAGTAGTGCACATGTGTAATGATTATTATTTGATTAACAACTGGCTGCATCACTCGACATATCTCGAGCTTACCTTATCCTTCATCTTTATCATTTCACTAGTATATATTTGTTGCTGGTAATTTATTTTTTAAGGACGGTTCTTCCTTGATCATAACAACCAAATTAAATAATAGTAAATGGTTTTTTTTTCATACTTGTTACCAAGGTAACTCATAAATCAACAAAAAAAGTTTAATATTTTCATTTCAAAAATATAAATAATTTTGTATCAGCCACTTTTTAGTGGTTGAATATCGTAATAAAAAGTAGACAGTTACCTACGTTTTCCTTGTTTCGAATTTCAAGTGTGAAAAGTTTCACCCAAATTATTGGAATACAATTGTAGATTTGTATGAAAAGCCAATATAAATTGAATTTGATTTTATAATATAATATACATATAGGGATAATTTGTCAATGCTAAATAGTTTATACTATATTTTTTTTTATATATTAATATATTATAAATATATATACACACACATACTTGAAATGCAGTTTGAAAAATATGTCTTTATTGATAAAAATTGACTAAGTTACTAATAATTTTTCAGGTGCCTACAGATTCCTGGGTTCGGGCTGATTGACTATATTGAACATCCAAAGGCCTGGCTCGAAAACAGTTTCAAAATTGTTTACTTCAGGTTCTAGTTCAATTTCTCTATTTAAAATACAGTAGTAATATAAATTGCCGGTTCTGGCGCACTCTCTTATTTCTCACTTTAAACACTAATTTTTGATCTCTATTTACATTTTTTTTTATTCTCTGTTCTTTGTTCACATTAAAAACTGATTTTTGATCACTGTTCACATTATTTTCTTTTTTGTTCTTTTCTCACTTTAAAACTAATTTTCTAATGAAATTATAATAATGTTTGTTCTGGCGCTGTCTCTTAATTCTCTTTTTAAAAACTGATTTTTGATCTCTATTTAAAATGTTTTTATTTCCTGTTCTTTGTTTACATGCATAAAATAAAAATAAATTAAAAATAAATTTAAAAACAATAATAAAAACAAATGTTACATAAACATTGCACTAGGAACAGTTCTCTTTAACAAAAATAAATAATATAATATATTATAATATAATTATATTATTATTATATGAAATTAGGTCAAATCGTATATACCTAATAATATTTTTTGTGTTATTAAAATATTATACATCTACCAATAATATACCAATAACATTACACTTTGTATTGTTAATAAATTCTATTTCTATCTTTTAGAATTTACCAAATTTTTTATATGTTAACAAAGATTATATTTTAAAGTTATATATAAAATTTGAAGTTAATGGATCCGGTAGTCTCCAAAATCTCTTACTAATCACTTTAGACAAAATTTGATAACATATTCTAAAAGATCGTTTAAGGTTTAATAGGAGTAGATGAAAACAGAATTGAGCTACGATGATTTTTTGCTGAGATACCAAACTCAAAAATTCTCGAAATTGGACTACCCAAAAATCGATTTTTAGTATGTAATGTAAATAAGTTCAAAAATAACATCGGTCTTGGTTTTACAATTTTCTGATTATTATTAAATAAGTTAGATCATTTCAAAAATTTCCCATTCCTAAATATATATTATTTATAAAATCTATCATTATATTAAATTTATAAAACTTAAATATACTAACATTATTGTTCTTTAACGTTCTAGTGTTCTGGTCTAGTGGTCAATACTTCGATCATGATTTAATATGTAGCAAGTTCGAACCCAATATAAGTTATTAAAAATTTGCAAAAAAAAATTCAGCTACTGGCGTGATGTAATATCCGCAAGTTGAAAACATTGTATATGTTATTAGATGCTATATGATTGTTGCATGATTTGATAAGTTAGTAACTTGTCCGTGATAATAAACAATTTATGAAAAAACTGTGAGAAAAACCAAAAAAATATTTAAGCAACATAGAAGGGGAAACATTTGATAATGGTTTAATTATTAATATTTATAGAACGAACTATACTGTTGTATAGTAATATTTTTAAATGAATTATAAAAGTTTCTGATAATGATTTAATTGAAATTAAAAGTGATGAAAATAATTTTNTGTTTGATAATATTCTTTGTGATAATTTAGGGATTAAGTTTGATAATTTTTCAAAAATTGGAATTTATCAGGCAACTAAACCATCTAATATTCCCTTAGAATTACATAATATAGTAGACAAATCCATATCCAATCACAAAGAAAATGTTAATATTCACTATGAAGAAGATCTTTAATTTATTTTTAATAACCCACAAGACAATTTGATCATAAAACCAACTATAACTTATATACCTATAAATCAGAAAAAAATTCAAAACATTAGATTAAATATTTTCGACTTAGAAGGGAATATATTTAATAAATTTACAGAATTTATTGTTTATTTTAGTTTAATAAACAGATGATGAATGAATATTTAGAAAAGAGAATGTATGTATATCGCAAAAGTTATAATTTCTATAATAACCTGGCAACACTAACTCTTGTTAATGGAATTCTTATTCTTCTTGAGAAAAATATTAATCAAAACGGAATTTTTTATAGTTTATAAATTTTACAATCAAATATTGTTGTTTTTTAAAGCTCGAAAAATCACCGAAGAACAGATAAATATAAGAGAAAAAGATTTTTTAGAAAATGTACAATTTTTTCCTATAGAAAAATATTTGAAATAAGCTGAAATTAATGGTTATGTTGAAAATGTATGATTTTAATAAGTTATAATATTAGAGATTTTAATCTTAAATTTTTTTCTTAAAAAAATAAATATTTTATTTAATAAATATGTCAAAAGAGCATAACAAACTTGAGAAAATTTTAGATAAATATAAAAATATAGAACCATTTCCATATCAGGAAACAAAAGATAATGATGAATCTATATTTCCTATACCATTACATTGTTTAATTGTAGGAAGTTCAGGTTCTAGAAAGACAAATTTATTGTGGAATATTATAACAAATCTTTGTATTCCTTTTGAAAATTTTTATATTTTTACAAAAACCATTGATCAACCGATTTATGAGAAATTAGAAGAAGTATTTAATGATAAAGATGAAATCTAAACAGTTATTTCTAATGAAGGTATAGTTTATATTAATGAATGTAAACCGAATAGTTTAGTTATTTTTTATGATTGTGTTTTAGACAAATAATCAATAATGAAACAATATTTAATAAGAGGTTGGCATAAAAAAATTGTTTGTATTTATTTAACAATATTTAACACAGTTATACTGCTATGGATTTAAAAATTATAAGAAACAATTTAAATTTTACAATTATTTTTTAACAGCCAGATTATTATATTAAAAAAATATGGGAAGATTTTATAAGTGATAATAAATTAAATTAATTTAATTTAATTTGTAAGAAATGTTGGAAAAAACCATTTGGATTCTTATCAATGGATATAACAAATAATCATCTCTAAAATAAATATTGAATAACAAATATCAGTTAATGAAAATTTATTGAAAAAATGTATTTTTCTATGAAGAAATGAGAACACTTGAACAAATTCAAAACAATCTTAAGAAAAAAATTCAAAGTGGATTAAACTTAAAAAAATTGAATAAAATACAAAAACAGTACATTTCGAAGAGAAAAAAAAACCAACAGAAGCAGAGATTAATGAAACAATTAATCTTGAAAAAAATTGCAAAAAATATATAGAAATGAAGCAGAGATAAAACTAAATGATGAAATAGAAAAACCAAAAGGATTTGAACTTATTACCAAGGGATTAAAAAAAGTTGAAGAAGCTGTTAGAAAAACTGATGATGATATTAAATCATTTTTAGTTCCTGTGAAACCATTAACACAAACATCACATTTTATTACCAAACAACATAAAATGATACGAGATAGAGACTTAGAAACAGAAATTAAAAATTTAATTATTAATAACAAAATAGGAGTTATTGCAGCCCATTATTTACCCTAAGTATCAGATGATAAATTTGTGATTTTTCATAATCATAAAAAAAAATGCATATGATAGGTAAAAATGAGATTCATATAAAAGATAACAATATTATTTTAAAGAACAAACTTATAAAGGAACACAAGGATTATGGAGATTATTAACATATAATACAAATATAGATAAAATAACATATTCATGATGATGATATTAAGAATTATGGAAAGATATTAATAGAAACAGAATCATTATATCATAATAATAAAAATACAAAAAAGTAAAATCAAGTGACGGGGATAAATACATGAATCTGATCCGTCCTATTTTGAATAAAATTAGTGAAAATAAAAAAGTACAAACTTTGCATGAAGGATCTGGTTTAATAAATTATACAGAAAACCCAATTCAATATAAATACATTGATAATTTAAACAAATTGTTAAACAATTTTTATTTTATTGTTACAGACGAAGGAGCTGGTAATAATAATTGCCATAATGAAAAATTAATTATTATACATTTTGTAAGTAAAGAAATGGAAAAATTAGTTGATACACCCCATGGTATAGAATATCTCATTTCTTTTATTGCAAGTTTACCAAAGAAAGTGATTACTGGATCTGGACTTGTTAAGAATTTCTCGAATAGTAAATTTATGCCTGAAATTTACTGGCTTGGTTATAATTATCTTGGACAATTACAAAATCTAAGAAACTAATAAACTTGATGAAGCTGTGATAGAAAATGATTTTTACTATGAAAAACATAAAGATACCAAATCTAGACATAAAGCACAATATGAACAAATTAAACAAGGTGGATTTCTTCCACTTCTTTTTGCTGGAATAGGAGCTGCAAGTATATTAGCTGGGGAAATAAGTTCGATTGAAAATACTATTATAGAAAGAAAACATAAGATAGCAATGGAAAAAGAACAAGAAAAACATATTAAAGAAATGGAAAAAATTGACAATAATAATAAAAATTTACAAGTTGAGTCTGGAATTAAAAAGAAGAAAAGATATTGTAGTACTCCTGTGATAAAAAAAAGAAAATCAGTCAATTAACTAATTTTGATATCATGAAAGCTGGTAAAAAAATTAAAAATGTTCAAGAATGTTGTATGAGAGATGAATTACATATAGAAACTTTAACGAATGAATGTGGAATATTAAATTTAAATAATTTTGATTAAGAAGGATCACATTGGGTTGCATGGCTAAAACATGAAAATTTAAAAATTTATTTTGATTCTTATAGTAATGCTAATCCACCAAAAGAATTAGTAAAATATTTAGGCGAAAATAAACTTAAAATAACATCTAGAAGATTTCAAGACTATAACGATCCACCTATTTGTGGATATTTGTGTTTGGATTTTATTAAAAATTTTAAAAAATATACCTAAATTATATATCTAAATCTTTTTTAATCAGGTTTCTGATTTTAAAAAATATGTATTTCTTGAATATAAAACTTTTTTATTTTTTTTATCTTTTCTATAATAAATGGAAAGAATTTAAATAAATATGATGATCATATTATTCGATCACAATATAAAACATATGAAGCAACATCAGAAACAAATTTTAACAGAGATGGTGATGTTATAACCTTTGAAATAGAAGGTTCTGATAGTTTTCTCAGTATTAAACATGCAAAATATAATATTAGTGGAAAATACATAAAAAATAATAATACTGAATATGAAGCTAATAGTAATGTTCAATTAAATGATAATTTTGTTGTACAAATTTCAGTAATAAAAAATGGAACATTAATAGATCAAATTGAAAACGTTGGTAGATCAAGCATAATCAAAGAATGTGTTAGTTATTCTTTAGATGAAAATGGATCAACAATTAATTCTGGATTTCAATCAAGATTTACAGGTGGGGGAAGATTCAAAGCTGTTGGGAATTTATATAATCTATGTTTAGGTTTTTTTAAAGATATTAAATATCTAATTTTTAAAGGAGGAATTAAAATAAATTTTAAGAGAGCTAAAGAATGCATTATATAGATGGGTTTCTTTGAAAAGTTATTATTGAGAATTTTAAGATTACAATCTCATCAGTGGAAGATCAAGAAATGTATGAATGAAACCAATTTAAATGGTAAAACATTCAAGAGAAATATTGCAAGTACCTATAGAAACGTTCATAATCCATTATTTGCAATTGTAGCTTTCTAAACTAATGGATTAGAAACTCAATAAAGAAAAGCTTCTGTTTTTGATCATTGTAATGTAAAAAATATTTGGCTAGAAATTGATAGACAGAGATATCCACAAAAATCATTAAACTTAGATTGGAAAAATGAGAAATTTTCATTTGCATATGATATGTATAAGTCATATAAGAAAATATTCCATAAAACACATCAAGAACTTTCTCAGATGTATCTTACACCTATTGAATTTAAAAAAAATTTAAAAAATAATGTATGTATTAAATTTTACTAGAAAACAGGTATTAAACATCATATTTATGAGAAGAATTGTTATTTATTGTTGCTTATTCTCATGGCTGAATTTGTTGGGTTAAGATCTAAATTATATTCACTTATAGTATTTGAAAATAAAAATGAAATTAAAAAAGGTGTGAAAAAATCCATAGTTAAAATGAATTATGTTTTAATGATTTTTATAATTGATTAAAAAATAAAAATCCAAAATATGTAAAACAGAACACTTTTAGAACAGATAAACATGAAATATACATCATTGAACAAAACGAAAAAGCTCTTGGATGATAAAAGATATATTCTAGAAAATAGTATAAATATTTTAGCTTGGGGACATTATTTAACAAAACTAGAAAGAGAAAATTTCAGGGAATATCTTGATAATTTAATAAAAACAAATAATAAAAAAGAATGATAATTTTAATATAAACTATTTTTGAGAAATAATCTATTTCATAATATATTACATTATTTATTTTTGTCAAAGAGAACTGTTCCTAGTGCAATGTTTATATAACATTTGTTTATATTATTATTTTTAAATATTTTTTTAATTTATTTTTTCAATATTATTTTTATTTTATGCATGTAAACAAAGAACAGGAAATAAAACCAATGTAAATAGAGATCAGAAATTAGTTTTTGAAGTGAGAAGTAAGAGAGTTCGCCAGAACCAGCATATTTATACTACTTACAGTTGGAATTATTTTAGCTGTAACTGGATCTGTAACACGTGAAAAATTTAATGTAGGAATATCTTTGAGTGTTACACAATTTCCTAATCTCCTATCTTTGATTTGAGCATTGACAAGTATTTTTTTTAAATGCAGACTTAACTTGCCGAACAGTAGGATTATTGTTGTATTCAGATAGAGCTATAAATACTACCAAACAAAAATGTACAAATGATCTTGGCTAAGTTTATACATTGAAAGGAACTATAAACGACTAGTATCTATTAACTGAGTTTTAAGATTCATTAATGAGTTTAATGATATTAAAAGTCCTAAAGAACTAGTTGAACATTGAGATTTAATAATTAATTGACCATTTTCAAATTTTAAATTATTTACATTAAAAAAAAATGTATGAAAGATTAACTTGTCTGACATTTTTCATATAAACAGTGCCTTAAAACCATATGAAACTAATTGTCTGTAGTTAAGAATATCAAAAGCATCATTAAATATTCTAATAAAGTGTACAGTATATTCACAGTGAACTCTGAGTTTTAAATTGTCTGTACAAAACAATACAGTATTAGCAACAGAATTAGATATAGATGAGTTGCTAGTTTAATTAAAAATTTTTTTTTGAAGAAAAATTTATGCTTTTTTTTAAATTTATTACCCAAGTGACATTTTTCATTCTTCTAGACAACAATTTGTCTATAAAATTCAAATTTATAATACTACCATAGTGGTCAATCAATATTTTTTTTACCAAAATTATTTGTACAAGCTTAATTAAGTGTGCAGCATCAAATATAACATTTACTTTATTATCATGAACATTAAAATTAGTTAAAGTATTACTACGATTGACATCTTAATCACAACCAAGTGTTCTTTACATGCTCACATTAACAGCACAGCCATCAAAAGTCAAACCTACTACTTTTATACCAGTTTCAGATATTACAACTATATAGCATCTCACTAAATTTACTTTTTGAGTACTGTTCAAATGATTAAATAATAAATACTCAACTGGAATTATCCATGAACCATTTAGGCCAACAGCTATTAGTAAAAAACATTCTGTAGTCTCATCAACAGTTTTATTTTGAATTTCTGAACCAAAATTTATATAACCATGAAACACATAGACATTCCATTCAATATGTTTTCTAAGTAGTTATTTCATCTATAAGCAAAGAACAGTAAATTTGAGAAAGTGAATTTTTTCAAACTACACAAAGCTTGTCAATTGCTTCTTTGATAAAACCAGGTTTAGCATTGACAAGTAGATACTACTTGCTGAGTATTCTTGGACAAGGAAGCATTGAATTAAACTCATCACAAATCAGTAAGCTTTTAGTGAATACAAATTGAGAGTGATAGCAATTTCAGCATTTTTTTCATGCAATGGTAATTAGATTTTTATGCTTACTGACATTTTAATCTATGAGGTCTGCTTGATTCTGATTAAATTTTTTTTTCTCCAAAACTTTAACAGCTAAAACAATTTAATTTTTATCAATACAATACTGGTTATGCTAACATAATTATCAATTTCAACTACTTTATACATTTTAAAATGGTATTTCGTTTTTTTAGTCTTCTGACTTGTTGGTTAAGCAATTTAATTTTTTTTCTTAGACTGCAATTTACTTGTAAAAGAGATGAAATAGTTTTCAAGTTTTTATCATCATTTATTTTTGAGCTATTTGAAATTAAATCTTTATAATTTATCTATAACAGACATTCATGCATTTTATCATTAAAAAAAAGTGTTAATTTAGAATGAATTATAAAGATGATAAGCTATATATTTTACATACCTTTTGATAGGTACGTTCTGTTGTAAATGATGTCGATGGTGCACAGTCAGAAATATTCGGGAGATTAAAATCTGATGCTTCTTGGTTACTAACTGGTAGATCATTTTCTTTTTGTAAACTGTTGTTCTTCACCTAGGTATATAAACAATTTTAAATTAACTTATTACTATTCATAATTAGTATTAATTAATTTAGTTGATTGTTATATTGTGTAAAGTTTACAATTATTGGTGCAATTATTTGTGTAGGCACAGTTTCTTCATCAGAAGGAAGCTCGAATTTTATTTCTTGATCCTCCTTTTTACACTATAATATAAGTTTGAATTAGTATAATTTAAAAAGATATTATAACACATTAAGATTATTTATAATACCGATTTTAAACCATCTATTACAATAGATGGAATTGAACATTCGTTTAATAACTTAATATTTTTATAATACTTAAAGCAATCTAATGCAAAATGTCGAGAACAAATTAAACTTCCTGGTTTAACATTTAAGTCATTCTTTCCGCATATTTTAATAAATTTTAACCATTGAGGGCGATATTCTTCATTCTTTGGTATTCTAAAAATATATATTAATAATTCTCAATATTATGAATTAAAAGTAATTTGTTATACAGTAGAACCTCGATTATCCGAACTATGTGTGGTCCCAATTAGTTAGGATACTGGAAATTGTTTAAAATAACAATTTTTTTTTAAACATACAATTATAAATTATATATTACTATCTATTATATATTTATTATTACTATTTTTATTATTATTATTTATTATATTAGAATTATATTATGTATTCAGAAATATATAATCACAAAGTACATAGGAACATAATAATATGTTTATGATATTACGGGCGCTTTAATGCGCACTGATGATTGATAGCTTTAGATAAAAACATCGCGTCTCAATTATCTACTAACAGATGTACATACATAAATGTACTAATAATAAATTGCGAAAATTGTAAAATCGGCAGCCGGCCGCGGGTAAACGGGTGCTTCAACGAGTTTTAACGTTCGGATACGTTAATTGTAGTTCGGGTAATACAGCGTTCGTATAACAGAAGTTTAGATAATCGAGGATCTACTGTAGTTAATTTTACAAGTTGGTATACTTACCTATGAAAACTAATTCCAAGATTTTTGTTAATTAAAGTATTTGTACTGCCACAAATATAACAGTTTGCCATAATTGTAAATTTAATTATGTACAAGTGAAAACAATTATAATATTACCTCAAATTTCAATTCACAAAAGACAATAAAAATTTAAAAGGAGTATAAATGTATGGGTACGGTCAAACAGTGAACATGACGTGTCATATGAAATAACTAATTTTGATAACTGATAAAGGTATATTATCATACGCTACAGTGTACCAAACATAACGACCTAATATAATTTTTTTTGTTATGTATGGTTACTATGTCCATCACCCTTTTTCTTGCTTTCTACAAATCACGGCTTTAGATACTACTAGTATAATATACTAATATCTATAGCCGTGCTACAAATATAGCCATCCCCTGTCGCCAACTTAGTATTATTAGACAAGAGTTGTAGGAACAAAGCACCTACACACCACCCCCTCTCTTCACCAATTTACTATTCCACAAACTATTTACTTTAAGTCGTGGTGATTTTATATTATATGAATATTAAATATTAATAAAATTGGGCAGGTACCTAATATATTTTAATAAACATTATACCTTATTTATTCGCTATCCATCCATATAAGAGAATACTAGACTAATGACTAAAATACTGAGCCAAGGACTTGTGAGGTCTCGGGTTTTTTAATGTGTCCGATGCACCCCATCAGGCGAAGGAAGCACTATGAGCCAAACTAAGTAATATTCCTCGAGGCATATCGATAGAACTCATAGGTTTTATTAATTGCTTGATTCCAGAATCATTTTCTGGACGAGAGAATTAGTTGAAGAGCAGAGAGATAGGTGGCACTATAATAATTTAAAAAAAAAGAGAAGTTTAGAATAATCACGAGGATATATTTGACAGAAAAGCTAGGTACACTAGCTAGTGACATATATGTTAAATTAATGATACCACAAACAACATGGTTTTTATAAGTGTTGGAGTACGGGGGGAACAGGTATACGTTACATAGTCACAATGGTGTGTCGGTTTGAGTTGTGATTGTAGGTTTCGCCTGCCTCAGACCAAACCTAACCTCAGGTTCTAGCCCATCATGGCTGACGTCGAATCCACAATAAAGAATTGGCCCTGTCTTTAAAAATTACTGGATATAACTAGTAGCCGGTTAGCGTCATCGATGGTTGATGAAAAACCAGAACTTAACGAGAGCGAGTCAACAGTCATTGAAAAATGATTGTCCGTTATCGGGTCCGTGGTGTTCCTGGTCGTTGGGTGAGGGGCCATTGTTAGACGGGGGGAGAGTAGTGCCATTGGTCGGAGGGATTTGTACAATAATAGGAGAAATGACTGGTCGATTCATGGGCGCGCGGCGGCGGCGACGATAACGACGCCGGCGGCAGCAGTATCCAACAATATTTAATTCCGTGGTGACCCAACCAGAGTGGGGGAACAGGGGGACCACGCATATCACTGTTCATACAATCATTATATATTATTATCGGAGTTATGAATACTTTGGAATTTCGCATTGTACCAAAAGGCTGTGACGTTACATACCCCCCCCCCCCAACAAGTTGTTGAGAGTGAAACGTGAGTGGGAAAGAGAAACTACTTGTTGTTTGAGAGAGATAATGGATTTTGGAGACAGGCAAGGAAGAAAATAAAGGTGTGAATAGAGGTGTGAATGGCGAACGTGTATCGACGTGATCAGAGTCTGGTAATGATCTAAACGTTCAAGTGAATTGGGGGATTAATTATTTAACGTAAAGATTACGTCGAGAAAAATCTTCTTTCTCGTTATCGGGTATCGGAGATACATAAGGTTTAAAGTATATAACGTTGTGCATACATTTAGGAGTATTATCTCCTGGGTGGATCAGTTCATATGCATTAACAGTTTGTATTTTATGGTACGGATCATACACCATAGAGAATTTTGATATTTTTTTGTCGATCTGACTACTAAGTTTATGAGATTTGACAAGTATAAGGTTATTAATTTTAAAGGGTGTAGGGTTTATGTTTTGATCATGACGCTATTAGCGGGCTTCATATTTGGTGATTTGCACTTCGTGGGTCAGTGTTAATTATCGATTATGGTTGGCAAGAAAGTCTGTTAAAGGGAATTGAATAACTTTTGTGAGTGGGTTGTGGTGATTTTGGTTGAGATAAAGCTCGGTGGAAGTATGGTTGGTAGACTCGTGACGAACATTATTGAGCGTCCATTCAATATAGAGAACATATTGAGGTTAGTTTGAGTGTTTTGTGTGGTAATACGTCCGGAACATTCTACCTAACTTTCTTATCACTCTTTCAGCGGGATTTGATTGTGAGTGGTAAATACTGGTGTGAACACTGAAATTTTATATTTTTGTAGGAAAATTAGCCAATATTTACTGATAAATTGCCTACCATGGTCAGAAGCAATATAAAGGGGAGTGCCATAGGTTGGGGAGTAATTTGTTGTGAGGTTTTTGATACAAATTTTCGAGTTTGCACGACGAAGGGAGTATAATTTAATGAAGTGGGTATAATTCACAACTACATAAATGTAGATGAATTGTAATATTCTAGTAGGAAGTGGACCAAAAAAATCAACGGACAGTTTGGTTAGGGATTTATTTGAGAGTATTGGATGCATGAGACCAGCTATATGAGTGGTATTAGGCTTACAATTCTGACACAACTCACAAGATTTCACGATTTCACGGATAGTCTTATTAAAACCAGGGACATGACGGATGTTTTTTATAGCATGAGCAGTTTTAAGGGGACCGATATACGCAAAATAATGATGGAATAACAACATAATTTGTTTGACTAAGTGACTAGGGATATATACTAGGACCAATTTATTTTATCTTTATATTGACGGGTTTAATAAACTATTATTTTTTAAAGTGTAATAATTTAACCTGGGAACTTGAACATTTGATTTTAATAGAGAGATGATTTTGTGTGCTTTTGGGTTTTTTAACTGTTCAAGAGAGATATTATTATAGAGAGAAATGATGTCAGTGGGCATTGGTGAGGGTAGAATGTAGTGTAGTATGGCAGGGAAATTTTTATGGGGTTAGTCGTCTCGATTGAGGGGACGTCTTGACAGAGTGTCCATGAAATTGTCTGTGCCAGGGTAATGAATAATATTTAAATTGAACTCGTGGAGGACTAACATCCAACGGGTTAAACGAGCATTTTTTAACTGAGTGTAACAGAGAAGAATGATTTTGAGAAAATTTGTAACAAAAATTACAGAAACCGAAAAAGGACTGTAGATCTTTTTTTTTACGGGGTTCGGAAAAATTTTGAATGACATTAACTTTGTCGGGATCCATAATCATATCAGAGGGAGATATGAAGTGGCCCAAGAATTTAATGTGTTTGTTGAAGTGACATTTTTTTAATTTTAAGGTGAGACCAGCTTGAGCTATTTTTGAAGAACTCAGTCTAGAGTGGTAATATGATGTTGAAACGAAGAAGAAGAGATTAAGATGTCTTCAACATAGGTATGAATATCATTAGGGTGGTGACAGGGAGGAGGATAAGTGTCGAATGGGACTTTAAGTTCTTTACCAAATGAGGCGTTAAAGACATTCAGTACAAAAGGAACAATACAAAATTGGTACGAACGTATATCATAAAGGAAATTGGTATATTACCTAACAGAAGGATCAAGGGGATTTTCCAGTACTCAGATACAAAATCAAGGGTAGAGAAAAAGGATTTGTTATTAAATTTTGCTAAGATGACATCAATAGGGGGAGACGCATCTTGTGTGGGTAGAATTATGGTGTTTAGTTTACGTGCGTCTAAACATTGTCGAATAGACCCATCAGTTTTGATAACGGTCACAAGGGTATTATTGTAGGGAGCATCTGATTTTTTGATCACTCCCCTCTTCAAACATTTTATCAATCTCTTGCTTGGCAGAAGGGCGTAGGGAGAAAGATACTGGGTACGGTTTAATTTTATATAGGTCATGGGGTTTAATATAGATCAATTTATTAAAATATGGAAAAGTTTAATGCAGATTTAATAAGTTTGTTTAAAAAAAAGGTTTAAATGATTCATTTTTGACAAAGTTGAAATATGATCAATTATGACGTGTTAAAAGTTTCTAATGTCAATAAGTTAATTGTACCAGCATCTGAAAATAACGAGATTAAATACTATGTGCATAATGAAGAGTTATTTAATGTTATATGATGTTCATTTATCGATTGGACATTGTGGTCGAAACAAAATGGAATACAAGGGAAATACAAAATACAAAAATGTCACCAGAGGTATGGTTATGCTCTATTTAAATAGTTGCGAGTCGTGTAAAAAAAAAGGAAGCATAGCCAGGAAAGGGTTGGTGGTAAAATCAATTATATCTTCTGAGATGAATTCTCGCTGTCAAATAGACTTTATAGATGCAAGCACAATCAGTTGATGAGTATAAATTTATACTAGTTTACCAAATGTCAGGAAAACCTGATAAAATATGTAAAATACAAACGTGTCGAAGTAGTTTATTACGTATTATTAAATATTTTCACAACTTTCAGGGCACCATCAATTTGACGGTTTTTCACATTTGTTGAGAAAACTTTAGGTAAAATCAAAGATTTTTTCATATGAACAAAATTTATTATTTTTAAGTAAAGTCAGAAAATATGTATGTAGATGGTACATTTAAATATTTATCAAGATTTTTTAATTGAATATTCACTTTACATGGATTTAAAAGCGGTATTTATATTCCGTTAGTATTTTGTTTACTTATACTTAAGCCTTATAGATGAACCGGTCAAATGTTTACTAAAATTGTAGAATACTGTATAGGTATATTATGCTATGTCACCTACGTCGTATAAATTACTCACCATCATATTGCGGTCTTATTAAAAAAAACTTTGTTATTTTATTATAGGTACTTATATTATTTCCAGTATTAGCTTCGTATAAAAAATTGTAACGTGGGGCTCTGATGTAAAGAACCTACCGCACCGCGGTTTCTACGGCAATTCAATACCTATTATATAGAAGTATCGGTAAAGCAAGATTTCGAACCTTTTATCTTTTTGGGAACACGATTCCGTTCGATTTTGATCAAACAATGGATTGTCAAAATGACCTTAAAAACCACACGATTACGTACGATTTATTGGACAATGTTGTCATTTTTTCTCTTATTCTTCTTTTTTGGCTTTTCAAAGGCTATTAAGGCCCAATACCGCAATAAATACCTCTTTTCACTTATCTCTGTCCTGTGCCAATGTTTCTCTATCCGATTTCCATCAGACTCTCCTCAACTTTGTCCATCCATCTTTGTTTCGGTCTGCCCAGCGGTATTTTTTTTTTTTTTTGGGCTTCCATTTAAGAACTGCTTTCATCAGACTATCGGGTTACACTTGGCCAGCCCATGCGACTCTTCTATAGTGCAGTACAGCTTCTACGCTCGGCTCTCCGTATAGTTGTAGAAATTCCCTATTACTTCTTATTTCGAAACGTTGAGTTATACTATTGTTTTTTGGCAAGTATATTCTCCGTAATATTCTTCTATCAAAGGTTGCTATTTTTTTTTCATCACCTTTAGTTGTTGGTTACGTCTCGCACCCGTATAGAATAATTGGGCTAATAATTACTTTGTATAATGTGATTTTTGAATTGAGTGACACTTGTTTTGATTTGAAGATATTCACTAAACTGTAATAGTACTTGTTTGCTGCAGCTGTCCTTATTTTAATTTCTTCATGGTTATTATTTGTGCTATTATTTGAAACTATGTACTCTTTTAAATTTTTAAATTTTCAACTTTTAGATGGTTTCCATGATCATCTCGTCTAGATACTACCATATAGTTAGTCTTCAATTCATTTATTTGTAGTCCAATGTCTTTATTATTTTTTTATTAGATCCTCGATACCTGTTTTTACTTCTTGACTATCTGACCTAAGAATGATAATATCGTCTGCGTATGCTAGAATTCCGTACTGTCTTTTATTATCGTCCATCATTAATCCACCATATTTTGTCTGTGTTTTCTTAATGACCGCTTCTAGTGCTATATTAAAAAGTACTGGTGACATAGCGTCTCCCTGTCTAAGTCCGGATTTAACATAAAAATTCATCTGACAAGTGTTGATTGAATTTAATTGTGCATCTTGTTTCAGTCATGTATAATTTAATCATTTTTACCGTTTTAGATGGTATTTCGAAAGTTATTAGCGTATTCCAATGTGCTTCTCTGTTCACTGTGTCATATGCTTGTTTATAATCTATTAACAACATATGCAAGTCTTTGTTGCATTCATAATATTTCTCAACTAGCTGTTCAATGGTAAAAGTGTGATCTATGGTTGATTTAGCATTCATGAAACCACATTGATAATCCCCAGTGATATATTTTGAATAAGGCTTTATTTTATTTAGCATGAGGAATAGGATTGTATACATTGTATTCAGCAATGATATTCATCTGTAATTGTGAAAATGTATAATTTCTCTCTTTTTATAAATCGGACATATTATTGCTACTTGTCACACTTTAAGATAGTCAGTCTGTAGAGTTTATTTAGTTTATCACACATTTATATCCGATGAATTTTCTAAATAACAGCCTTTTTAAATTTTTATAACCTGTGTGAAAACCTATGTTATCTAGGGAATAACCTAACCGCGATAAGATGCGGCCACACAGAATATATATATATATATATATATTTTATATGAATGCTATGTTTTGGACGTTAGCTAAGCCGCGACGGGTCGCCGGCGTTTTTGATTCTCGGCTATATTTTTGTGCGACGCGCGACTTGTTACTGTATGCAAAATAATCGTTCCATCGGTAAAATACTTTTCCGGATATTCAGTTATTATTTTTTTTCAATGTCTTTTTTGATAATTTATAGAAGTTAATCGAATTGATTAGTAGTTACACGAACATATTCCTTGAATTCAACATCATCTTCAGGTAACCTATTTATTATACGTTATAGATGTTACTATAATAGTTAGGAATACCCTAGGCGAAACGCTATAACTAAGTCAAATTGTCAATAGTCCAACGCAATGCCTACGTAACCTTATGGAAATCTGGAAACATCGCACTAAAAATCTTAGGTACAAACGTACGGAATCGTGTGCTTATGAATCGCGCGCGCGATTCCGTTCGCTGACGAGGGCCGCACGGAATCGTGTTCTACCCAGAACAATATTATTACAGTGTACCAGGGTATGCCTGTAAATAATTTAGGTAGGTAGGTGTCCGAAAGGGAAAAAAAGAAAAAAAAAAAAAAAAGGAAAAAATTATACCTTTACGCCCCCGCCGTCGGGACGGTTTTCACGACACCTCCCCCACCCCACTTTTCCCTCCGCTCCAGCCTAACCGAGCGGCGAGGAGTGGGTCGGAGGTACGCGCATCGCAATAATAACGATAATAATATTATTTCGTGTAACGCGCGTACGCCGCGCCGTCGACCGGTCGCCCGGCGAACAAACAACACGACCGGCCCGGCGGCTAATCACGGGGGTGCACGGCGTCCGGGGCGACGGTGATTTTCGGCGGATTGCGCGTTCGCGCAATTCATGTTATTAACAATAATGTATGCGCGTATCGTCGCGATAATTATTTGCCGTCGAGTAGGGACACGTTATCGTTGTACGGGGGACGGGGTCCGCGGGCCGCGCGTCACAATAATTATTATTCGCGCGCGCCGAGCCGAAACGCGGTCTTGATTTTGAGCGCGCCGAACCCGCCGCGGGTCGGTGGCGGCCGAGGCGGCGTACAATAATATTATACTTTGTACACTGGCCCGCCGCCGCGCTCGCGAAATTATCGTCGCCGTTCAATCCCTACCGCTAGCTACCCTACCATACCCTACCTGCCTACCGCCGAACGCAGTCCCTGCAGTGCCCCCCCTCCCCCCCCGCCGTGATTGTATTATACGATTGACAATCGAACGGGTCGATGAACCTAACACCTATATAATAATAATATATTTTACGTATCTATATTATAGGGCTGGCTGTGGACGAAGGCGTTCGACTGACGTGTTTCAGAGTGCATCGCGATTTCCGTGTTCACCGAATGTTCAGAAAACCAAACACGAATATTAATCGAAACACGCTGTTCTCCGTACTGATTTTTCAAACATATTCGTGTATAGCCGTGCAAAGACGGTTTACAAGTTTTTTGCTCAAAAGGACAAAATTCCGCGTTGGCTTCGACGAGATTTTGTTTGGAGATTGTGCAGTATGAAGCTAACAACAATTGGAGATTGTTCGCTTTGAAAATAACTTTCAGATTATCAGATGTCTTTATTCCCTTTTCATTAAGTAAAAAGTTTACAAATTACTAAATAATAATAAATGTTAATAATTATTGATTATAGTTATTTAAATTTTTTTAAAAACATTATTAAAAAGTAAAAAAGTAAAAAAAAAAAAATACTTAATATTATTAATCTTAAGTATTTTAGATTATGAGTGAAGTGAAAAAAGCTTATGGTTTTACAAAGATATTAATTTTTTTTTATATGTGCGCTACTTTTCTACCAGAAGACTTGCTCGGAGTTCTACGTGTAGCACTTTTTCTTAAAGGAAATCAACGCGGGGAGGTCACTTTTCAATTTTCTCAGGAGTTTTTCCAGAAAATGTGAAAAACCTGGATAAAACATGGGAAAACCGGGAAAATCGTAGAAAAACTGGGAAAATTGGTACAACATTAAACTGATTTTATTAAAGAAAATATATAAAGTCTATTTAATTATTTTACTACAAAATGGCATATATATTGTTGACAAAGCATCACTATCAACTGATAATAAACTATCAATTACAATAATATGAAAAAGTATTCAAGCTAAATTAAATGTTCCTGTTCATTGTATGGGGTGCGCTAAAAGTATTCATGATCATTCTATCGCTGGAAAGGTCTTAAAAATGAAATACAGATGTAATATATTTTGTAAAGACGAATATTTCGTGACACATAAGCTCCCAAAGTTATTATTAATACATACGTATGTCCCCTTCGCTAATTTCCCAATCTTATGATTGAAAATATTAAACAAATTTTTCATTTAATATAACTTTTTATCGTATACATTATTCTTGGAATGTTAAATCATTAGAAAATAATCTAAAGGTGCAAGTTTATTAAATATATGGATTAATGATACAGTTCTGTTATTTTATCTGAGTTTTATTTTACTGATCAGAGATACGCAATTGTTAACTACTTAACGTAGATTTCTGCAGTGGACGGTTTCTCAATTATATTCCGCAGCTGCACCTTTCGTATACATAGGTTTTGCACCGTGTGAGCTTCAAATGATGTCAATTATTCAGTAGGTAAACACCTTCTATTACATGCCTAACATAATTTTTCCAATCCATTGTTAATGTTCATTGACTGTTTCTCGTAAGTTATCCAACACAGTAGGTATATAACCACTTCATTGTATTTTTCACTGTATTACACCATATATTATAGAGTATATCTACGATTTACGTAAAACAATTAAGTACGGCTTAGGGAGGAGGGAGTAGCGACTACCCTGTCGCCTCCCCTTGTATTCGGCACTGCTTCTTTGTTAAAGCTCCTGTTGCCAAATCAAATAATAACTGTTTTTTATCCGTGTCACTAAGGTAACCTATATCAATAAAAACAAATTCAATTTTCGTGCCAAAAATACAAAAACGCTGTAGCAGTTATCCCTTAGTGGTCGAATTTTGAGATGAAAAATAGACAACGATTTTCCTATTGTTTTGAACGTGAAGCGTATAAAGTTTTACCGAGATTGGAATAAAACTGTAGATGTGTATGACAGACAGATAGACTGCGGAATTTCAATTTTGTATCAAATATGTTATGATAATAATGTCTGTCGGAGGAAATAAAATAACAACAAATTGAATAAAAACACCAAAATCGATCAAATTCGTCCGAAAATCAAAAGTATATAATATAGTATATTATATATTTAGGTATTCAATTTGACGTGTTGACTACACAATGTCAATTTCGTAATATATATTATGTATATATATATATATATATATATGTTATACACAGTATACTTAGGTACTGGATGCTGGCGTGTAGAATGTGTTGAGTTGAGACGTTCATCACGTAAATAACTTTCGACCTATACCAATCGTACGTCGCGTGATGTCTGACGCGTTGCCGAAAAATATAATATTTTGCCGGGAAACGTCAAAAGATAAAAACGGGTCTGGGCGCGGTGACGATTCTGTCGCTCGGTCGTTGTAATATTATTTATGTTATTTCGTTTTTACATTTCGTTTATCGTTTTTCGAAAATACAATAATATTATATTCTCCGCCACCCCACACTGTACCTATATGTATATGTATAGTACGTGTTTTACCGTGCCAACTTCTCGTATGTGACTTATCTTCGATTTCCGCAACCGCGCCAACTTCGCGTGTGACTTATCTTCAGTTTCCCCTACTTCGTGCCAGTAAAATGATACAATAACAATAATAATATAAAGTACCTATACAATAATATTTGCAAGAACTTTTGGACGTTTTCGGGCGTTTCCAATGCAACCCGACGTCATTGTCGTGTCAAAAATCGTATTAGGTAAGTATTATTGTGTTGACGATAACGACAGTATATCGTTAGAGTGAAATTGTGAAATCAAAATACGAGTATTTAAATTTTATTTTAATCAAAACGCAATGTACATTTGTACTCGGTTGCCTCGAGTTTTAAAATGATAAATTTAAATGCTATATAAGTAGGTGTCATCAATCGGTATTACCATGATATATGTCACGACAGGTATAAGCTATGTATGTAGGCCATTTTTAAGGAGGTTTTCTGTGTCCAAATGGACACACAGTAAAGTAAGTTCATTGGACATCCTGCAGTATAGAGTAAGATGTTAACTGAAAATAAATGGTAAATTTATTAATGAATTAGTAGTTTTTGTGGGAGGTACAAAATTGAAAATGTTTGGCCTCTATAGTAACACGATTTTGAAACGAATATAAAATAAACCTTATAATATCAATATTTATCTACATATATGAAACAAATTTAAGTGTTTTTCTGTTTATCCAGACTAATTTTAAAAATACACGTATAGTATTAGTACTTAAGTATGATATCTTCCTAATAAGCGGCATATTTTCAATACTTTTGTAGGATGAAGGGAGGGAGGGGGTGGTATTTTTAAAAATCTTAATGTAAAACGATATAATAACACAATAATAAGATCATGTTATACAATTAACATTAATTTATGTTTCGAAAAAATGTTGATGTATTATCAATTAAATATCTTTGGTTAAAATCAGTAAAGTAATCCTATTTAAATATTTGTGTAAAATAAACAAATAATAAATAATAATATTAAACATATTATATCATGTAATAATTATCAAATCAAATCAATTTAAAA